ATTAGTTAGATCGGCTCTTTGAAAAGATATCCGGCCATGGTCTACATGCTCCTGTGCCAATTCTGTTGACTTTTCAACCAGATCCTGTTCATACTCGATGCCAATGGCCTTCCGAGCCCCAAAGAACGAGACGGCTGCATAGCAGAAACGGCCGTCGCCTGAACCAACATCCAGGACCTTGTCTGACGAATTGAGTCCGACCATTTCGAGAGCGATGAGGACTCGGCGAGTAGAGGTGGGGATGAAAGGTGCGTAAGTTGTATCGACACCTTCGATCCAGAGAGGCATCGCCTGTTCTTCTTCGCAATAGTCGGGGTATTTTGCGTAGAACTGCTTGAGCTGCTCCGGATCTAGCGTGGAGACAACTGTGGAGGTAAATGTCGAATCATTGTTTTCTGTCGGAAATGTTGTTGAAGAGGTCCTACTAGATAGCGGTGGGGAGTTGAGCGGGGATATTGATGGCGACATGGTGATCTAAATGCAAAGAGGTAGCGATCAAGACCTGAGTGATCAGTGGTCAAATAACAGAAGAGAGCCCCTGTGACTGTCGTAGATATAAAAAGGTGTGGAGGTATTGGCATAAAACGAGAAGAACGCAAAACCTTCCTTTCACTTTCGCGAACCCGCAGACAGCAGACATCAAAGCAGTTCGCAACACGAATAGACACTGAGCTCAGGACACCATGGCGACCAACGGACGTAGACAGGTGGATGAAGATGACGACATTATTGATGTGGACGATTCTTCTCTTCAGACGAATCAGGCCAACTATGCTTGGGAGGAAGAGTACAAGCGCAGTTGGGATGTTCTTCAGGAGGACGAGCATGGCAGTTTGGCCGGTGTCGTAAACAGTCTGCAGCAGGCAGCAAAGCGCAAACGGTACGTCCAATTGCTACAGGAAAACTTTTCTGTTATGAATATGTGAAACGCTTTACTCTTTAGATGAAAATGGTGGCGCACAGCATCTAAGAGCATTCCTCGCTTACTTGAACTTCACAGGCAACTGCGCGACACAGACCCTATCCAACGCGGGATCATCCGACATCTCTTTATCGTCATCGACCTTTCGAATGCCATGCAGGAAAAGGACCTCCGCCCTTCTCGGCTTTCGTTAACATTCACATACCTAGAGGCGTTCATCGCCGAATATTTTGATCAAAACCCCATTTCGCAGATCGGACTTATCGGAACCAAGGATGGGCTTGCAGAAAAGCTATCAGAATTGAGCGGAAACCCCACAGACCACATCAGGGCGCTCAAGATGAAGAAATTCCAGGAGACAGGTGGCGAACCATCTTTACAGAATGCATTGGAGCTGGCCCGCAGCTCTTTAATGTAAGCTTTTGCCATAAGATTTTGACCCGACCCCACAATATGTACCGTGGTATAAAAGACAGTACAATACTAATGCTTTTCTTACGTCGATAGCCATGTCCCAGCACACGGTTCACGGGAGATTCTTATTATCATGGGCTCATTAACAACGACAGATCCAGGAAACATCCATGATACGATATCACAGCTCATGCAAGACAACATTCGGGCATCGGTCATTGCACTTGCAGCAGAAGTTCAAGTACTGAAATTCTTATCCACCCAGACAAAAGGTTCGAATATGCTGGGATATACCAGGAAGCAGGGGCATTGGAAGGCATTTGACAATGGATATTGACCAAATATTTAATGTCTCACTTAGGAACATTCGGCGTCGCGATGAACGAAGGACATTACCGGGACTTATTGTTCGAGGTGATTCCTCCTACGGCGGTTACAACTACGAAGGCATCATCTAATCTTGTGCAGATGGGATTCCCTGCGCGGTCGAACGAGAGTGCATCAACTCTGTGTGCTTGTCATGGGAAACTGACATTAGGAGGATACATTTGTCCGAGATGCAATTCCAAACTGTGCGATATCCCGACAGAGTGCGATATCTGCACGCTGACCTTGGTGTCAAGCCCCTTGTTAGCGAGAAGTTATCATCATCTCTTTCCAGTGGAGAACTTTATCGAGATTGCATGGAAAGAGTATGTCAGGATGTGAATATACCTACTTGTGTTTCTTTGTTTATGACTGAGAAAGTAACAGCCGCATCCTACTTATCAATTTATAGCGCTACAGCAACAACCGCGTGCTTCTCTTGCCAGAAAACGTTTCTCAGCCCATACAAGATCAGTCTCCAGCTTCAGGCAACAACGGATGCAGGACGGTATCAGTGCAAGCTGTGCGAAAAAACATTTTGCGCAGATTGTGATGTCTTTATTCACGATGTACTGCACAACTGCCCTGGATGCCTGAGTCAACCAAGGCGCAGGAACGGAAGCACACTCAATGCTAACTCGCGCTCATTACGGACACCCGTTATTGCTGGATAGACAGTAAGCGGGCAGTGTACAACGCCAGTAATAATAATAATAATAATAATAAAATGCAGAAGATAAACCACTGGCTTTCTTCAGACGCGGTTTGATTACTAGCGACGTTCACAACCAGTCTGAGCACAACTGCGCTTACTTTTCTTCACGGTTCATCGATTTTTTTTTCTTTTAACCGGCGAAGTCAATCGTATGATCTTGTACCTGAGTAGCTTACGGGGTAACACAGATCAGGGCCCACTTTTTGCCGTTGGAGGTTTTCCTCCGCGTTAAAACAGGCTCCCTCATCCCGCGCTCCCTCTTTCATCCTCATTTACCTTCATCCGTACTCTGCTACCTACGCAATGCTCAATCTCATCGGCTGGTCTTCCCTACCTGCAGGACTCTTGTCTAAGTGGCTCTGGATCGTTGGTGTCACCTCGTTCCTGAACACCTTCCAGTCCTTTGTTACCTTGTCGGCCAACCGTCGCATCTATGCCAATAAACCCCACGAAGGTAACACCTCGCTCACAGGGCCGTTGCATTTTCGTGGGACTTCGAATTGAAGTGACTGAGGTCTTTAAACGCGACTTTGGAATGCTAATGAACTATCGCTCCTTATGGGAAACTTATAGTTACTGGTCTCTCGGGCCGCACCTTTGGCGTCTGGACCCTCCTTAGCTCCGTCATCCGTCTCTATGGTGCCTACAATCTGCACCTTGCACCGTATGTTCATATCGCATTACAGGCCTTGGTTACGTACCCATCTCTGATAATGCAGTTTTGTAATCTCAGCCTTATTTCCTTGAATATCATTAGGATGTATAACATCACGCTCTGTACCTTTGGCATTGCCTGGCTCCATTTCATGTCCGAGTTCTTTGTTTTCCGTACTGCCAAGGTGACGGGACCCTTCCTGGCTCCCTGCGTCGTTGCTAGTACGTATAGATATCCATTTATTCCATTCTGGATAATAGCTTTCCAGTTTGATAGCGCTTGCTAACAAATACTCTATCTTTGGATTGTCCTTCTAGCTTCCTCCCTGATCTGGATGGTGTCGCAGTATGGATACTACGTCAAGCATTAAGAACAATGAGGGCATCTTAAAAACGAAGGAATGACAAAGTAGTAATTGTATTATACAATAAACAGGAACGCCGGTTCAAAGCAGTTCAATGGTCAAGTAATCATGGTTTATTCATTTTTGTTTAATATTCGCGAGAGGGAGAAGTGTACGAAGGAGCAGGACCATTCAGTCCAGCATAGCTACTCCAACTGCTCTCCGAGCCATGCGCCGAATGGCTCACGGACGATGGTCTCTCTTCGACGATCTCGTCCTCATACAACGAGATTTTCCGATTACGCAATACACCAGGACGCTCAGCAATACCGGTGGATTCTGCAGCTCTATTCAGTCGGGATGATAGTCGCTCCAACTCTGCCTTGTCAGCTGCAGAGATCGAGGCAGCAGAGCTGATTCCGAAAACGTTGTCGCTGTGCCCAGTTGTGGAAGATTCCCTCGAGGAGGTAGAGCCTGCAGACGGAGTCTTGGCCTCGTACAGGTTCACAGGCGGTACTGGAAGTGGACGGGACGGGATCTGACGGCCTGCTGTCTCGGAAGCCATGGTGGCCACAGCAGCCAACTTCGGTGACAGGGCGTGGTAGGCCCAAGAGAGGTATCCTTGAACAGAAGCGTGAGATGGAACATGGCCAATAGTCTCCTCTGGAGTTGACGACTCTGGATACGGCTCGCTACCGTGAAGGCTGCTACTGGCGGCGGAACGATCGGTGATCGAGGACGTGTCCCTGTTTGAGAATAGGGATGCGCCAGCCTGAGCTTGCGACTATTGATTGGTTTCGAACAGAACATATGCGCTAATCAGATTGTAATCCCTCAGCGTGGTTCTTCCTTTAAACAGGCACTTCTGGCCGGTAACCATGGGTACCTTTTTGTAAAAGTCCAGTACCAGGTTTTGGATCATTTGGATGGCCTGTTTGACATAACGCATGCCCATGGCCATTGCCTTCTTTTTCATATCCTGGAGAGCCTTGTCGATGTCATTCTCGTGCTGAGACAGGTACGGGTCCACGACTGCTTGGTAAAGATAGATAGAACCCTGGAAATAATTGAGATGAAGATGGAGGCAACATGGCTCTTCATTAAAACAACCATACGTCATAAATATGGCCACCTTTTGGACCTGTGCGAATTGGTACCTGTGTCTGTGGTAAGATCATCCAGAGCACAAAGAGCAACTTGATCTCATAATAAAACGGAAACCTAAGCAAATTGACATAGACACACTCAGTCAGCTCCATGACCACCAGTTGATCGCATCGAACAGCGGCCATTAGGTGGTGTCGTTCGTTTCCTGTCCTTACCAGAATATGAGCGTGTCAAGGACAAACTCGACCAGCGTGAAGATACCCATGACAGTCCAGTACATGAGCCAAGCAGTCAAGCGAGTATTGTTTCGGGAGTTGATGGCCTTGTACGACGCGTAGGCTGGGTACTATGGTAATAGAGTTATCAAATGTCTGGTTACGGACATATTCATGGTCGCACTCGGTATCAAGGTATTGTATTGTCCCACAGAACCATCGAGAGCTTCTGGGGTCCTTACAACTGAGCCGGCGATCGTGCTATATTGATACAAGGTGAAAGGAAATGTTGACAAGGCATGAGCACAAAGACGCCATGCCATGCCATTACGCGGTGCCATGAGTACCGCGCGAAAACGTCATTGTTCATTACCTGACGATTCCCGACAACAAGTACAGAAGCATTTCGGCTTTTGGATGGTGGTGAGTGGACTGTGGTAGGGGTTTATACAGTAGTGTTTACAGAAAGAGAGTGAGAGAGACGGAACAGAGGGATTGACAATGGAATGAGAAGAGGACGCATAGAGAGGGCAAAAGGAGTTTTGACTCTTGAGGGAAAGAGGCCTCTCAGGGCCTTGGCGAAACATCTCGTGACGCACTAATATGGGGTCTTTGCAATCCTTGCATAGATCAGTCACTCCTTCTCCAGCATACCCCCGTCCGCCAACCTTGGCACGTAGCCATAGCAGGTCATTCAGGCTCAAAGCAGTTCCACTGCGAGGCTTGCCGGCTTCAGGGACTGGAGCAACGACTCAATGGAGGCTATCAGTTGCTGTGGATACATAGCGCCCGGCAATCCCTTAGAACGCTTCCTTCATCAATAAGCACCCTTGACAAAAGAATTGTGGTGATCTTCGTTCTTTCCGGTATTGAATCGAGTATTATCTTGGGATGCGCCGAATAGTTAGCCAGCGAGAGGCTGCTAGACACAACTTTGAACTTTCTGCTCTATAATATTAACCGTTGCCAATAGGAACCGCCATTGACTCCACGCGCTTAATGACATCGGGTATGATAGGGAGATCTTTCTGTGTCCTTTCTGCTCTCGAGTTGTCAATGAATAAACTATGGTTCAACTAGCCCTACCGACAACCGAAACAAATTATAAAGAATAAAGAACAAAGAGAGAGTTTTTTTCCGCTTGTTTGCTCAACTGGCATCAGCTCAGGCTGAGAGGGCGTTTGTGTTCAGGACATCTGCGCGCACGGATCATCAACTTTGAACGCATTTTATTTAGCTTTGTCAAGATCACTAATCGCTCGAGTCTCTTTTCTGCTTCTCTCTCGCCAAACACCATCCGTTTCTCAATCCTTTCAGAGCATCGATCGATCCTGCCTGGCATCATTGTCCCATTCCAACGTCAATTCGACACATTGATTCTTCGCTTGCTGTCTCTTGGTCGGCCTCGCTCTTACCTAACCTAACACAACTGGCACAGGTGCAATAACCATGCCTCCGTCACATACCGGAAGTGCTTCTGACAGCGATAACTATGTTCCGCCCACATCAGAACATAGCGGCAACGAGGCAGAGACAGCAACCGTGGAAGTGGAGGAGGATTTGGTAGAGGGCAAGCCTCCAGTTAAAAAGCAACGACCCCGGAAGCCTCGAATCAAGGATCGACCCCGGAAGCCTCGAATCAAGAATCGACCCTGGAGACCTCGAGTCGGAGGGAATCGACCCGGGGAGCTTCAAATAGAAGAGCCTGGATCATCGAAGCGCGCGAGTGACTTGTGGTTTTATCATGCAGCGGATATCATGGTTAGAGAACCTGAACCCGATGCCAGAGAGATTGCATTTCTTGCCCTAGATGGGCTGATTCAGGAAGAGACTTACCGTTGGCCTGTTCGCGAAGAACTGCTTCCATCGTAAGCGAGTCCAGCTCGAAAAACAGGATATGAAGCTTTTTTGTATTTTGCCTTCGTGTTAAATTCTCTTTGTATCGCAATAGGATCCCGCCACCATCCTCGGACGATGTTTTTGCCGGCGACAATTTCGAGAGGCAGGGCCTAAATTTTGTAGATGACTTGAGTGGAGTACCCAAAACAGCGAAAGACTACAGCAACACTGACAGCAGTACCGACAGCGTGGGCAGTGACATCGAGGCGCCACTCCGAGAGGAGGAGCTGAAACAGAGAAAATTGGCCAAGCAACAACGCAAACGACGGCGACATTCTAACGAGCGAATGGCCAACGAGCGTTTGCAGCGAGTCCATGGTGCTCTGCGGGATGAGGTTACTGCGTTTGCAAGAAGGATGCATAAGGAGGCAAGGACGCAAGCAGGGGCAATTCGAGTGGACGGACTGAACTCCATTCAGGAAAGAGCAGTAGTCTTTTCAGCAGAGGATAGTTTACGAAGGACCCTAGACCGACTGCCCTATGTGGTTCGACAGGGAGCAATGGGAGAAGCCCCGGATTACGCTCAGATAGGTTATCCCAAGCCCGTGGCCTCCGAGGCGAGCAATGAACGTGGCTGGGACACTGTTATGGCAGCAGCCAGTATTAGTGGCATTGATGATCGGTACGTTCGTTTGCGCGCATTGAATTCACTCATTACTACAAAGAGTACTTTTTCACTCATTAAACCGATTTTTATGTATTCGGATAATAGGATACTAAAGCGAGTCAGTAAGAGGATGAAGGATTTTCTAGGCATGTCGAAAGACTCCAGATACTACGAAGAACCATAGCAGGATGGCAGTTGAATTGTTTGACAAGGGCATTTATACACTCTGACTTCTGACTTCGTGAGTATCTTTATGAACTACTGCGGCCCTAAGTGCACTCCAGCAAAGCGGATCGTCAAGTTCATGTTGATATCCGCATGCAATGGCCTCATAACCATCCGGCTGTCGTGCGATGCGCAGGGGTTCAATCCAACAAAAATAATTTCCTCCGCAACTTGTAATATCGAATAACAGATGTAACAGCACACACATGGGTAATAAAGATGGTGTACATGAATATAATACATTCTAATGAACTGTCTACTGCAGCACAATGCCTCTTCAGAACCCAAGTACCGTCTTCAGATCAGGTACAACGCCCAGCTTCAGCAGCCGATCGATCATCCTGGTCTTGCCCTTTTCTACGCACCAGCTCAAACATTGGCCATCGGGCTTGATGCCACGCTCCAGGAATACATCCAGCACCTCATTCTGCTCCTCGACACAGGCCCATCGCAACGCTTTCATCTCGGGTGGAGCACCAGCTGCAAGGAGCATCTTCACCATCTCGACATCGCCACGCTGAGATGCCCGTACCAGCGGATAATGTGATGGTTGGTATGGTGATGCTCCTCGTGCAAGGAGAGCGCGAACCAGTGGTATATTCTCGCCTGATTTAAAGAGCCATCGGGGCATTGGAAAGTCTTTGGGGATTGGAATAACAGCCTCCTCCTGGAGTCTGCCTGTATTGACGTCGTCGACGGAGAAATCTACATCTTTGTTGTCGTTTGATTGTGAAGGAGTAGAGGATGGCGGCAGAACCTGGTATTTTTTTCTCTTTTTGCGCGGCGGTTCTGTCGATCCAGAGGTCGATGTGACGGGAGCGATACGTGATGGGTTCAAAGAGAGCTCTGACGACGACAGGACCTTTGGACGCCTCTCTTCCCGTGCGCTTCCCTGTTTCTGTGCAATATCCCTTCGATAGACACGATCCAGCGCATTCAACAGCTCAAGGTCGAAAAACACCCAGCGAAGTCCCTTGACGACGGCCTTGACATAGTTATTCCTGTACCGAATGAGCAGAAAGTCGATCCTGGTCGCGATTGACCTTGAGAGAGGAGAGAGGGTTTGGTAGAGATCTCGACAGGTGAGAACGAGTGAGGGATTCGAGGAGAGTGTGAAGATGAGACTGAGGATTTCGGAAGGAAGGGTCGTTAAAGAAGCAGTGGAATGAAGCATACTCAATGAACATGGCAGAGAAGAGGGGTGCGAGGAAAATTTTTATTTGATGTACAAAATGCAAAAAAAAAAAGGGTTCCGAGAGCCAGGTCAAACAGGGCGCAAGTTTTCTGATCTGCACATTCAACAAACCCATCCGCTCCATGCGATCCATAAAGATCGAATTCCCTAAACGAGGCATCTTTATTTTTTACACGGAGGCCCCGGCTTACTGCGCGACACCCTCTATTGCATGTTTATCATCAATCTTCTATTACATCGGCATTGACTCGTCGTTGGAGTTGTTCGATCCGCGAGCGAGAGCTCGACCGGATCAGTCGGTGCGGTGGTTCAGCCTAGTTATCGAGGTGCACACACCAAACGATGCAGCGCTGGTTCAAGGGCCCTAGTTTACTATGTTTCTGAGGCCTGAAACATCCTATACCACTCGCAGAAGATAATTAGTGGCAACTTACCGTTTTTGGAAGTGGCTATGCATGCGCGCCGCAGTGTTTGGGGCGCGAGCCCCGATGGAGCTACTCCCATAGTAGTACCATCGCAAGAGAAGAGTTGAATGGACCTTCTTTCTGTGTCCAACTTTCCAACTTGCTGCCCTTCCACCAGCTTCTCTCCATTTCTGATCTCGCCCTTTGCGATTGCATTCTTGCATCCTTGTTAGGACATTGACTTTTACATATAAAACCAGACGCGCTTTAAAGCCTTTATGGAACTTTGCTATCTCAAAAAGCACTGCAATTTAAAAATCACACCAACAGCCGAACCGCAGGACACCATGACCAGCACTAACACCAGCACCAACACCAGCTCCAATAGCGCCGTCAATGTCTCCGTCAAACGCGCCCACGTCTACTTTGAGACTGGCCCTAACCACGTTCTCTGCAAGGTATGTGATAAATTGGAACGCAAGCAGCAACATTGCCAAGTCGTTGACTGATCGCACCTTCAATCGGTTCGGATATCGACATTCTAGGTTCCCGGCCTTGACCAGGATTCATTCCCGGAGGAGTTCCAGAGCACCTGGGATAAGGATCACGTCCGTCTTCCTTGCTCCGACCGGACCTACCCCAAAGACGTCTCGATGTGGCCTGAGATCGTCAGGGGCCTGAGCGAGCCGATTCTCACCTCCCAGCAGCTGTCCGAGGTCATGCTCCGATGGAGCAAGGGCAAGGAGAATGGATGGAATATCAACGCCCTGGATGCCTTCTTGAACAACCGGAGCGTCGAGGAGGATGAACGTGTCCAAGGAACCAGTTCGGATGGAGTCTTGGATTTATCGGATAAGGAGGCTCAGGCCGACTTTGATGAATATACTTCCAACAATTCTGATCCGGAGGAGTATGATCAGAAAGACAGAAGGGACCAGCATCTAAGCCAGTCATTGCGGCACGAGGACGAACAGCAGCAGGAGGAACAGGGTACTGAAGGCGTCGCCGCTAGTAGCGGGCCACTAAAGAGCCAGTTCCTGAGCACTGAGGAGAGGCAGTATTTTTTCGACGTGATCTTGCCTCGTATGCAGGCCCTCGCCCTTCGACTGCCAGAGTTGATTAAGAAGCCCATCCCATTCTTGAAGCAGCAGCATGATTCGGCCGTCACGCTATCGCAGGAGCAGATTGCTTGCCTGCTCGCCAACGCCTTCTTCAACACATTCCCCTGTCGAAACACCCCCTACAAGAGAGGCAGGAAGAAGAAGCCAGCGTTCAAGAAGGACAACTCTGGAACAAATGTGGGTCAAGGGCAACAGCAGCACGCGGCCCATAACGAGGACGAGGACGGGAGCGAGGACGAGGAGAATGTTCGTCACAAGCCCAAGCAATCCAACCGCGGAGGAGGAAATGGAGCTCGTGGAGGTCGAGGCGGTCGTGGGGGCTCCGGAACAGGAGGTCGTGGAGGTGGTAAGAAGAATATCGCAGCGCCTCGTCCTGCCATAAAACGGAAAGCCAAAGGTCCAGCTGCCCAGTTTGAGATCTTCGAGGACTCTGTCGTAGACCTCTCGTCCAACGTCGAGACGCTCACAGTCAAGGGCAAAGAGAAGAAAGATAGCGTTTCAGGGCCTTCGACACCATCGTCTGCCGCAGTCGAGAAGGAAGAACCTGAATGGGTGCCCAAGATGCCGTCCATAAACTTTATCAGCATGTTCTGGGGCGAAGAGAATCGTACCCCTTGCACAACGGCTCAGGCGGCTAAATTGAGGTGCATTCTGCATTACTTTGACCGCGTAACCACTGAGAGTAAGTCGTACATGCTTTCATACTCCCTGGCTCCTGGAAACATGTATGCCGCTCGCTAACCACCTCCATGCTTTGGCTCTTGGCAAACACTTAGTGCCCACGGGGACGGTCACCTATCACAGGCAGGTGCTGAAGAAGCCCGCGTATTTGGCACTAGGAGAGAGATTAAACGGCAAGGAGTTCCGCTTCAGTAGTGTGACCATCGACAGCACGATCCCGATCGAAGAAGCGCCTCAAGGAGCCCTTCAGCTCGACTTTGCCAACAAAAACATTGGAGGCGGGGCCCTCGACCATGTAATGCGGGGAGAGTCTAAAGCTGTATCCATTCATGGCATGAGAATTGCACTCGGGCCCACACTTGAGTTCAGACAACTAATGCCATATTGTTGTCTTTGTTTATAATAGGGAGCGGTACAGGAAGAAATCCGATTCATGATTTGCCCTGAACTCATCATCTCACGGTTGTTCACTCAGCAACTTGAGGCCAATGAGGCCGTGCTCATCAAGGGGGCCGAGCGATATTCGAACTATATTGGATACTCCAAAACATTTGAGTGGTACTCGGACCACCAGGACCCTACATCTCGGTATGCACTATGCCTTGAATGAAGCGCATGCGAACAAAGTCTCCAAGCGCAATACGTAATAATAATACTTTCCATTCTCTTTAATGTACGCTTATTCAGCGACAAGCTAGGCCGACGGATGACAGAAATTTGTGCTATTGACGCCCGGCCCTTCAAGTCCAGGGTTTCACGCTTGGAGCAATTTGAGCGACACTATATCCTCCGCGAGATCAACAAGGCCCTGGTTGGATTCCGTATCTCCCCCATCAACGCGTCCGAATGGGGTCTGGTCGGCAAAGATGAGAACGCGGAGTCTAGCAGAGTCTCATCGTCTGTGGATAAATATCGCCCGATTGCCACTGGAAACTGGGGATGCGGCGCATTTGGTGGCCATTTGCACCTCAAATTTATTCTCCAGTGGATTGCAGCCTCGATGTGCGGTTCTTTCAGCATGGAGGACGAGCGGTCAGGAGATGATATGCTCTACTACACCTTTGGAATGCACCAATTGAAGGACGAAATCGAGACATTTGTCAAATCGGTTCAGTCTCTGGATAAGGCTATGGACCCCAGTAAGTTACCGCTTTTGTGTTTCCATCGACGGTCGTATTATTATTGGTATGATATGTAACACTGATTTCGACGTTCATTACAATAGAGCGAATCGTGGAGAGCATCATTCATTACCCTCGACGAAATCCTGCTGGAGAGATCCAAGGATTCAGAGAAAAGTCCTTGCTCGAGTATCTGAGCAGCGCTATTGCATTTGTTCCGCAGGCGTAATTTAAAAGATTCTGCGTTCGATATGCCATATCCAAAGCAATAAAAAAAAAGTCGATGTTGGTAAAGGCATAACGTTTTTTTTTTATTTTTTATTTTTTATTGTCCATGTATGTGCTGTATGTCCCTTTGCAGCATGGTCATGGTTCGCCTAATGTCTTTTGGGCAGAGTGAACCAAACGACGCCTATATGTAACTCTTCCAGTCTTTTCAATCCAGAAAGTCGTTCCAAGATCATTCTTTCGATCACGGTTCGAGCTCTGCTTATACTGTTATGCTTTTCGTCTGGTGGCAAAAGGCGATCGACGCATAGATCAAAGGTGATCTGGTCCATGGGATGCAGCCGGTCAATGTCCTTGATCCAAAGTCGAAGCCTTCGCAAATCCTTGCAGGCCCACTCACTCGTCGGCTCATAAAACTTAGTAATCAGCCTTTGTAATCCTGGACCTATTGATGTTGACGCAGATGAGTCATCGGCGGAAACTGTCCAGGCAACACAGTCGCGAAGATTGAATGGGATGTCCAGGGTGACCAATTGAGGACAGAATTCCAAGAACCGCCAGATATTGAATCGAAAGCTTGGTCTCTGGAGGGCATCATTTGTTAGTACGAGATATTCGATTGTTTGCGCGTGCCTCTGTAGGATGGTCTCGAAAAAGTCCTCGAGTACTGGAAAAGGCACGTTGCCTTCAAATGTGGCCAGATGAGTGATTGTGTTGACCAAGGCCATGAACTGCGATGTTTGCGAACAAGAGGTTAAGATCATTAAATGCTTAAGCTCTGCAAAGCTATGCACTCTCCCGAGCTGCTCCACTGTGTCCTGAAAGTCGCCATTGAGTAGATTTGCCAGCTTGAGCGATTGAATATTAGGAACATGCTGCAGGAATGAGGGGATGAAGTTGCCAGTGAATTCGAGCATGGCCACCCCATGATGCTTGTAATCCCGGAAGGACGGTGCTGTGTGGACCTGAATGCTGCTCCTCTGTTCCTCCCCCAGGATCTCCTCCGTGGCCTCGAATGTCAGGTGCTTTAGTGCCGGGCATGACTGAAGGATCTTGACAAAATCGTGTCTCGATAAGGACCAGTTCGATAGCGTGAGATGCTCCAAATTCAATAAAGATTCAAACATGGGCACCCACAGGCGATACGGTCGTTCTTCCAGCGTGTCTCTGCCATGGCACCTCCACCACAATGTTCTTAGCACCTCCCGATTCCTTTGCACAATCTCATGTAAACATCCTCGTCCGTTGTCTTCTCTGTACCTGGATCCGCAAGTGGAGACCTCGAGATGCTGCAGATGTAAGACTGAAGGCTGGTTGAAGACCGAGGTGTCCTCGATACGCCCCGCAAAAAGCGTGCGAATGTGGTGCCCCTGGCGTTTGATTGCGACAGCAGAGCAGCGCGTGAGTTTGTGGGGGCGTACATTGACCTCGCGCCAGTAGAGCGGTAGGAAATCGGAGGACCATTTCTGGGATACAAGGATGCACTGGGCCAGGTCGGCTTTTTCCAGGTTGGAGGCGATCTGCTGGCGTATCTCAGGCAGGTCGAGGGCGTGAAGAACTTGAGTGTTGGATTCGACGCTTGAGGATGAGGCTGAAAGCGAAGAAGTAGATGGCGATGGCATGGTGGGATGATCTGATTAGGGTGATGATGTAGCTACACCTAGTGTTTTGAGGTTTATTTGGTTGGCATGGTTTTAGGCGTATTAGGGTTTTTCTAGCCAATCTCTTTAGTAGGTGGGGGAGGTTGAACGTTCATTTACTTCAGTGTAATACCCATGAAAACAACCAGTAGCGACATTTTCAGGGTCTTGTCTGCAAGGTTAAAACAAACAGTTTCCTCACGAAGACCGTTTTATAGGCCGTATAGCTAAGCTTAGACACGCCTCACTTTGCGAGCTGTAATAGAGTCGCGGTAAAAAAAATTGTGAGGCATTAGGGTGAATGTGAACGCGATCGGCGTGTTCACCCGTGTACACATTGTGTCCGCTTGACGATGCGCCACACTGTCTAATTTTACGAAGCCTAGCTACTGCTCGGCGCACGAAGCAAGCATAAATGTCAGCTGAAGGATGGAGCCCATATTTGCATGAATTATCTTTGCATATGGATCAACAAGGAAACAATCCCATTATTCATTTCCCGCTAAATAACAAAGCTGCTCCTGCCTGAAACAATTATACGCGACTTTTTTTTATTTTTTATTTTTTTTGCCGTCGACTGTGCTAGGATCTTTGGTTACTATTACGTTTCTGTTCTTTACTTCACATTTTAAAGGCAATGTTCCGCTCGCAGACATACCATTTGCTGGCGTACATGGGCCTGTGGAGTGCAACAGGCCAGAAAAAAAGAGAAGAGGACGCGTCCTTGCTGTGGACTATGAGGTGAGCGCCCCTTCAAGAGTAGCGTTGCTCAATGATACAGTTTGCTCATGCACCTTTGATCAAGCTCATCGTCAAGACATGGGAGAAATATTGGGCGCTCAATTCAATCAAGTAAAATAATACCACGCGTTTGATGTGCCTGCATAGTCTAGTGCTTTAGTCGTTCCTTTTATGCTCACCCCTACTTGCCCCTGAACCCTCCTACCCTCTAATCATAGTCAAACAAGATCAACAACGTTGGTTGGTTCGGTTTAGGCATGAATGATGGGGCAAGGAATAAAACGCAAGCACAAGCAGAACCACCGGTTTCGACAAAGTCTGCCCGAAATTTGTCCCCGTCTAGATTCGCGGTGCTGGTGATTTGGAAACTCTACTGAGCTTTGTAGCATGCTCCAAATTTACGACGTATGAAGCATCAAATATAATCTAACCTTGAAGTTTGAACGAAGTTTCTACGGTATATTCTCAGGACTAGAACTTATGTACGTTCATTGAGAGAAAGCCAAGTTACATAGAGAATAATGGGATAGATGGCAAGCATAGTCTATAGAGATTCCGCTGCCCAAAAAATTGGTTCCTAGGAAGCAACAAAGCCCATAACGAGAGGTTGAGTAAGAGGGGAAGCGAGGCTAAGCAGGATCGGCTGCATTCCTCTCTTTGTTGAGGGCGCGGTAAACAATAGGGTTCCGCTCACCCTGTTATAGCGCACGTATTGAGAAGGATTAGCATGCATGAACACGTTAAGATGGTGGTGGCGAAGGAAATGCCACGTTTATATTGCAGCACGAATAATAGGTAGACGAAGACAGTGACCTTTGTAATGAAGAAAAACATAGCAGGCATACTAAAAGTACTAATGAGGAAGATTGGTGGTCGCTTGTACTCTGCTCTTGATTCTGCAGCAAGAAAAAGAGCAAAGAGCAATCCTGGTATTGCTTCATTTTATGTTGGCGAAGCGGGCCATCCACCCATTGTATTAAGTCGCATTTGATCTTTTACTGTTCCGCACGTGAATATTTCCTTTCTTCTTAATTCTTGTGCCCTCCTTCACCCCTTGAGCATAGGTTCACATGGTGGTAGTTGAAGACCGTTTTTGAAAAGGGATCATTCCTAAAGTTGGCTTAGAAGTCTGGACCGCCTGCTGGAGTTAATCGGGTCCCTCATTCCTGCAATTTTATTCAAGGTTGGGTCATTTCGAACTCCAGAAACCTCTGGAAAATGGAGAGGGTGAGTGCGCGTGTAAGAAAGTGATGGGCTTGGTTGGAACGTTGGTTGTGCACCATTCCAGCAAATCATGCAAGGAGATTAAGAAGAGTAATGTGCAGCAGAAACAGATCTAGAAGGTTCAGAGGGGAATCCTTAAGTTGCCCGACAGTGCACAACAGGATGTATCAGACGACAAGAATGGCGAGATTTGTTGTAGCAAAGAGACCGAGAAAGAACAAAGGAGATAAGGAGGGGATATGAAGAACGAAAGGAGTTGTTCTTGGTAGTATCCCTCTGTCTATCTGCCTGTTGGAAGGAGTTTATGCCGCACTGCCTCGAACGTTCTGTCTAGCTTTCTCTGTACCAGTTATGCTGCATGAGAAAGTGTTGCTCGGCCCTTGTCTCCGAGGAGCAGTCTGATGACAAGGCTGAGAGAGTGTGTGTGTGAAAAGGAAGGAAAGATTGCTGTTAGTCTGTTTATGCAGGAAGGTGCCATTCTTGTATGCAAGATGAAGATGAATATGAAGTGAGCCAACTCTCCCCCTTCCTTCTTTCGTACGCCCGTTTTTCTGCTTACAAGTGAAGGGAAAGGAAAAAAAAAAAGCGTTGGCGCATTACTACAAGTAAATGCATTATTAACCCCCTTCTTTCTTGAAATTTCCCAGAATCGACTTTAATTCTCGCTTTTCGATTCTTAATTTTTATTGATTACTTTTCTGAATGGTCAAGAATCGACAAGGCGGCGTTAGGAGAGGGTTTCCTGACTTATTATCTTCATGGTTGGAGAGAAAATCGGGAGGTTCGGCACTTCGTCTCTTTTTGGTTCCTGAATTCCTTCTTCTTTAATCCTAATCCATGAGAATTAAGAAAAAAGGTCGCTATCACTTTGCCTGGCCAATCGGAGGTGACTTTGAAGGGCTTCTATGGAGTGATGGTGATGCTGGTAGTCCTCGAGCTTAGAGAGGCATCTAGTACAGCTTATCAAGCCTGTCGTCGATTTCGCGGCGCTTCCGTTCCATATCACGCACCATCTTCCGCTGTGCTTGCAATCTCAGCTCCTCTCTCTTGCCAGCTAATTCCTTATCCACCTGGATCTCTGCCAACCTTCTTTCGTGTTCATTTTTCTTCTTCTCACGCACCATCTCGATCTTCTTCCGTTCGACATTATTATACAGTATATCCCTAGCCTTCTTTATCTCCAGCTCCTTCTGCCTTACCTCCTTCATCTCTACGCTTAACCGTGCCGTCTCGTTCAAATCCTTTATTCTGTCCAGCAGCGACTTTAAGGACACTTTCCTGGATTTATTGGACGTCGACGGCAATTCATCTCCTTTCTCCTGTTGACCTTGATCTTCTTGCTGTTCCTACCATTCCCGTTGCTGGCGCTTCCGCCCCGGTTGTGCTGACTTCGACCTTGTCTTCCTTCTATGATACCGCAATCGAGGACGTCTCACAAGAGCCTCCTTGTCCTCGTCTTCCTCGTCTTCCACATAATGGCGCTCCTCCTCAGGTCCCTCGTCCACATCGATGAATTCGCTCGCTTCTCCATCTTGCGCCTGGTTCCGAACTTCATCCTCAACGATAAAAGGATCGTCCAGGTTACCGAGAGAGAGTCAGCGTATTCCGTTGGTATGTTTCCTGTTGGTGCATCTGCTGGCGCTGGTGCTGGTGCTTGCTTCTGTGGTTATTGGAGTACGAGAGACTGTTGCAGCTGTCGCGGCAGCTGTCGAATGAAAGGGATAGTTGTTCGAAAGAACTCGTCGGGGGACAACGGTGTCTCGTCTGGCCTTGCGCGTTTGAGACGTACTTGCAGAGTACCCTCTGCTTGCGGAGGAGGACTTCAAAGTGGAAGAGGATCAAGAGGCGGAATGGCACTTGGAATACCACTGCACTGAATTAGCGAAGGAGTCTCGGACGCCATGATGAATAAGGAAGGAGTGCACAAGAATCAGCTCGAGAAACAACCCCGATTATGGTTCCTCAGGTTACGCGAAGCCGATCGAATTCGCCCCTTAATCATGAATCGTAAGTGAGAATCGATCGATTCTCATAGTTTCGAGAAAGGAGGGGCTATTGAGCTTGCTTTTATTACTTTGTTGAATGGGCTGAACTTTGTACTCAACTGGAATCTACCCGCGACCCATGGACCATGCCCAAAAATTTGTTCCCTCCCCCTTCTTTGTGCCCCTCCGCTACCCCCTTCTTTTTCTTTGCTCTTGCTCTTGCCTCACGCCGATGCAGCAAACAACAGCTGGCGCATAAGCAACCTCAATAGTCTATGTCTATGAACATGCGCGGTAATCTTCGTACCAGCCTGCCGCCGCTATCTAATTGAATAATAACCAGTTATCAACCTCGACGTCCATTTCGATAATTGAATGGAACTTAAAAAACAGTGCTGGGACTATACAATTGTGCTTTGATGTGCCCAGCGTCTTCTTTTGTGAGCTTCAAGCAGCACTAACCATCTCTCTAACTCTCTCCCCCTCTACCATTCCCTCTTTTTCGAACACCTGTTCATCAGCATCAGCATCAGCATCAGTTCATTCCACCATACACCCCTGGCATCACATTCATTCACTCGTCGCATCCTTATTCCTCCCTCTTCATACAGCTTTCACACTCACCCTGCCCTTGGTGCCTATTCCTCTTGAAACCGACCCATCGGCACAGCGCTGTCAGTTACGCCTCGCCTTCTTTATTGGCAATTGTATCGTTTGATATATCCCAATTGCACTCACAGCTGTCTTATGCCCCACTCCCTTTATTATTCACTCTGCCTACTCTGCGCACTTCTGATCCTAATCCAGCAGTTGTCACCAGTTCATAACAGCACACATCACACCTCACTCTGCAAAAGCGAACGCCAATATAACCATCCCCAATAGACGAATCCCTCGAAAAGCAGACTTGGTCCGCACTGTCTCTCCGTCTCTGAGCAACAAATTACACCGACTCGAAGCACCTGGACGAAATACATACTCGCCCCTGATTTCCTGGACTATCTGCTCGGTCCATCAACCCCGTCGTGGATTAAGTTCACTGCTTTGCTTGAGCGCAAACCTTCTTTCGCGTCATCTTTCTCGCGCGTCCTCGTTGTCTTCCACGCTTGTGTGGTGCACAATTAAGGCGTGCGAGTGGGTGAACGAGCGTGCGTGTGCGTGTGCGTGTCTTAGTAGGAGGGCGGAAATCACCTCCTTCTCCCCACCGTTTTTTTCCCCGCAATCCATCCACAGACTATCATTCTTCCCGGCCCCGGCAAGCCCTCTCTCTTTTCTCCATGATTGTCGTGTATCGCCTTCGACAATAGTACCCCACGATACCTGCTCACTTCTACCCCATCTGCACCATCATTTCACCCAGTTTCTCCGATATTCCATTTAATACACGACTCATAACCTTCGATACCAATCCATCCTAACTCAAGAAATCGAGGCTAGAATGACAGCACACAATATCGAGGCCCATGCTGTGGACTCATTACTGCACAACACGCTCCAGCTACACAGACAACTCAACAAGAGTCATCCAGGCGTAACACGGCCATTGACCCACACTCGTCAAAATCGCCACCAGCCCCACAGCCACGGATCAGCAGAAGAAAGGACACAGGCAGGTAGTGTCAGCTTTGGAGCACCGCTGGCAACGGAAAGCAATGCAGCAGGGGGCACAGTTATGAGCAAGACCCTTTCAGCTTCCTGCTCATCTAGCAGTATTGCAAGTCCTAGATTAGCAGCGGCAGCGGCTATTATTGCTTCTCCTCCTGCATCTACTGCGCCCAAACTATCTTCCAGCTCATCAACACCCTCTAGTCCTACACAGCCATCTTTTTCAGCAGCCTCAATACCTCGACTACCATCTGCCTCCACGTTTGTGCCCTACAACGAGCTGTCAGTAGGAAAACAAGCACATTCCAACAAGTCCGCACCTCTCGACAAGAGTGCTCTTCCATCTTTATCAGTCGACACAGCCTCTCTAGCACCATCTTCAACAAGAGCTGTTGGCAGCGCCCCATACACTCGACAATACACCAAAAGTCTCTCCTCAGGGATACACTCACAACCAAACCTCGCGCCTCACCCCCATGTACGACGTAACAAGACCTCCCTCAGCACACTGGCAAATATCGACCACAATAATAGGTTTCTTCACCATTTCCGTGGAGGTTACGACCCAGGGAAAGGCAATTCGACAATATCTATTAATGTCCGTTTCGTGTCCAAAGACTTGTGGGTGCGCGTAGAGATTCCAAGGGACATACCAGTGCGCAAAGCTCGCGATCTTGTACTAGAGCACTGTCAACTCACAATGACACCTCCATCTGCGCCGTCTTCGGTAGCAGATACCACGGTCATGGACGACGAGTCAGCACTTGCGGCTATCCCAAAGGCAGTTGATGAGCAGGCACTGGATAAAGATGTCAGCCAGAGAGAACTCGCGTCTATAGATGCCGTGGGAAGCAGTAGTGATGCTAACAAGACGCCAGCGGCCCGTTCGAGGATGACCAAGGGCACGCACAGATCTGCCGCGCACGGTGACATTCAGTCGTCCTACTCGGAGCCATCCCTAGCAAAGTTGGCTCTGTCCAATAACATCAATGGCGGGGTTGGTAAGGATACGCGGCGCTCTCATATGCCACTCCAAGAGCAAGGCTCCCAGCAGAAGGCGGCAGAGGCTCTTGTTGCTCGATTAGATATGTTTGCGCATAGCATCAATGGCATTGGAGACGAGGCTGCCAAGATCAACTATCTCAAAGACGTCACATTAAAACATGGCCCCACTGGCGCTCACAATGGAACTCCCTCGAGCACTCATCCCACTGGTCCCAGCAGAGCTCAGCAACTCAAACGGCTATTGTCAACCTCCCCGGTACACAATGAGGATATCCAAGGTACGAGTCCCCCAGATCGTGCTAGTCGAGATGTGGGTGCAAGTCGACTGGGACACATCTCTGGATGGACACATTGGAGGGATCGGCATAACAGCAACTCGGGCAAGCAGATCGAACGAGCCACATCTGACCAAGGGGACATACCGGTGGACTGCTCCAAGGCAGTTCAGCCGTACTATAATGGGGGGTTTAAGGGCGATCAGGAGGCGTGGAGGCAGTCCTTTGGGCTCTTCTGGGTAGCAGCGGTAATGCATACTCCTTTAAAATATGTTGGATTCTCGGATGTCCTATTAAACGTCGCCACCATTACTGAACCATCAATATCCTTTTTCTTTACGCAACAAAAAGGGACACTGGCTAGATGATTCACGGACGATCAATTCGTACTCGTTTAAACCGCAAGATCTACTTGAGCTCCAGCTGAGGAATCATTACATCCAGCTGCCCCCTCCGGACGGAAACCTAACCTATTATGACCACTACGCCGAAGGCATTCTGTTCAAGCTGTCAAAGAAGAACAGGCCAGTCAGTATGTTCACGAACCATGGTAGCAGAGAGTCCCAGGGCGTCTGGAAGGAGCGTTGGGTCGTACTACAAGGGTCAAAGCTGCTTATCTATCACAAGCGAAAGGTACATGAGGCGCGGTATTGCGCATGCAGAAACTGATGTTTGTGATGTATTAAGACGAAGTGTCGATGGCCTGACTCAATGTAGCTAATATGCCTCGGAATTTCTTCAGGACACTACGAAGAAGACCATAGATCTGCCAACCCCTCTACATATTATAACGAGGACACTGCCTCGCAACCCGCGCCAATTCTTCAAGGTCACATCGTCCTCCACGGCAACCATGTCGTCGACCATGATTACACTTGATGTATCGCCTGATCCAATGGTCCCCAAACTTTGTTTCCGAGGAATCAGCGAAAATGTAAGTGAGGAGCTATCGGTTTATCGGTTGCTTGAGTTGATGCCGTATAATTTCATACGCTTCGATATCTGACTTTTAACGATTACAATTCACAGGAAGTTAACCATTGGACAAGGATATTCAACTCCCTAAACAATAACGCCGCACCCCTGAGCTCCCCCTTGGTTGCTCAAGGGGGCTTTGGGTCACCTAACTTGGGATCTTTGGAATCGATGCCTGGTCGCTCCATGGACAGTTCAAACTCACTCGCTAGTTCCCTTGGTGGATACTCTTCAGAACGCAAGCGAAACCATACCACGAACAACACGTTCCATAATACAGTAGCATCAACTATGCCATCCATCGATCCCGTGCTCATCTCGAACGCAGCAGCAGCGATCTCAAACCTGAACAGTATGACCAACAGTAACCATCCGACAACGATCAACGGGCACCGTCGTAATATAAGTCAGACGACCAATCTCAGTGGGTCGATGCTTAATAACCGGGATATGAACTTGCTTCAGAATCACCCCTTGACGACCTCGACCAAGGAGGATATCCGTCGGAGAGCCATTACTGAGCCGAACCGTTTTCGTTTAATCAGTATGCAACCTCCAGCACAGCGTGGCCATGCCAAACATGGATCCAAGGGTAAGATTGATGGTGTTTACGAAGAGTGGCATAGTTACTCGGTAGGAAAAGCCGGTTCTGATGTCGCTCATTTTGGTGCTCTAACTCGCTAGTATCAGCACCAGAATTGGATACAAGCCAGGCAATGGATGTGTCGAACGTTTCGGATGTACCCTTCATGCTGGACTCACCCCCCGGTCGAAAGAAACGCCCAGTTCTAGGGACTGAGTATCTCGACAATGCAAGCCAGGTTCTCATGGCAACCTCCAGTGCACGCTCTTCCACAGCGCCTCTCTATTCTGGCTATATCTGGATGTACATGCCGAACGTTATTGACACGAGAGAGGATGAAGCGATCTCCAAGAGAACGGAGAAACAGCCAACGGCATCTTCATTCAACGATGAGTCAATAGCCATTCCTACCACTACTTCGTCACCAAGTACTTCAGGATCTAGAACGGTCAGCTCTAATACGAACAAGGCATCCGGGCGATACGTCAAGTGTTTTGCAGTGATCAGCGATCAGGGTCACTTCCAATGGGTTGAAGTCAAGAAGCAGAACGATCTGGAGACTGAACAGGAGCTAAAAGCGAGGCTGAAGGGAAGTACATCCCGTTCGAGTTACGGGATTCAGCTGACAGCACCAAAAACAGGCGAGCTAGACAGAGACACAGACGGATGCTCGATACCTGAGGAGTCGTCGGAACGACTTACAGGAATTTCATCGACAGAGCCGTCGAGGTGCGACACAGGGTTGATTCAGGCGTCTGTGGCCCATAAGCTGCGCCTGTTCTTCTTTTGCATCAAGATCCCGCCCTCTGTACTGACAGAGGTCCTTTTGAACACGGCGGAGGCAACTCCCCGCGCCCCTTCCATCGCCGCTACCGCTACCGCTACTAATGCAGCTGCCAAGGCAGTCAACAAGATTCGACATCGGCTGTCGTCCTCCCTCTCAAATTTCACGACATCTGCTCTGCCACCATTACCGAACACGAAGTCGCAGTCGCTGACGGGATCGATATCGAAGGGGAAGAACATGACCTGGCCAAATATGGCATCGTCTCATGACAAGGAGGTGTTTACTCAGAATCACCAGCAACAGCAAGCACTGCATCCTGAGAAGGCGATGACAGTTCCAGGCGGCTCAATTGGATCCGTTTTGCACAAGGCGTCATCGGTATCGCTCAAGTCGACCCCGCCGAATATCACGACGGTGCCGTCTGTAGCTTTGACATTAATGTTACAAGGCAAGGACGGAGAATCTATCCAATTCGCTTCCCCGACTTCGGCAGAACCCACCTCGCCGGTTTCGCCCACATCGTCGTCCAACAACGTCTTATTCCTAGCGCAGAGTCTTCAAAAGGCAGTTCTATTGAATCGTCAGCACTCGGTCACAAATGATGAGTACAGCGACAGCGGCAGCAGCAGCAGCGAGAACACAACCACACAATCTACACAGTCATCTCCTCTAGGCTCATCCAAGGCTCGATTGACGCTTTCGAAGGCAATGGCGGCAAATCAGACGGCGCTTCCTGACTCGGCTGCGATGCTAGAGCAATCCAAGTTGCTGCAGGAGCAATTGGAGACTCAAAATCGCCATCAGCGAACAGAGGATCGCTCTCGTACTAGACATCAGCAGGAACATCACACACATCTACAGGACTCTTCTGGTGTCTATGTAGATGTTAATAGCTCTGCGAGCATCAACTCTGTGTGTCCATTTATGGAGTTGAGCGAGAACGTTGATGGGTCGGACGAGGCGTTCGTGATGTTGAAGGGGTATACAGAGACAGAGGAAGGATGGAAAGCCTTGCAGTATGCACTCGAGAAGTCCCTGGGTAAGGCATCCTCCTTGGATGATTTAATCTGCCTCATGATTTATGGATCGTAGTCGTGATTGCCCATAAAACTGACTAACATGGCTATTCTCATGTTATAGATGGTTTGATCGGGGAGCAGACGTCAGCGCTTCCTCCTGAGGACACACTCATTCCATCTTATCACTCGCCTCCCGAGGTGCAACTCTCCGAAAAGGCGCAAAGGTTTCTAGACGCGAAGGAGTCGCTTATCGAGGAGGCCAACCTAGCAGCATCCAAGGCTGCGGTCGAGGCCGCCAGGTGTTCCACACCTGATATGGTTTCTGGAGGATCCATCGTGCCGTCGAATGGAGCCGTGGCGCAGATTCGAGCGACGAGTGTCAGTCTGACGAGGTGGATGAATCTCACGGGCGGCGGCGAGAAGGACCGTGAGAAGAGCAAGGTCCGTCTTCCTCGATAAATGTACTGAGCAAGAAAAACAAACGAAGCGAGGTGGTACCTTTATTGTGATTAGTGGGATCTCAATAGAACCACGGGAGCACTAACGCGAGAACCTTTGTTCTGTAATGATATCAACAGAAGGCCAGCTCTTCCGTCCCACAAGCAGATTCTGATCAGAACAACGGCAAGCACGCATACCTTGGTGCAATGCCAGCACGCCCAATAACGATGACTTCATGCTTCGTGTCAAGCAACGGCCGCTCGACTGCTGGCGCCTCCACTGCGAGTGGGGCGTCTGTGTTCACAACAGAGGCTTCTGCAACTGGAGAAGGTGGTGGTGATGATGATATTGAAGCCCATACTAAGCGAAGCGCACCGCCCAACAATACTCTCTCGCCGTCCATGGGTGCAGGGGCCAGTATGCTCCGTCCCCGACCGCGGCTGTCCCAGCAGCGATCTGCAGACGAACTATCTAAGGCGTCTGCCAGTGAAACACTCGATCCAAGCTATGACAAAGGCCACCATTCAAGACAGCACACGTCAGGAGGGGATGTTGCGCTGAATTCGACTCCAACGACCATAGTGCAATCGATCAGCACTGAGGGCGTAGGAAATAGCAGTGGTGGAAGTAACGGTCGATCCGGATCAGCATGCAAGGCCACATCAAGACTACAGCAACGGGATTTTGCCAGGACTAGTCAAAGAAGGGTGACAGGGGCGTCTGCATCGGACGCAATCGCAGCCACTTTGGTTCTTTTGCCATCGCACTTTCCAGAGTCGGACATTCAACTCTCGCCTTCGTTGGGATACGCACCAATGATGGACGGAGTAGCGGAGGAAACAACAGAAATAAGGTTGAACTCATTCTCGCCGACGGCGGCAACGAGTAGTAAGCTTGCCGAGACCACGGAGATGTCGGTGTTTGCGCCTGGAGAAGAAGTGTCTTTGATGGCTGCTGGCAACGGTGGAAACAAGGCTGCTGGTTCGGCCGAGGATACCGCAAACAGGAGTAGTTTTCACTCGCTGCATTCTAACAACAATAATAACAATGGCAGGAGCAGCGCGAGACGGTTATCGTTGATGGAATTAGGAAGGTCACTGGGCGTTCATGCTGCTGCCAATGATTATGGGAGGACGACAAAGGGGGAGGTAACACCACCACATTTGCAGCCCCTGGATCCTGGAGCCACGATGATGATGATGATGGATGGCGTTGATGCACAGACGCAAGAACGAGTAGTCGAGGAGACTGTGCTCGTCGAAGACAAGGCCGGAGGGAGAGGCGTGAGCGGCAGCGGCAGCGGCAGCAGCAGCAGCAGCAGCCATCCTGGCAAGAAGCATCAAACGGTTCTTGGAGCGAGCAAGGCAGTGGTTAGCGGTGTGTTTGGCAAGTTCAGGAAGAACATTGGGTAGAAGGGGGAGCATTTACCATAGTTGCATAGTTGTTTTTTGTTTTTTGTTTGTACATGTATATACGTGTGTTGTTCCTGAGGAAGATTAAAAGAAATGGTGGCGTTGGTATATGTAGTTTATGTCGCTGTACAGAGAGAGATGCGCAGGATGCATCTGGAGCGGTGGTGCCGCCGAAGCCGGCTAGGACTGTATCGTATTTCTCTATCTAATATGTACTGTACATGTGGCCTGTGTGGCACGGCCCTATTTGAGCTGGTAGCGAGGAGTCTGTGGGGATTTTTGCCATTGGGAGTTAGACCGATTGGACCATGGATGGTTAGATAATAACTGCGTCGCTTTCCCGCGTTTTTTATACTTCCTATATTTTTGGGACTGGGGATTTATACAAAGCATCCATCGAGGGTGTGAGGGACGAGGAGGACATGGGGTGTACTTGTGTGAGCGTTGTGGGTGGGCGTAAAAAGACTCGGAGCTGGCGCTTGATTGCGCAGGTTTTGTAAGAAAAAAAAAAGAAAGGCGCACAGGCAGGGGAGGAAGCGCACATGGTGGAGAGGCAGACACGACGCGTCCTGACAAGAGGGGGAACGACTGGTCCAGTTGCGCCCGAAATCAGGACCATGCTCAGCCAGTCGAATGAAGCTGAAGGGAGAGTCCCTCTGCTCTGGGTCTACGGCGTCCTTCCTTTCTTTCTTCCTTCCTTCCCTCCTCCCCTCCTGTTTGCCACCGCCGCTTTTTTTTTTTTTTTTTTTTTTTTTTTTTTTCTTGTTTCCATTCCCCCTGGAGGAGATCGATCTCCCTCAGTCGAATGCAATTCCACCAGCGACCAGCGATCAGCAATTAGAACCCAGACCAGACAAAGAAGGAAAGAAGTAAGCGCTGAACCCTTTTTATTTGCTCGCTCGTTCGCTTAATGCATTCACTTTTCTTTTTTCCTCTTTCCTTCTCTTCCCCCCTCCTCTCTCTTTCTGCTCTTTCGCCTCTTTCCCCTCTCCCTGCTTTCCTCTCTTCATTTCGTCCTCTTTCCCTTCCTTCCTGCCTCCACTCCCTCCACCACCCCTCACACGCCGTGCAACGAACTTCTTCCCGCCGCTAATCCTCATCCGCATATCACTCCAAACGCCTTGCATATCCCCTTCTCACCTCACCTCACACTGCACTCCATACACTTTCATCCATCGAATCGCACGCCTTTGACTCAACTCTACATTGTTTCCAAACCAGGACACCCGTACATTCTTCTTCCCCCCTCCCGCAGCGGCCTCTCTCTCCGTTCTCCAAAATGGACCAGCAAGAAGAGCAACACCGGCAAACCGACGGCAACGATCTCTTTGACAACATTGAACCACACCTGCACCCCTTTGATGCGCACAGGGTCTCCGTGCACACCTCCGCAGAGACGGGCCAGGAAACTCCAGATCCACCTCCAGAGCACACCTCGGCCACCCCCGTTATCATCATGACCCCTGTGGAAGACGAACAGGCACCAACACCCACAGTGTCAGTCGACATGAACCCCATGGACCCGAGCGATATCGATATGGAGGCTGCCTCGATTTACAGCAATCAGTCCTACGACACCGCACCCGATTATGAAGAGGCCTCATTATTTGAAAAGGACAACGGCAGCAGCGATCAAGGTTGTAGTATTGAAGATAGCAGTGTCAATATCGACAGCAACAGCGATAGTAATCACCTCAACAACGACAGCGGCATACCCTCCCCTCTGGATAGTGAACACAGTGCAGGGGCGCGAACCCATTCCTTTGTAACCCAACATTCGACAAAGCTGCACAACCAAGACCAAGACCAGCAGAGAGACGCGGAGCAGGCTGCAAATAGGCGGCTCATCACCATCGAGCCTGCAGCATTGTTGAAACAACAACTGACTATTCTACACCCCGCCCTTACAGCTACGCCCGACCCCTCGACAGTTCTACCCACAGTTTTCGCTCTCGCATCATCCGTTCCTAACCCGACTGTCCACCAAATTTCTATGACCACCCCTGGTCTGCCCACAGCAACTGATCTGGTCCCTGTGCCCTTCAAAACCGTTCTCCACCCACCTCTGAACCCTGCAGGAGCTGCCAATGCGTCTCGGACAGAAGAAGCTACTTCAAGACCCTTATCTTCAGAGAGCATTACTAGCCCAGATTTTCCGAGAGCAGAGGATCTAGATGACAATATCCATCCTTACTTTGCCGGGTCAAACTTGTTAGAACAACGGCCCTCATCTCGGGACCGCAATGCCGCTCATGAAAAGGCTGAACTGATCGAGCCTTCTGGACCCGAGGCTGGCTGGTCCAAGTTGGGTCCCGATCAAGGCTCCTCAACGTTATCGACCAGCTTTTTCACGCCCTTGTCAGACTCAGCCAGGGCGCCAGTGTCCCATACGATCTACAGTCAGCATTTGGACCCGACTCACGACAGGCAAAAGGTGGACGATTTCCAGCGACCACAAGAGGAGGCACTGGCTGCAACCGAAGAAAACAACTCGATTGGATCGAGAACGACAGTGTTTGGATTTACTCCGATAAACAACCCAGGGAATCAGCAGGCCAACATGCTATCCAGCGAGGAAGGAGTGCTGAGGGATGGACATGTTTGTCAAAAGTTGCCAATTGATCATAGGGCACGTTCATCCGATGGCGTTGGTGGTGACGGTGCCATTGGAGGAGGCGGGTCGAGAGGCTACGGGAGCAATTTGAACGAGCTTCTCAGCGGAGGAATGTTAAACCCTATGTCAACCCCTCGGGTACGCGCAGGAATTTCGCCCACGCTCAATCTGGAGCAGCATGAGGACGCGACGGGGGTGCCGCAGGCGGAAGACGAAGAGTCGGTCAAGGATCTGATGGATACGAAGGATTGGAGCAAGACGGGTCTTGGACCAAGATCGAGTTGGCCGACAGAACTTTTGACATTTGTATCGCTTCTGATGCGGTCGGCCTCTCCGCTTGCTATTTATTGGGGCGACCAGCACTACCTGCTCTACAACGATGTAAGTGGGGAGACGTATCGTGTCGCTTTGTCTCTGTTTTTTTTTTTCTACCTGCCTTGTTGAATTGGGTTACGGAGGAGCAGCAGCGCGCAAATGTGAAGATGTGTAGACCTGTCTGCGTCTGAGATTGGATTACGACAAAAGTATTTTCTGTTCGACTGAGCGTTTGAGCGACGACAGTGCGGGAACGGGGCATCGATTGGTGTCCCTGAACAAGAACAAAACACAAAATAGCGAGATAGGCGGAAGTGATGGCATTCCCGAGATTATTATGGGAGGAGAATGAGGCTCCTCTTCTGATTGGATGTTTTAGTTCAATTGATTTTTCTTTATTGACGCTTAATCACATTTGCAACTACATGCAGCATCTGGGTGGACTAACTTACTGCAAAAGCTTGACCAGTTGGACTAACCACGAATACTTCAAGTCCATGCAAGGCTATGATGTTGAGGGTTGATATCGGTTTATGTTTTTTCTCATTTTCTCATTTATCTTGTATGTCGTCCTTGCCGTCTGAAAATGACTCGCCGCTATCACAAATAGCCTGGATGCTGCTTTTCCTCGTCCTTCCTTCACATGCGCTGCCCTATTTTTTTCGTCCGTTCTTGTTTTGTGTTTGCAGACAATTCGATTGTATTTGCTGTTTACTCAGCGGGTGCTTTAAGGTGCTTCCAGCGGTGGAGGGATTTTTTTTCTAAATGTATCTTCTCTCGAAACTCAGACAAATTTCGTGTGAACGGGAACACAGAGCAAAATGCTACTTTATCTTCTTTTTTGCGTTGCGGACAGAGTCTTGTGAGGTTGTGGGCGGTTTTAAGACACATACACAAGAAAAAAAAAAAAAAAAGTGTTGAGAGCCGCGAACAAACATGCTGAACAAGTCAAACACTAGGGCAAGTGAATATTTCACTGAAGGGAAAATTACGCTGCACAAGGTCCATCTTCCACCCGAGAGAGAATGTTTTAGATATGGAGGAACCAGAGCTGTTGTTGTACCGTTCTTAAGCAGCGATTTCATTTATATTGGTATAGGCATGGCGGCCGATACTGAAGCGAAAGCATCCACTTGGTAAGTCCCAGTCTTCCTCGCATTTTTATTCACAAGCTCAATTCTACTCCCATTATCATTTGGCTTAGCTACACTCTTGTATATTCATCCGCTTCACAGAGACTCAAAGATCTTTTTTATTGCACGAAACTGAGTCACTGCCGGAAATCGTGATATTTTGACTGATGGTGAATTGTGCCTGGACTAACTCGCAATGCCTTTTTTATATTTCTCCCTCGCCCCCTCATCTTCCCTTGTTTATTAGCATTGGGTGCTCCTGGATCTACCGTATGGAGCGAGATTTGGGATGTTTTAGCAGCCCAAATAGCAGAAGTGAAAAGAACAGGACATGGCACCGATAACAAAGGCCTTCGGATGGACCTTCGCCGGTAATTGCATTGCGATGCCTCTGTTTTTCTTACGCAGCTCTCATTTCTTCTGCAGTTGTTTATCGGGATCACAGCACTTTGACCATTATCGCTGATGTTTGTTGCCTCCGCCTTTGTCATAGTGAGGGCTACGAAGAGGAGTGTTACTTCGATTTCACGTTCTCGCCAATCCTCCTGCAGGATGGGTCAATAGGGGGCATTTTTGCTGTTGTGCAGGAGGTGACTCAGTCGATCCTGAACCAGCGACGCCTCATGACGTTGAACCAGTTTAGCAAACAGGCACCCTTGATTCAGTCCATCAGAGGCGCCCACTCGATGATCACGACCATTTTACAAGAATCCAACAACCTCGATATCCCCTTCTCAATTGTCTACAAGATGAAGGAAACCGCCAAAAATCCTGCAACTTCGCACGCGTATGGGACATTTTCGCCGCAACCTTCGTCACAGCACTCGTCGTACATCGACAACACCAGCATCACACCACCTGAGCACGAAGTTCTCCTTAGAGCAGGACCACTTGCTGGTACAGGAATGGGGTCGGATCAGGACACGAGTAGTGCTGCCAGGTCCAAGGTTAGATTGATCCGTTCACATTTTTCTGCTGGCCTTCCTCCAGACAAGAAGAACGGCCGTAGAATTCCCCAAACAGCGATTCTTTGTAGTACATCCTTCGATCGTAACCTGGAGACCGTGAGTTATGGTGGCGTCAAAGAGAAAGTTTTTTCCAAAACGACCTCGTCACGACATATCCCCGATTCACTTCTCATCACCCCTGAAGAGTACGAGCCCCTCGACCCGTCGGAGCCTGTCCACGATGACCCCTGGGCGTGGCCTGTGCGATCGGTTCTTTCGGACGGTATTCCACGACTAGTCACGCTGCCAAAAGCGACCCACAGGCTCGCCCGTGCCTTGCTGTTGCCAATTCTCGAGAATCCATCTGTGCTAGAGTCGAGGATCTCGACCATCTTGATCGTCGGTATCAATCCATTCCAGATGCTAGATAATCAATACCTCGATTTCCTTGCACTGTTAGTCGCCAACATCGCATCCCTTCTCCATTTCGGCCGCTCGCGTGAGGAAGAACGCATGAGTAATGAGGCCCTGTTCGAGCTGAATAAGGCCAAGATCTCATTCTTCCAGAACGTCTCTCACGAACTTCGAAGTACGTGCTGCCGCTGTTTTTTCTTTCTTACCGAGTTCCATCCTTTTAATGCATGCTAATATCCCAGTTCGCCTTATTGCTTCATCTTTCAACTTTAGCTCCGTTGACATTGATGCTTGCACCGCTAGATGACGTTCTTAATCAGACGCCAGAGAACGCCCCAACTCGCCAAAACCTGGAAATGGTCCGCCGAAATTGCAGGCGTATGCTAAAATTGATAAACACGCTGCTTCAGTTCTCCAGAATCGAGGCCGGTAAAGGCCAAGCCCAGTTTGAGGAGACCGACCTGGCGAAGGCCACACGAGAGATATCGGCCAACTTTGAGAGCGTAGCGCGTGGATTCGGCTTGGAATACATCATCAAGTGCGAGGATTTAAGTGGTGTGTCGGGTGGGATCTGGGTCGACCGAGCCATGTGGGGAGGCGTCATTCTCAATTTGATCGGCAACGCTTTCAAGCACACATGGGAAGGATCGGTCACCGTGCACCAGTACCCAAGTAAGGGCAAAAACGGCCGTGACGGCGTGGCAGTGGATGTCACGGACACAGGAGTCGGCATCGCCTCGGAGCACTTGCATACTCTTTTTGGTCGGTTCAATCGCATTGAAAGCGAGCAGTCTCGCTCGCATGAAGGCACGGGTATTGGTTTGTCCTTAGTCAAAGAGTTGACTGAAGTTCATGGCGGTTCAGTGTCTGTTACCTCGGAGCTTGGCAAGGGCACATGCTTCCGTCTCTGGATCCCAGCTGGCAGAGCCCACCACCCTTGTGCTCAGGTCAAGTTGGGTGATTCAAAGGACAATTCATTGCTCAGGCCGCCCAAGAACGAGGCCTTGAACAATAAGACGGACGCTTCGATGTATGTGGAGGAGGCTCAACAGTGGATCGCACACAAGGCACTTCCAGGATCCACATTAACAGCATCTGGTACAGATTCGACCGAGGAAGACAAAGATGAGGATGACGACGACGCACTCCATCTGGGAATTAATTACATGCAGAGAGAGGCCACCGGCGAGATGAATGCGTACTATGAAGTCTCAGCCATGAACCTGGATGAGAATGAGCTCACAAAGATCCTGATCGATCCCCCAGAGTCAGGCGATGTTGTTGTGCCAGAAATTCCGCTCTCGAAGATTGATCCGCATATTCCTCCCCGCCGAACATCTTCTACAGTCCACAGCCCCAAGGTCCCGATGATAGACATACTTGGTCTTCCATCAAGGGGATGGGAGCCGCCCCATGTGCCCCAGACGGGAGAGGTGATTGAGAGAAGCGTAAATGATGATGGTGGCTATCGAGAAGAGGCCGTGACGGATAATCTTGCTGAGGAGCGTGAGGAAGCTAAGAAGTCGATGCCTAGCGTTCGGTCCAGGAGAGGTTACATTATTATCGTGGACGACAATAACGACATGCGGTCATACCTCCGTGAGATTCTAGGCAAGGACTTTAGAGTACGTTGCGCTGTCGATGGTTTGGATGCTATTCGACTGATCTCGGAACGGTTGCATCAGGGCAAGCGTATCGATCTTGTTCTCAGCGGTAAGGCTCTTTTTTTTTTTTTTTTTTTTTTTTTTTTTTTAAGAGAGAGAGAGAGAGAGAGGGAGAAAACCACTACAACGATGTATCTGACCTGTTATCGACACTCATTTCGTTTCTTGTTTCCTGATGCGCTAGATGTTGCTATGCCAAATATGAATGGCTATGACCTACTGAAGTGGCTTCGCAACGATCCCGCGACCATGATGACTCCGTTCATTCTGCTGTCTGCGCGTGCGGGCGAAGAGGCCAACGTGGAGGGACTGGATCTTGGCGCAGATGACTGCCTGGTGAAACCGTTTTCCGCAAGAGAACTCCTAGCTCGCGTGAGATCTACGATTCGCCTTTCTGATCTTCGACATGAACTCATTCGGGAGCAGCGCCACGCACTTGAAATGAAACAGCTGATTTATTCGATCTCTGTTCGAATCCGCAGTGGACTCTCGTTGCCACAGATTCTGGACACGGCGTCAAGGGAGCTCTTCAAGGTGATACGGTGCAACGCTATCAGAATTTGTCGCTTCAGGGGTGTCGATCAGGAAACAGGGGAACATTGGGTTAGATTTGTCTCAGAGATCGTTCAAGTCGGCAATCCGAAAGTCTTGACACCCACGGATCGTCTGCTACCCAAGGGGCTGGAGGTAGAGGAATCCCTTGTTGCCAACAATGATCATGAGTCATCCGGTGAGCTTCGTCATATTACAAACCACCAGCACCCAGTCTTTGGCGCCAAGAATTTTATCAGTGTCGCATTGATCTACAATCGCAAGGTCTGGGGTTATCTTTTAGCGTCCCGCGAGGCTGATATGAAGGATTGGTCGCAGAGCGAGAAGCTACTATTTGAGCAGACTGGAAATCAAATCTCTCTGGCGATTGCGCATGCCAACTTGTGGGAGTTGAAAAAATCACAGCAGGTGGAGATGGAGGCCGCACATGCGGCCAGCGAGGCCAAATCTCAGATTCTGGCGAACACGAGCCACGAACTGCGGACTGTAGGTATTCGTCTCGGTTCTAAATGGCTCTGTCCACGCTGTCCTTTAACAGTTTATTAATCATGCGACCTTTTCTTTTATTCACGTTACGCAGCCCATTGGAGCAATTGTAGGAGCACTGAGTGCCCTTGAGGACACGGACTACAATTTGACAGGCGAGCAGCGCGATATGGTCAAGATCATGCAGATCACAAGCGATGTCGCCTTGAGTGTCATCAACGACCTTCTGGACACTGCGAAACTGGAGGCAGGAGCCATGAGACTGAATATCAAGGATTGCCCCAACATTGTTGAGACTCTGGAGCAATCCGTGCGCATCTTTGCGGATAAGGCTGGGCGCAAAGAACTGGATATGATCATGGAACCGTCAGAAGATCTGGATAATTTGGTGATCTTGCTTGAACAAGGAAACTCCGTTTGGACGGATGGAGATCGCCTTCAGCAGGTTATTATGAACCTTATCGGCAATGCAGTGAAGTTCACGGCAGCAGGCAAGGTCTGCATCAAATTCACGCTTCATAAGAGTGACGCGCCTTTACTCGGCGGCGACTCTACGGCAGACGTTCAGCAGCAACAGCAACAGCAACAGCAACAGCAGCAGGAGGTCCAGCAATCACCGGATGCACGAGTACGTTTGCAGATCCCACCAGACGCAACAATGACTCAGGTGACGTTCCGGTTTGAGGTATCGGACACGGGTATCGGCATCGACAGTGAATTTTTAAAGAACCACATCTTCAAGAGTTTTGCGCAGTATGACCAGACGATGACCAGGCGCTTTGGTGGCACTGGGCTCGGTAAGTCTTCAAAAGTTGAAATAGTTAACTTGCTGGATTAATTATGGCTATACGAATTAAGGTTATGTTGCCGTTACACAAAAGCGGGCGCGACAGCCTGTTCAAGTAACAGCGAAACAGGCTCCAAATATGCATAACGTTTAGACTAGTAGTATCGCGTGCCACTGGCATGGGTGATTGACATTTTTGGTAGTCATTTCTCTGATGTATCTATCGAATCCTACTAACACATTTACGCTATCATAGGTCTCGCCATCAGCAAGCACCTTGTCATGATGAACGGGGGCATCCTGGGCGTAACCTCGACTGTGGGCCAAGGATCTACTTTCTACTTTACCTGGCCTGCTTTCATCGTCACCTCACCTTCTGTTCCCACTGTGCCTAAATCACCATTTCGTCCTAGACTCTCGCCTGAGGTTGCGTTCGCGACGCGTGTCGTTGTGGTTGAGCCACTTGCGGATGCCAGGCAGGTATTGTGCAAGTTCTTAAATCAGCTGAACGTCCAGGTCACGCCATATGAGAGCTACGAGGGTGTAGTGCAGGATGAACAAGGTCGACAGCCTGATTTACTGAGACCAGATGGATCTGCGCTGACCGCAAGCTACAGACCGAATGTGCATTTTTTCCTTACCACGCGCATGAACACTGCTGACTCCGTTGTCGAGACTGCACGAGCACTCGCCGTGTTATACAATCAGAGGAACGATCTGGTCAGGACTAATGGAAATGCAGACTACAAGGTCTCTATCGTACTGGTTATCTTTTCTTCTCCGCAGAGTCGCTATTTGGCCAAGGACACAATCAAGAGGATTTGCGCCGATGGCTTCGAGGATATGGTGCGATGTCATTACATCGTCAAGCCTGTAATGACAGACCGTATCGTCGAGTGTTTACAGATGGTGGAGTCTCATGAAGCTTTCACGCAAGACGTGAGTGAAGAATCGCCAAATACGACTCAGGCGGGCACGATTCAGAGCGGATACCAGCAGCTTTATCGTCGCCACTCGAAACATAGTCAGCGTGCCTTACCCAACGAACATGACTCGGATCACAACGCAGAGTCCACAGATAGGCAGATCCTCCCTGCTAACAGCAGTGTGAGTCCTGTGTCCAGTGATTATGAGCGGGATATCGACTACAACAGTAACACGCTAGAAGCCTCATCGTTGAATCCGGATAGGAGAGCGAGTTCACCAGACCATATGTCTGTTGCTGCTCCGAAGACCAATGTCGATTTGACCTCGCCTGCAAGCGCATCACGCCCAGTTACGGCCGCCAGCAACACTCCTGGCCATCAAAGGGTTTCTTCCGCAACACAACGTCGACTCCGCATGAAAATGAATAGCGATAGCTCAGCCAACCGGGCCGGTGCAGCAGTGAAACCAATCGCTGGAACTCAGTCCACCGATGAGTCGGCACAATCTTCAAGCGAGAATCCAGCCTTCAGTAATCGAGCTGCCAGAGCTGCAGCGGGCAAACGCGAGCGTAAAGGAAAATGTATCCTGTGTGTCGAAGACAACATTATCAACCTGAGGGTACGTTGACGGATAGCTGTGGTTTGCTATTGGTAGCTATGAAGCGAAGAAATGTGGATGACGACCTCTCAAATCGTGTAACTTACAGTGAAATTTTCTCGTATCTCTGAAGGTTGTTCAATACCAGCTCCAGAAACTGGGTTACGATACGCAATCAGCATGCGATGGCCAAGTAGCCATCGACATCATCAAATCTCAGGTTGAGATGCTGGGTGAGGGCACGACAGCTCTGCTGAGCGCACAAGATCGCCAGCCACAGACGGGAGGTATGGATGGCGTCGGTATTGCTCTCTGCTTCGCAGGGGAATCTGACAAACAGCACTTGTCTTCATCACCAGCATCGTTTCATATGAGCATTGGGAACGGCTTTCTGTTAATTCCGGAGAGCAATGGAAATATGAGCCATATCTTTGACCAAACAGAGCTGTTGACTTCTACTTTGATTCCAGGGTCAGCCAGAATGGCATCGATATCGACGACAAATGTATTAGCGCCATTATCCGATGCGATCTCAGCTTCTTCGTCCTCAATCCCGGCATTGGGCGACGCGACCACGATTACAACTACGACTACAACCACGACTGCGACTGAGGCCACGATATCGCTTGCTCCTGCTATTTTGGATGGCGTCGACGAGTCCGCGACTGGACAACACCCTATTGCTGTAGCGACAGCCACAAGTCCGAATCCGTCCAAGACTGGTGCGCTGGAAGGGTTATTATCGTCATCATCGTCGACGTCTTTGAGAAATCATTCCAAGATTGATCTGATTCTGATGGACTGTGCGATGCCGATCAAGAGTGGGTTTGAAGCAGCGAGTGAGATTCGAGCGATGGGTCAGTCATCTACATTTGCGGCGAATATCCCGATCATTGCGCTGACTGCCAGTGCGGTTCCGTCGACAAAGGAAAAGTGTATTGCATCAGGGATGAATGGGTACCTGAGCAAGCCGACGAAGCTAGCGAATCTGGAGGCTATGTTGGATCAGTGGATTGAGTAATGGGACAAGATGTCTCGGCATTTTTTTCTTTTTCTTTTTCTTTTTCTTTTGCTTTTTTTTTTTTTTTTTTTTTGTAAAGGCGATGGATGGACCATGGATTGTCCAATATTACTTCTCTGGCGAATGCCTGTCAGGAAAATACGGTTGTTCATTTCATTTTTCCATATACATTGTATGTCAATACTCCTAGATATCTATATAGCCGTTCGTTTTAAACGACTTAATACCAGTAAAGGAGTTTGATATGGCCGCACAGCATTCATGTATCTGATGATTTGATTTTTGTGAAATCGTAGGGTGATTCAGTGATTCAGGTCGACTGCGCTGCATTGTACCTTTTTCACAAAATTTTTTCAAACGGGCGATAATACCCTGACCAGCATAGCTGATTCTGTCTTTTATTATTATCTAAAGGGGTTAACCTGGTCTTCTCGTGTTGATATTGCTGTTACAGAAAATACAGAGTAGCCAACCGTTGAGAGCGCTTGAACATACCATGGGCTGGTAAAGGCGTTCATCCGTGGGATTTCAATGATCAATGTTCTTATTTGACCTTTCTTTCATTCTGGATGGTATGGATATACAAGAAAGCGTTGATCGTTACCTCTTGAAGAACTCGATGTAGCGGCAGCGGCTTTGGGTAAAAAGAAAACAACGGATAGCTGATATGTCAGGTCGTGCCCGTCATCAACACTGGCCCCCCATTTACAGGTGTGTTATTTCATTCGAATACAAAAGTCTGAATTGAGGGGGGGGGGGGAGGGAGAATTTTATAGCCCGTCCGGCAACGAAGGATGCTGTATGAGGCAACGCGGATTTTCGGTAAAATGCGCGTAAAAGAGGTTCGAAGACCGTTTGATTAGTTTACATCTATGGTTATAGAAACGATTATTCGACATCGATGTATGAGAGAGCAAGCCGAAGCATCGAAATTTGGAGGGCAGATGTATGATAAGTTATTGCAAACGGGCGTACTCAAGTAAGAGTATGACAAAAATGAAATAGATAAAAAAAAAAATTAGACGCGAAGACACGACGGGCCCAACTCTGTCGAGATTTCTTTGTTTGTTCCAAATGGGAATGACACTCACTGGAGCCGGAGGATTTTCTTTCATGCAGATGTTGGCTGGAGAGACATATTGACTATTCAATAGTAACGATGTATTCGTCCGATGCACGCAAGAGGAGCGCACTTTCCAAATCGAACGCATCAGCAAACGTGTTCTCGGCCGCGACGGGCCAGCGTCGCTTACGGAGGAAGTAAATTCCGTCGGAAATCATGAACCGATACTGGACATCGAAGCTAACGAAGGGATAGGTAGAGTTAAGAGGCTGTGTATAACGGTAGAGAAGCCTTCTTGCGGCTGTTAGTATGGTTCCCCCACCCAGGCTCAGTATGATGGTTCTGCTGACCAGTGAAACTCTGATCGGAGGCGGTCCTTCCACCAAAGCTGGGTAGCTCACGCGCGGCGCAAGTAATGTGTAGAGGTGTGAATGCAGCCCGACACGGATGCGATGAACGGGATTATGTATCCTGTCCGGCGGCATAGTGCGACCGCAGTGGTGAATTTGAAGGAATAGAATCCGGACAGGAGGCCATGGGTTTGGGCCAGGACCAAGACCAGGATCAAGGCCAAAACTAAGTCAAAAAATAAAATGTCTACGCGCTGCGCTTTTAGCTCAGCGCATGGACAATTTTTTAGGCACCTGTCCTATTGGCGCGTCGTTGACAAACAAGAGGAGGAGAAGGGGAGGAGGAGGAGGTTTCGTTTTCCAATTTTCATGCAGATCCATGCATCGTGTTGAACTGCTTTGCTTGGCACTGGTGTGGAAGATGGCGAGGGTGGTAACGAAAAAGAAGAAAATGAAAATGAAAATGGAAAGGCGAAGCAGGATTTGTGGATATCAGGCAACCATCGCCCTTCAATCAGCAGCAGTGCCTTCGCTTTATATTCGCGCCTTTTGCCGCCCGCTTTTTTTTTTTTTATTTTTTTTTCAAACATCGCACCCACCCTACCTCCCAACACCTCTTCAACAGAAGCATACACCTTTGTTAATAAGACAATTCAGCAAAACTGTCTGTCAGCACACACACACACACACACATACACACAGTATTCATCTATATACACGCATTGCGAGAGCATCTGCCTTTTTTTTTTTTTTATATTTCTTTTACTACGGTAGGCAAAAGAATGCCAGCGAGAGCTAGACCATTATCAATTACGCGTGTGCAATAAGCCTTTTTATTTGATGGGTCCTTACTAACATGGCAATCTTTTGTAATTGTGAATAAAATGTAAAAAAAAAAAAAAAGAAAAAAAGGCCATGTCGGACTTGGTTTTCAGTGAGGGCGGAAAGGACCAAGGAGAGAAAGAACAAGTTCCTTTCAGCGGCTCAGCACCGGAAAAATGGAGAGCGAACCGCGGTAGGTGGAGGGGAGCGTCCGCACAGGACGACCGCACCAGTTGGAGAGAAAGAGCCGCACGAAGTGACCGCGGTGGCTGGAGAGGAGGAGCACACGGAGACCGTGGCGGATGGGGAGGAGATGGAGGGAGAGGAGGGGGCCGCGGAAGCTGGAGAGAACGAGAAGGACGAAGAGACCGCGAAAACTGGAAAGAAGGAGAAGGCCGAGGAGACCGTGGCAACTGGAGAGAAGGAGAAGGGCGAGGGGATCGCGGCAGCTGGGGAGGAGAAGGACAAAGTAGCTGGAGAGGAGGAGCAGGACGAGGAGGAGGACACAGCCATCGAACTAGCCGAGACAGCCAGGACAGCCGAGAGGGCCATGAGGATAGCGCTGATCGTGGCGCTGAACGCGGTCGAGGCGGCGGTCGTGGCCGCGGCCGCGGAGGGAGATTTTTCACGGACGAGCAAAGAACCGAGATCGTTGTTGCGGCGAGACCCTTAACGCTCCAGGTCGCCGGCGAAGGCACAGACGACATCATCGTCGCGAAGGCTGCTGATGAGAAGCTCCAGCACTTGGCCAGCTTCATCTTAAGAAAGACCGACTTCCACGGCTTTACCGGCCAAAGAATGATCCATAACTTTGTCGATTCGTGCTTGCTCAACCTGTCGAACCACCACAATATCGACACATCTGGCGTCCTCGGTGATTTGGCGTCCACGAGCGGGCGGGCTCGACTCTCGGAAATCCTAAGCATGCCAATGGAGGTCGACGCAGAGCTCATGAAGGACGTTCTTCCATTCCAGACGGTGGTTATACCCTTGGTCGGAATCCTCACCCGAGAGTCGCTTTGCCAGTCGACGATGACCACCGAGTGTGGCCTCATATACTCGACAGTTTACCAACACCGCAAGACCTTCCTGGAGGAGGGATTATTGCATTGTATGGATAAGCTGTTGAAAACCAGAATCCTCTGGGCTCGTATCTCATTTTTGAGCCCGGGAAGCCCTCGCCAAGAGTTCTCCCTGCAGCGTGCATTTCTTGGCATTGTGAGATTGGTGTATCAGCTGATCAAGAGGATTCGCGATGCGAGGTTTGAGATGGCTGACATTGTCAAGCGTCTGTATGAACAACAGACCAAGTGCATCGAGGCCTCCGATAGCTCTAACGAAAGCCGGTTCCTGAACGAGATCCTGGTCAGGGATGTCCTGCGAATCCGCAACATCGTCGCTGATGCCCAGGCCTCGTTTTTACCATCTGTCAGTTCATCTGCTCCCACGCTAACTGCGATTCTATCAAGGATTCGCGGACCGAACTTGCCATATCTCCATCTGATGTACGACCCTCCTGGCACTCTCTCGCGAAACGGACCACGGCACGACAACGACCATGCCGAAATCGCATCCATCAGTATCATTCCGACAGAAGCGGAATTGACATGCTCTCGACAGCCATTCTTGCCATCGAACGGCATTGACGCCCCTCACCATTGGCCCCAGGGATGGAAGCGTCAGATCGATATCCATTTCCGCCTCTACAGAGAAGACATGCTGTACTCGTTTCGCGACAGCGTGAACGCGTTTTTTTCTGCTCTGGAAAAGACAGCAAAGGGGAATGAGGATGCACTTCTGAAGCAGAAGGCAATCGACACACAATCAGGGAATAGCAATGTGAATATGGATGTGTACGGAGGAGTGCGATTCCGCGGCCTGGAATGCGAGGGACACGCGCGCGGTGCTCTTGTGATATCGTTCACTCAGCCAAGTCAGGTCCACGGCGCGAAGGAGAGACGGCGAAAGGAGTTTTGGGAACGTTCCAAGAGCCGATTGATGCAAGGGTCGCTTATTTGTCTTGCCGGCAGATCCTGGCACAGCTCCGGGGGTTCAACATTTCACACAATCCTTGCAGTCGTCGAGAGGCGAGATGTCGATGCCCTTTCCATGAGCGAGTCGAACGCATTTATCCACGTGAAGCTGACAGATCCTCAACAGTACATGACTTTTCTTAACCCTGCCTCCGCCAAGTCGCCTGATATGCCTGACCGGTGGTTCTTGGTCCAGTCGAAGGGAGGGTTCTTTGAGTCGTATAGGCCTGTTTTGAAATCACTTCAGAACTGCGAGCCTGCGATACTTCCTTTCGGGAAGTATATCGCTCCGACCGAACACGAATATAACACCAGATTGGACGCTGGCGGCAAGGTCGACCCACCGCTGTATGCGCGTGCTCCGGGATTCACCTTTGATCTGTCTGTCCTTGTCAAGGACAAGAGACTCCGTTTGGATGCAGCCGATCCACAGTCGATCGACAATGCTGTGCACATGCTCCAGCGGGAAAGTACTCTCGATGACACGCAAGCATCCGCCTTGGTCGAAACTCTTTGCCGAGAAGTTGCGCTGATCAGCGGGTAAGCTTTGGTGATGCATGTCAGACAGTCCCTCTCTCTCCCTTCTTTGCTATCGACGCACCAACTTACACTAACTTATGATGGTCTTTATGTCATATGTAGGCCGCCCGGGACTGGCAAGACCAAGATCGGAGTGGACCTAATGCGAGTCCTACTGCATAATAAGCAAGCGATGAACTGTGGACCTATCCTCTGTATCTGCTACACGAATCATGCACTGGATCAGTTCCTAGAGCACCTGCTGGACATGGATGTCACCGACATCGTGCGCATTGGTTCTCGATCAAATTCCAAACGATTGGAGATGCACAAACTTGAAACTAAGATGCGGAGCAACGACCTACCCGATCTCGTACGACGAACCCTCGCGGCCACTAAAAACGAATGGGAAGGTACATGGAACACAATCGAGGGCCTTGTCAAGAATATCATGCATCTGGAAACTGCAACTCAAAGCCGGGCTGTATCCTGGAACCACATCGATGACTACCTCCAAACAGAGGATCCAGACCAATGGGAGCAGCTTCGGCCCCGTATGGCAGAGAGTTACCTCGATGATGACGACTTTACTACAGTTCTACATAAGGGACAACATATCGATCATTTCAGTCGGTGGATCAATGGACACGACATCTCTGAGAAGCAGAAATTGAATGAACAAATGAAGAAATGGAAGGATCAAAAACAACATAAGTTCTACAACTCGTACAGCGCCCTCGCGTCGAAGGATGAGGAAGAGGGAGAGGAAGAAGAGGAAAAAGAGGAGGAATTAGAGCTTTGGGATATACCGCTGGGGGATAGGCCCTTAAGGATGCTGGGCGGAGACGTCTGGGAGATGTCGATGGTCGAGCGTAGGCGACTATTGGATTCATGGAGACCCAAGGCGCAGGAATCCATGATAGAACAATTGACAGAGCACCTGCGAGAGGCCGAGGAGTTCGCAAAGAAGAAGAACGAGGCATACGATGAGGCCCGGCGCTGTATTCTCCAGAATGCATCGGTCATTGGAATGACCACCAGTGGCGCCGCGAAAATGCAGGCTCTGATCAGTGCAGTCGCTCCCGAAATCATCATTTGTGAGGAAGCGGGCGAGGTCCTGGAGTCGCATATTCTGACAGCACTCTCGCCTTCGACCCAACACCTGATCCTCATCGGTGACCATAAGCAGCTTCGTCCCCAGATCGAGACATATACTCTGTCGTCGGATTCTACCGTCGGAAAGAACTACAATTTGGATCAGTCTCTTTTCGAGCGCCTCGTTACTGCCGAGAAGAACCCACTCCCACTGTCGCACATGACTATTCAGCGACGCATGCGGCCCGAGATCTCGAGCTTAATCAGGAATACGCTTTATCCCGACCTAGTTGATGAAAAGCGAGTCCTCGAGTATCCCAATGTGAGTGGCATGGGTGCCAACCTGTACTTCATGGACCATGCACACGCTGAGGACAGCAGGGACCAGTACGGCATGCAGTCGTTCGCCAACTCTTTCGAGGTCAGGATGGTTGGGGCACTGGCACAGTACCTGATCAAGAATGGATATGACAAGCCTGGGGACATTGCAGTCCTGACACCGTATCTCGGCCAACTTTCGAAACTTCGGGATGGTTTAAGTGACGCATTCAAATTGCTTATAGACGAGCGAGATCAGGAAAAGTTGGATCAGGGCGAACAAGACGCAGAGGTTGACGGGTGGAGACCGAAGCCTACCAGCGAACCTGCAAAACAGGAATCTCTCACTCTCAGGACCATTGATAACTATCAGGTACACAAGATCCTTTGCATGTAACCGCAGCGTACGATGTGGTTACTCTATAGATTACATAGCATAGGTACTCACCCAATTTTTTTTTTTTTTTTTCGCTATGTACAAAGGGCGAGGAGGCTAAGATTGTTATCATCTCGCTTGTTCGAAGCGATATCAAAGAGAGTGGCGAAAAGGCGGATTGGAGCTCCATCGGGTTCCTCAAGTCTCCCAATCGCACTAACGTTCTCCTGTCTCGAGCACAGCATGGCATGTACCTTATCGGCAATGCTGGATTGATGGCGCAGGAGAAGCATGGTCTGTGGCCAAAGATCATGGAAGAACTACGTGCGTCCGATCGAGTGGGTGGAGGATTCGCGATCACCTGCAAGGAACACGGAATTGCAAGCACAGTGAGCGATGCTGAGACATTCAAGGCAATTTCTCCAAACGGCGGATGCACCGCTATGTGCGACTACAGACTCAGCTGTGGTCATACCTGTCCGATGCAATGTGAGTCTAATATTGAAAGGAGGGCGGTATATAGTGGCATTGATATTTACAGAATACCTGACTCGTGTATTGTTGCTAATCTGTTCTTGCGATCAATAGGCCACCCATACGACAAGGAGCACGTTTCATTCAAATGTCCTCAGCCATGCCCTCACCTACATAAAGGTTGTAATCATGTCTGTCCAAAAACGTGCGGCGAAGTCTGTGGCGACTGCATGGAAGTTGTCGCGGACATTGTTCTCTCGTGTGGACATGTTTTCAAGCAACCCAGATGCTACCAGGCCAAGGATCTAGCCCGAATCTACTGCAAAGTCAGCGTTGTACGTAAACTGCCGAGCTGCGAACATGAGAAAACCATGGTATGCCAGATGGATCCGAAGGGAGTTCTGTGTTCCGAGAAATGCGGAACTCGTCTCGAATGCGGACATTACTGTCTGCGCAACTGCTCCGAGTGCCAAAAAACCTCGCCCTCGCCAGAGGGGGAGGGCAAGTCAGTTGAGGGCATTCCGAGGACAGTGCATGGCGGATGTCTTACGAAGTGCGGTCAGATCCAGCTTTGCGGGCACACATGTCAAGCAAACTGCCATGAAGGTTCATCATGTCCTGCGTGTACCCAGCAGTGCAAGGCCGCATGCGCTCACTCCCGGTGCCGCCAGAAGTGCACTGAGCCCTGTGATGTTTGCTGCCAACCCTGTGTTTGGAGCTGCCAGCACCAAGGCCAATGCAACATGCCGTGTGGAGTGCCATGCGATCGACTGCCTTGCAACAAGCGATGCGAAAAGCTTTTGAAGTGCGGACATCGATGTCCTTCAGTATGCGGAGAGACATGTCCTTCGACAGTGTTATGTATCGAGTGCAAGAAAGACCCTGCAGAGATGGACGAGCTTGTCGATTTGTTGAGGGAGGATTCGTTTTCAGAGGTCGATGTGGATCGAAATCCGATCTTGGTCCTCGGCTGTGGCCATGTTTTGACGATGTTAACACTGGATGGACTCATGGAGATGGATCGATACTATGTCGAGTACTTTGACCGAGAGCACGGCGCGATCGAGTACGTTGGGAGGCATGATCTACCAGGTTATGAGCCTGACCAAGTTTTATGTCCGATCTGTGATGAACCTGCTGTTGGACCTTTGCGCTACGGACTTCGTTTGAACCACTTACTTCTCGCCGCTCGGTTGAGGTCCCAACATATAGATCAATTCCAAGGTTTTGACAAAGTGCACAAGCAGTTTGCAAAGGTGTGCGATGAGGTTGAGAGCCGTCGGACCAAGGTTTTGGAACAACTCTCTAAAACCAAGAGGGAATCTCGCATGGACCCACCAAAAGCCTTCTTACGGGTACTTGGGAACTTCGAGAACAAGGCAGACTATTATCCGAATAGCGATTTTGCAGCCTTGCCACCTATCTACAAGATCCCTGTGCGCTATCGACGTCATTGGACTGAGCTCGTTGGGCCGGCCGTAGAGGTCTTCCAGAGTTTCCTCAGAGCTGATAATGGAGCAGGACTCTCACCGTTAAACCGGCTTTACGATGCTATTGTGGGCCACTTCAAACGTACGGCATCAAGCTCAACATCTGGACAGCCGCAAAAAGTTCGAGCTTTGGATGTTGATTGCGGATCGGCCGTAAAGTGTGGTTTTCCACGAGGCGGTTCGACCGTCCTTTCAAAGGTCGAGTCTCTATACGGACAGGCAAGCGTGCTGCTCTTGGTGCTTTCGCTGGCATTTTCGTTCCTGGACGAGGCTGGAGTCGCGTCTGGATGGTATTGGTTTGTCGAGGATTTGATCCGCTGTACAATGATTTATGCCGGGTTACTGATCGAAGCCGCGCAGGAAGGGATGTATCGCCGCAAGGTCGCGTATGCTCGGCTGATGAGGATAGAACTGATATGCATGACGCTACAGTGGATTGGAATGGAGCACGTAGCTGTAGGGCCCAAAGCAAAGGCGAAGCGGAGCAAGCAAGTTAAACGGCTATTGAAGAACTATATGACGGACGACAAAGAGATCAGGGAAAAGTATGCGTGGGTGATAACGATCGATATCAAGAAGAGAATGGTGGAGTTACGGGATAGGATGGTGAGCGCAGTGCGAGCTGCTAGAGGGGAGGATGTATTTGTGGCCGTGTCGCAGGGTGAGAAGTTACGATATCTGTTCAAGGGGGCGACGGACCAAGAGCCGGTGCAGGATGGGCAATGGGTACTCTGCAGTAATGGACATGGGGTAAGTTGAGTTCTTTAATCGATTATGGTTATCTTGATCATTTTCTAGCAAGTTAATTATCACTCACTTGTCTTTTTTTTTTTTTTGCAGTACGTATTGGATGAGTCGACAGTGCTCATGGAATGGCGATGTTTTGAGTGCCAGGTATCCATTGCAGGATACTGAAGAGACGAAGCATCCTCATCCGTTGCGCTGAGATCTTTTCGACTGCAAAATGAATATAGGCGACTGGAACTACAGCAGCATGGCATAATAAAAGAAAGACTTGTAGTACAAAAATAGACGAGGTCAACGACCTGGCCGTGTAACGAGCGTTTCGGGTACTTCGCCAAAATACATTGTTTATGTGGATCGGCGCTAGCAATCATCTATAAACCATGGGGCTTTATTTGATGCAGTGTAATATCTCGACGGAGGGAGTGGCGAAGAAATCTTGGCATCTTGGTTGCACAGCCTACGTCTGTTGCCCCAAATAATGTAAGGGGGCTTCTAGCCGGGGCACCAGTTGACATTCCCTCGCTCCATCTTTTGTTCCTTCTTGCGCTCCTTATTCCTTCTGTCCTCTCTTCATTTAGTAGCCATTGTGCACGACATGGTTCGTTAGCTTCATGGTTGCTTGCTCAGGTTGATCTTTCTAGTGAATACTTTGGTCGATGTGTACCTGGTGAATACAGGAGAGCCAAAAAAAAAAAAACCCCCCCGCAATCGATCACTGCTGGTCCCGCAAAGTGACCAAAGGGGTGAGGCATCGTCCGCTGCTGTGCGATGGATGTGGCGGGATACAGCGGCTGCGCATGGTGAGGTAAACAGCACAAGTGCCCTTGTTTATCTGCTGTGTTGTATTGTGGATTTGGCGTGTGCATATCATGCAAGACAAAAATGGCGAAGGGTGCATAATTCGCCTATCACGCACATGGGAGATATTTGTACGCTCTTACACTCGGGCATTCTTCCAGGCCCTCCATTTCCTTCCTTTCTTCCTTCCTTCGCTCTCACCCACTCAGCACCACCCACATTCTTCTCAGCTCAACCGCTTTTCCACAAGGCCCACTTTCTCACCAACATCATAACACGTCTCTGCGCTACCCATCTCGCGCTCAACCACTCCTCGTTTGACACGAGTAAGAAACAGAAAGAAAAAAACGCGCACCGTAACTGCCAAGGTACAGCAGAAAGCCTTTTTTGGTATGCTTTTTTTTGGTGGAATAAATTGAAAGAACGACGCAGCAACTAACCGAGATGCATCTCTCCTCTCCCTAAAGAATGGCCACTCCGAACCAAGGAGGGCGAGGTGGATTTAATGGTAACCGTGATGGAAGAGGGCGAGGTCGAGGCCAGGGTAACCGTGGACACCACGGTGGAGGGCCTGTTCAAGGGCCCGGACAAGGCCGTGGTCGTGGTCGTGGCATGCTTACACAAGACCAAAAGGCTACCATTGTTGTTGCTAAGCGAGAGTTCACTCTTCAGATCGCAGGCGAGGGTACAGACGATGTCGTTCTCGCTGCCGCAGCCGATGAGAAGCTCCAGCACAATGCCAGCTTTATTCTCAACAAGGACGACTTTGTAGCCTTCACCGGTCAAAGGCAAATCAGGAACTTTGTTAACTCCTGCCTTCTCAACCTTTCGAACCACCACAACATCGATACATCCGGAATCTTGACGAGCCTATCCAAGGTTTCTGGACGTGCGCGTCTGAGGGAGATCATGCTCATGCCGATGCACATCGATGCTGGGGACTCAAAGGATCTCCTGTCGTTCCAGTATGTGGTACTGCCATTGATCGGGGTGTTTACCCGCGAGTCTGTGTGCCAGTCGACCCTAACAAGTGAGTCGGGAATCATATACTCGACCGTATTCAGTCACCAGAGACAGTTCTTGGACGATGGAGTCATGCGGTGCATGGACCAGCTCTTGGAACGAAGATCCATGGCGGATTTCAGCGCGGGCGGCCAGCGACTTCTCAACGAACAGACTTCCATCTGTCATGTCACTTCTTTGCCGTGCGCTCTTCTGGCCATCGTACGACTCGTATATCAACTGATCAAGAGATTTCAGGATGCGCAGACTGCGATGGCTGATTTGGTCGCAAAATTGCGCACACAGCAGATAAAGTGCCTTCAAGTGGCATCCAGCTCGGCCGAGGATCGATTTTTCAACGAGAATCTTGCTCGGGAAGTGACTCGATTGGAACAGATCATCACTGATGCCCGGGACAAGATCATCGAGCCTCTTCACTCTGCAGCTAGCCTGACGAGTCCTCAACCTTCCAGGCCCCGAGGACCGAATATGGTCCACCTCGTATCCGCGTATGACCCGCCAGGACACCTTTCCCCGAAGGGTTCTCGACACGACAATGATCATGCGGAAATTTCAAAGATTATTCTGTTGCCAACTGAGCAGGAGATCGCTAGCCCTCGAGATCCGTTCTTGCCATCAAATGATATCTCGGAGGCCCCTCATTTTCTGCCTCCAGGTTGGAGACGCCAGCTCGATATACATTTTCGGCTGTACAGGGAAGACATGATTGATTCGCTCCGCAAAGGACTGATGTCGTTCTCGAATGTGCTCCAGGCAATCAGGCCTGGGGAGGAGAGCATCTTATTGAAGCAGAAGGAGCTTAAGAAACGCCTGGACGACAATATCAGCCTGGACGTGTATGGAGACGTGCACATGCTGGGCATGGATACCACAAAGCAGACATCCGTTGGCTCGGTCGAGATCTCGTTTGGTCAACCGCCACGCGCAGCAGCAGCAACCACCCATCAGCAGCGAGTCGAGTTCTGGGAGCGATCCAGGAGACGGTTGATGCAGGGCTCCCTTATCTGTCTTGCGAGTCGTTCAGATAATAATCGGCAGATGGAGGATGCAGGTCACCCGCCTTTTCAAATGATCCTTGGAGTGGTCACAAAGCGCGACACGGCGGCGTTGGCCAAGGACAACAAGGCGGCGCGGATTCATATCTCTTTGGCAGATCCCAAGGCCTACTTGACGATGCTCAACATAGCGAGTCAGTCCAAGAAAAAGCAGTGGTTTCTAGTAGAGTCCATGGGCGGTTTCTTCGAGTCGTACCGTCCCATCCTAAAGGCTCTCCAGAATTGCGTGCCAGCGTCCCTGCCCTTCGGAAAGTACCTCGCTCCCACTGCCCAAGAACAGGAGGGGACGCTGGCGGCTGGAGAAGTAGCAGTCGATCCACCACTGTATGCTCGCGCCCCTGGATTCACGTTCGATTTGTCGGTGCTACTCAAAGGGCAGCGGTGTCAGCTGGATGTGTTAAGCCAGGATTCAGTCACAGTGGCGATTAACATGCTCCAGAGGCAGAGCACTCTCGATGACACGCAAGCATCCGCCTTGGTCGAAACTCTTTGCCGAGAAGTTGCGCTGATCAGCGGGTAAGCTTTGGTGATGCATGTCAGACAGTCCCTCTCTCTCCCTTCTTTGCTATCGACGCACCAACTTACACTAACTTATGATGGTCTTTATGTCATATGTAGGCCGCCCGGGACTGGCAAGACCAAGATCGGAGTGGATCTAATGCGAGTCCTATTGCACAACAAGCAAGCGATGAACTGTGGACCTATCCTCTGTATCTGCTACACGAATCATGCACTGGATCAGTTCCTAGAGCACCTGCTGGATGAAGGCATCAAGAGCATTGTCCGTATTGGAGCTCGTTCCAAAAGCGAGCGTCTAGAGGACTACAATCTGGAAAGTCTGAAGATGGCGCGAGATCGACCTTTCAGCGTGAGACAAGTCATTAAGAAGGCACACGAAGACTGGGAAATTGTCTCCAAGAAAATTCAGAACCTTGAGAAGGCCCTCCGAAATGAAACCTTGGATTGGGAATACGTTGGGACTTTCCTGATGAATCACAACGAAGATCAGTGGGAGCAGCTTGATTATCACGGATACACTAGTGCTGCATGGAATGAGGACATTGCGAGCAGTGACGATTCTGATTCGGGGGAGTTTACCACCGTGGGGGGCAAGAGCAAGAGTCGCTACGTTCGGTGGATTACAGGGGCCGACATTGATGAAAAGAGGCGCCTTAATAAGGTAGCAGCCAAGGCCATCAAGAAGAATGCCGTACCACTATACAATGCATTCGGCTCTCTTCAGATAGACGGCTCGTCGACGCGACAAGTACAAGGAAGATCAACACTCCATCATATCCCAAATACGGATCGACCATTGCATCAGCTGACAGGCGACTTGTGGGAAATGTCCCTGAATGAGCGAAGGCGGTTATTGGACTCGTGGAAGCCCGAGGTACTGAATTTCATGATGCAGTCGATGAGCCGCCTGCTAATCGAAGTCGAGAAGATTTCACAGGCCAAAAATAACGCGAACGACGATATTCGAAGGACTATCCTTCGCGAGACTTCTGTGATCGGAATGACTACCAACGGCGCAGCCAAGTTGCAAACCTTGATTAGCGCAGTCGCCCCCAAGATCATCATTTGCGAGGAGGCGGGAGAGGTCCTGGAATCTCATATTTTGGCGGCGCTCTCTGCTTCGACACAGCACCTGGTTCTCATCGGTGACCATAAGCAGCTTCGTCCCCAGATCGAGACATATACTCTATCATCGGATTCTACCATCGGCAAGAACTACAATCTCGACAAGTCTCTTTTCGAGCGCCTCGTTGATAAGGAGTCTAAGAAGAACCCTCTACCACTGTCACACTTGACTATTCAACGACGCATGCGGCCCGAGATCTCGAGCCTGATCAGGAATACGCTTTATCCTGACCTGGCTGATGGAGAGCGAGTCTTTGCGTATCCCGATGTGAGTGGCATGGGCGCCAACTTGTACTTCATGGACCATGCACACGCTGAAGACAGCAAGGACCAGTACGGCGCACAGTCGTTCGCCAACTCTTTCGAGGTCAGGATGGTTGGGGCACTGGCACAATACCTGATCAAGAATGGATATGACAAGCCTGGCGACATTGCAGTCTTGACACCGTATCTCGGCCAACTTTCGAAACTCCGGGATCATCTGCGAAAAAGTTTTTTTTTGATGATTGACGAGCGAGATCAGGATCAACTGGACCTGAAGGGCAGAGAGAAGGAGCAGGACGAAACTATTGCCGCAGTCAACGAGCAGATCGGTGTGAAGAAAGTAGGACTTCAAAACCATCTTACTCTGCGTACCATCGACAACTATCAGGTAACGAATTTGAAAGGTTTACAGTCACCTACGTCGCGTGTTCATTGTGTGTTTATGGAACGAGGCACTAACTTGCTTTTTTTTTTTTTTTTCACTTCGAATAAAGGGCGAGGAAGCCAAGATCGTCATCATCACTCTTGTCCGCAGCAATTCCAAAGAGAACGGAACCTCTACGGCTGGTGGTTCGATTGGTTTCCTCAAGTCTCCGAACCGCACCAATGTGCTGCTATCAAGAGCTCAGCACGGGATGTTCCTCATTGGAAATGCTGGCCTCATGGAAGGCGCCAGGAGTGGTATGTGGCAAAATGTTCTTCAAGAGCTTCGTCAGTTTGATCGTGTCAGGAGTGGTTTCCCCATTGTCTGCAAGAATCATCCCGAGATAACAAACATCGTGGATGAACCCGAGGCATTCAAGATTGTTGCTCCGAACGCTGGCTGTACGGCTGCTTGTGGACGTGGTATGCCATGCGGTCATGTCTGTCCTCTTCAATGTAAGTCATCTCAGGAACTAAACCTGCTGCTTTGAAATGTCAACGGAACATTTACTAATATCCAACGAATTCTGTTACGCGTCGTAGGCCATCCTGATGATAAGGACCACGTCTTGGTTAAGTGCTTTGAGCCATGCCCCCAGCTTCAGCCCGGATGCGATCACGTATGCCCTAAGGTCTGCGGCGAAAAATGCGGCAATTGCATGGAGTTTGTGTCTCCGATTCTGTTGGCATGCGGTCACATCTTTGACCGTCCACGATGCTGGCAAGCCAAGAACCCATCCAAGATTCTTTGCAAAGTCCAGATGGCAAGGAAACTTTCGACCTGCGAGCATGAACATATTCTGTCTTGCCACATGGATCCATCGGCGGTCGTTTGCGATAAACCCTGCAATGAAGTGCTAGGGTGTGGCCATATTTGTACTCGTCCGTGCTCCGAATGCCAAAAGGAGTCTCCTGGATGGAAGAAGAAGAAGGATAATCCTGCTGTGCGCATCGAGCGCACTGTTCATGGGAAATGCAAAAAAGAATGCGGCAGGAACCTGTTCTGTGGCCATCCCTGCATATCCAAGTGTCATGACAAAGCAGCCTGTCCCCCCTGCGGGCAGAAATGCGAGGTCTTTTGCGCTCACTCCCGTTGCCATCAAAAATGCAATGCGCCATGTGCTGCGTGCTGTCAGAGATGCGTTTGGAGCTGCCAGCATCAAGGCCAGTGTGAGATGCCTTGTGGAGCACCTTGCGACCGACTCCCGTGCAACAAACGGTGCGACAAGGAACTCAAGTGTGGCCATCAATGTCCTTCTATTTGCGGTGAGAAATGTCCTTCGGAAAAGTTCTGTGTCGAGTGCAAGGACCCTTCAACCATGGGTCAGATTGTCGACCTGATCATGCAGCAATCGCTCGCTGAGGTCGATATCGATGACGACCCGATCCTCGTTCTTGCGTGTGGACATGCCCTGACAATGACCACACTGGATGGAATGATGGGAATGTCCGAGTACTACGTTGCAGAGACGGACAAGAAGACAGGCGATGTTCAATATGTCGGCAAGAAGGATCTGACGAACGATGAAGTGCCCCAAGTGTCGTGTCCCAACTGTCGCAAGCCCATCATTGGAATCTTGAGATACGGCCGCAGGGTCAAATGCTCACAACTGCGACTACGCTCACACAAGCACGAGATCACCCAATTTGGGGCCATGACCAAAGCACAGCAGGCATTCGATGTGGCGCAAGTCCAGATTAGGGATCGCCATGACGCGTTCATAGCTTCTCTCACGAAAGGCGTGACCGAAGAGTGCCCTGAACCACCGAGCGCCGAGTTGAGAGTGCTTGGGAGACACGATGACAAGAATGTGGAGCTACCGAATAGTAATGTTGAGTCGATCGAGAATATTTATCGTATCCCTAAGTTGCATGCGGATGCCTGGGTCAAGATGATCAGCCCAGCTACAAAATCGCTGTACCAATTCGGGGAAATCAGCATACAGGGTTTCAAGTCTCCGACTAAGCGACTCTTCGACGCTGCCGTCTCTCATCTCTACAGGATCAAGACTACTCCAACTTATGACCTTTCGGAGGACCTTGTCACCCACCCATCTCTGCCAAGAGATGCAGCCACAGCCTCTGATATCGTCCAAGCCTGCGTTGTTGAGTGTGGCCTCCCGAGAGATGGGCATTTTGGTGAATCATATGTCAATTCTTTGCAAGAGCGGGCCAACGTGTTGATCTTCGTCATTTCACAGGCATTTGAGGCCATGGACAAGTGCGGAGCTTCAACGGGATGGTATTGGTTCGTGGAGGACCTGTTAAGATGCGCTAGAATCCATATTGAGAAACTGCAGACCGCTTCGCTGAATGGGCGCTTTAGTCGAAAGGCCGTCTACGCCCAAATCACCCACATGGATCTCATTTGCAGAGAGACGCGATGGCTTGGAATGAAGACGTTTCCGACCGAGGACAAGGCTAAGGAGGATCGTTTGAAGCAAGTGAACAGTCTTCAGGAAAAGTTCATGGCCGAGCACAAAGACCTTAAGGATCACTGCCCGCGTGGTATCAAGATCGAGTGCGTGGCTAGAGCAGAAGAGTTGGAGGCAAAGATGGTTGAGGTTGTCAAGGCAGCCAAAGGTCAGGCTTCCTATTCGCCCCTGTCAAAGGAGGAAAAGCTGCAGTTGTTCAGGGCGATGAGTCAGGAGTTGAGAGGATCAGGACACTGGTACGCGTGTCCGAACGGCCATCCCGTAAGTCACTGTTTTATTTGCTTGACAGGGTTCTGTTGCCATACGAATGAAAGAGGTAATTAGGTTCTAACAAAGTACTCTTCCTGTTGATCTAGTATGTCATTGGAGAGTGTGGGATGGCGATGGAACAGGCGCACTGTGCCGAGTGTGGCGCCTTGATTGGAGGTGGTGACCATGCGTTGCGAGGCGATAACGTACTCAATACGGAGTTTGAGGACATGTATCGTCAGAGACGCTGATCGAAACTACACGGTGCTGATGAGCGGGAGCCAAGATGTCATTTATCATATCCCTTGTCCTAAATTCATATATATGGGATGAATTTTAATAAGAAAATGCGGATTGCAATTGCGTAAAATGCTATTATGATGGCCAACCCCTCTTTCTAAGCACATATTGACACCTGGTCCCCGGGGCACCTAGAAATGTAACTTGGCTGGCATTTGCTTGAAACTGGTATTAAGGAATGAGCTGAAATGGGATCATCCTCATTGAGAATTCCCCATTAATATCGCGCTGCTTAAATTTAATTTTTGTACAACCACCACCAACTTCCACATCATGGACATTCGATACCTTCTCAATGATAATCGTGAATTTACCAATGATGGCGCTGACGGCTACCCCTTCTCACTCCAAGTCAACTGGTCCTTGTTGGAAGAGGGATGGGGAAATGAGGTCTTCCGAGGACATTATGAATTAGCTGCCGAATACGAATCAATCATTACTGCCCCTCAAAACAATACAAAGCTAATATGAAGTGGAGAGACGATCAGAAGGCGACTTGACTATATTGGGGTACGGAATCGCGGTGAGTAGTTTGGATAAGCGAGACGCGAGGCAGAAAGAGCCAACAATCGCTACATGGAGATAGTGCAGGAAAAATTTCATCCCATATGTGGGATGAAATTTTTTTTAGGACAAGTGATAGGATCTCCACTAAGGGTTGCTACTTATTGCGCTATATAAAACAAATCATTGTTGCTTGACATTCTGTGCCATGGAGCTATGAAGACAGGTGGGAGAAATCTAGATCCTTGTCTCCTTGGAACCTTCCGCTTCCTGCTTGTCCTCTGCAGCCCGCTTCACAGGAGTTTTAATCCCGTCCAGGAACTCGACATGGCTCTTTGGAAAGACCTTTGGCAAAAGTTGCGTTCATCGACCCTGTTCACCACCTGTTGCAGACCATCAGCTTGGGAGTCCTTACATGGCCTTGGACGCAGGGAAAGGACATCTTACAGCAATAGCTTCGAGATCGATATCAGGCCGTGGACGCATCGAATTTACCAACTTGGCAGGGTTCGCAATGATCATGCTGACGTACGTATTGGCGGGGGCAGTACTCGGCGAGTTCCTTTCACATGCTCTTTGACTTTTTGGTCGGAAAAGGACTCCAGAGCATGATTTGCGCTCAACTCGAATATAAAAGACGATATCAGGTCCTCGATGGCTTGGCTTTGGGGAAAAAAGAACGATGGGACAGGTTTGCCGAGTCGCAATGAGTCGGTGTTGGCATGGGCGTCCATGCGGAGTATTGGGAACAATAATTCTGTGAAAAGCGAGTTGCCCTTTTTAATAGTGACAGATCGTGCCTTATATACTAAGGAATGGCTATTAATGCATCTAGTATAGGAGTCTAGGAATATAGGAAGTGGTCCCAGAGGCATAATGCTCATAATAAAGGATCGGCACCGAGTGGTGGCGGATTCAGAGGAATGGGGCACTTTATAATGCGGTGAATACACCACAGTCCATGAATTCATTCATCGATATATAATCATGTGTGATTCCTCGCTGGAGTCTCTGATCATCCAGACCGACGATTTCCGCTTCTCTTTTGAGCGCCGCACACAAAGAAAGTATCGACGGATCGTGTTCCTAGTCAAAGAGAGTGCGCGTCTTGAAAGTCTTGGTAATGACATTCATCATCATGAGTTCTCATGCGTATTCGTGTGCTTGAGACCTGTCCGATTGCTGGACCCACCGCTCCATGGTCTTCATGAAGCCGGAATCCTGCTCCCTGAAATAAATTTGGGCGGCCTTCAACACGAATGGGCTCATCAAGAACCGTCGTTGCACATCCCTCGATGATCTTGATACGACCGAAACCGCGCTCTACCAACAGTGGCGCTGCTTTCTGAAGGACCAGTGCGTCAGCTCCAAACATAAACCGCTGAAAGAGAAATAATCCCAGAACCTCCTCTATCGTAGAGAACTCCTGTAAGATCGACAAGTTCTCACAGCACTTGTTTTCCAAGCGAACTAGTTCATGGCAGAGATTTCTCCTGTTCGGTATAGAACCTGTACGATACCAATCTGGAATGCACTATATCAACCTGTGTAGTACGTGCGAGCAAAGACAAGCGCCCTTCGCATGATGCAGACGGGCAGTGCCTTATAAGGTGCCCGTCTGCCCAGGAAATAAAGATCTCTCTCTTGTCTTGTTCTGTAAGTAAATATAAGGGTAAACAATGCATGGACTCTGTCACATCGATTGCGTTTTGCCAGTTGTCTGGATTGACATTCCCAATGATCCTCTCAATGGTCATGATAATTGGACGGAACCGACCGAGAAGCCTTTCCGACATGATCTTGATTGCCTTTGGTCGCAGGAGTTCATCCAATGCTTGCTTCCCCTCCTCTGTGTGCAATAGGTCTCGCAGGCCAGGGATATAGGCCTCGATTGGCTCGCGTCCTGTCCGGCCAGAGAACTCCATGTACTCGAATCCGTCCATATCTTCATCGAACCCAGATCTCTTAACGAACGAGCCAGGGCTCCGCGCCCAGTCTAAAGTGTAGATACTGAGCCCCGTGCCAGAGGTTATAAGTGTAAGTGGTGCTTCGCATCCGACATTTCAAAATCCTTGTAAAACAGGGGAGAGTAAAGGCCGTTTGTCCTATCTGGACTCATCGACTCGAACTTCCCCCAGTCCGTTTCGCCAAGGATCTGCGCCTCATCATGAACAACCAGTAGCTTTTCGTAAGCGTTGGAATCTGGGAGCCCTCCATGACTTCTGTGTTCAATAGGCAGGCCTATTGTGAGCTTTCACTCCTCTCGGATAACCCCCAACAGTTCTATCTCTGTCAAAGACTTGAGCAGGAAGAACTGCTAGAATAGATTGTCGAAAATGTCTTGTCTGAAGGCAGAGGTACAGGTCTGGGGGATGGTCCATCTTGCGCTGGTAAATGTCTGTTCGCTGCCCGGGACCTTCGAACAGTGTTGGAAGACCTTGAGCCGGGAGAGGAAAAGGAGGTATGTTACCATCCTTGCTTGACGGTTATTCGCAGCTTTATCGTCCTGCAGACGCGTCTTGACTTCAGATATGAGTGTGGTGATATCATTGGACCCCAGATCATCACCAGCAGTGTTAAAGTAAAAAGCCCCAATGCCTCAATCATGCCTCGTGTCTTTCCGCATCTGACGACACAGAAAATAGGCACATTCTGGAAATTGCGGCATTCGCACCTCTTGATCAGCTCCAGGATGTGGTCGGACGTCAGTTGCTTCGATGGCTTATTGCCTTTAGAGGGATCGGGCAGATCCAGAAAGAGCAGGCTCGGCTACGTGTCGGGTGGCGGGCATCCTCTGCGAAGCCGGACTCTTGGCAAGCCAGGGGCATTGTCGGTTGTGAGTAGCAACTTCTCGTGGCCATGCACGAACCGTTGGAAGAAGTCAGCCGCGGGCGATCCAGGTGCGAGAAATTTGTCGGTGATTTTTTTTAATGTCAGTTCTCAGGTCGCCTATTCATAAAACGAAAGAATAGGGCTATTAGACACTAGAAGGTTATTAATTATCAGAACGAAAATGAAGAGCACATAGCTGTGCACTCACCCAAGAACAGGGAGTTAGGACGAGATCCATCTGAGGAAAGGAGTGGTACAAGTGCAAGGGCAGCCAATGTAACAGCACGGTAGAATGCAAGAAACGATGAGGTCAAGAGTCAGTATTTTGTGAGAAAGAAGCGAAACGCGAACAAATCCAGATACTAATTCAAAGCGCGTGGGATGCATTACTTGGTGATGTCGCTGAACAATGATGTGAATTATTTCCTTGGCTGGCGTGTTTGGGAAGACATCGGAGACATCGTCTGTCGGAATGAGCTCCGTCTTGGAATCGATCTCGTTCAGGAAGACCGCATTGTGGATATGGCCAGCGACGACAGGAACAGAAACACGCCAGAGCTTAAGCTTGTCTGCTGCGACATCAGCGAAAGCGGCGTTCTTTTGGGCCTTGATGGCCTTTCTAAGGATGGAGACTATGGCAGCCGGCTCAATATCGATATCGAACGCTCTCGACGTGGGATCTCCATCGGTGAGACAGAAGAGATTGAGGTCGGCCATGGTGGATGGAGCGTATGTAGTTGGGTAAGTGAGAGTGAATGGATAGCCTTGTGAGTGTTTGTGCGCAAAGATAGAGAAGAAGAAGAGAAGGAGGAGGAGGAGGAGGAGGAGGAGGAGAGGAGGAGGAGGAGAGGAGGGATGGCTGTTGAATGTGGGTGTCTGTATAGCAAAAGCGGGTGAAAAGGCGAGGTTGCTCCGGTGGTGGCGCGTCCATTGACCTGGCCCTGGACCTCGCCACCGCCCTCATGACACGTCTCCAGTATAATATACACCATATGATGATGACCCGGAAAATATCCTAGACGCTTTTGTGCATGAACGCATGAAGGGTGGCGCCTCCGGTTACTCATTAAGGAAGGTGCGAGGTCGAAATGGGGTTGCTCATGTTTGATGCAGGACACGTTCATGCACGGGCAGCACTGCCAAAAAGGGCGTTCAATGGGGAGTGCACGGGCCAGATAGCTTAGGGGGCAAATGCTTGGCAGTTTTTTTCTTTTTCTTCCTTTCTCTCGCTTTCTTTCTTCGTTAGCCCCTCCTTCGCCAACATCTTGCACTTGTCAAGGAAAAAACTCGCATTCGCACACTTACAAACATACAGCAGCACTCGAAGCAGCCAGCAGCAATAGGACATCACACCACTGCATTGCGCGCAAGCAGTTCTTTACACTACTGAGCACACGACTGTACCACAGCGCAGCAACAAAAAAAAAGCCTTCCAGAACCAAGGTACCGTAGTGCTTGATGTCTACCTGTCTGTTCTATATTATATTATGTTTTTTTCCCACGAGCTCTTCCTCAGTTCTAACAGAGGCCTCTACATAATATTAATCGTATATCAGCTATGACGGCTTTCTCGAACAGAGGCGGGCGTGGCTGGGGCCGCGGCGGTCATGGTGGAGATGGAGACAGCGGCGGCGCGGGCAAGGGCCAAGGAGCGGGTAGAGGGCATCTTGACCAAGGTGATGCTGGCCGTGGTCGTGGCCGCGGTCGCGGTCGCGGACAGATTACAGACGCGCAAAGGGCCGAGATTGTATTGGCGAGACGGCCCACAACCATCCAGGTTACAGGGGACGGTACTGACGATGTGATCGTAGCGGCAGCTGCAGACCAGCAGCTACAGCACTTGGCTAGCTTCTACTTGAGAAAGGCGGATTTCACGGGCTTTCGGGGCCAAAAGCAGATCCGCAGCTTCGTTAACTCCTGTCTGATCAACCTTTCGAACCATCACACCATCGACACTTCGGGCTGTGTGACGGGCTTGGCATCAACGTCTGGTCGCGCTCGCCTTTCAGAGATTATGGAGATGCCGATGGACATCGACGCCGGCGACAGCAACAATGCTCTCTCGTTCCAGTTCGCGATCTTGCCGTTAGTCGGGGTCCTCACACGTGAGTCTGTATGCCAGTCTACCATGACCAGCGAGACAGGGCTGATTTATGCGAACGTCTACCTCCATCGGGATCCATTCTTGAGTCGGATCCTTGATTGTATGGACCAACTCCTGGATCGAGGTTCGCTAGAAGATACCAGTGTCATGGGAGCACGGTTGGCTATGGATCGATCCATCTGCCAAGTGACATCCCTGCAACGCGCGTTGCTTGCCATCACTCGACTGATATATCAGCTGATAAAGCGCATCAAGGACGCCAGGTACGAGATGGTCGACATGATCAGACTGCTGCAAGAGCAGCGGAGCAAGTGCCGTAAAGCCTCAAGGGACACCCGAGAGAACGATTTTATCCAGAGCATCCTGGACGCAGACATTTCGAGGCTCCAGAGAATCGTTGCTGATACGCAGGGGACTATCATCCATGAGGGCGGTCTCTTTGGCCCGAGCTCGTCATCTCGATCCATCGGAGATCATGCACCCAACCTGGTTCATCTGAAAATGGCCTACAATCCCCCAGGTCAGCTGTCCCCGGACGGCCCCAGGCACGACAATGACCACGAGCTCGTCAAGGATATCAAGGTCCATCCAACGCAGAGGGAGATTACATGCTCCCGTCTGCCATTCCTGCCGTCGAACTGTGTGCCCGAAGCACCCCATTTTCTGCCACATGGCTGGAGACGCCAATTGGACATCCATTTCCGGCTATTGAGAGAAGATATGCTGAGTTCCCTCAAGAAGGGGGTAGTTTCATTTTTGACTGCCCTGGAGAAGACCGACAGATGGAACGACGAGGACTTGTTGCGGCAGAGAGGACTCCGGAAGCTGCTCGATAATAGCGTCAGTCTGAACGTTTACGGAGATGTGCAGTTCCACGGCATGGACTGCAAGAAGAAACTGGGAGGCTCCATCGAAATTTCATTCACCCAGCCTGCTCAGATCCTGGGCGCCGGGCAGCGACGTCGAGCCGAGTTCTGGGAGAAGTCGCGCAGACGTCTGATGCATGGTGCGCTTGTGTGTATTGTTAGTCGCCCAACAAGCACCGAGACAGAGCCTGGATATGATGGCCCTGCATTCCAGATGGTCCTCGGAGTGATCACGAGTCGCGACATTGGAGCTCTGTCCAAGGACGAGGATGCTGCACGCATCCAGATTTCTTTAACCGACCCCAAGACGTACTTGCAGATACTGAACTCGATGGCCTTGCCCGAAGATGGAAACCGTGAGCAGTGGTTCCTGGTCGAAACCAACGGCGGGTTCTTTGAGGCTTACCGACCGGTGTTGCAAGCGCTTCAGAACTGTGAGCCTGCGACCCTTCCTTTCGGGAAGTATATCGCTCCGACCGAACACGAATATAACACCAGATTGGACGCTGGCGGCAAGGTCGACCCACCGCTGTATGCGCGTGCTCCGGGATTCACCTTTGATCTGTCCGTCCTCGTCAAGGATCAGGAACTCCGTTTGGATGCAGGCGATCCACAGTCGGTCGAAAATGCTGTGCACATGCTCCAGCGGGAAAGTACTCTCGATGACACGCAAGCATCCGCCTTGGTCGAAACTCTTTGCCGAGAAGTTGCGCTGATCAGCGGGTAAGCTTTGGTGATGCATGTCAGACAGTCCCTCTCTCTCCCTTCTTTGCTATCGACGCACCAACTTACACTAACTTATGATGGTCTTTATGTCATATGTAGGCCGCCCGGGACTGGCAAGACCAAGATCGGAGTGGATCTAATGCGAGTCCTATTGCACAACAAGCAAGCGATGAACTGTGGACCTATCCTCTGTATCTGCTACACGAATCATGCACTGGATCAGTTCCTGGAGCACCTACTGGACGAAGATATTACCCAAATTGTCCGCATTGGCTCCCGGTCCAAATCTGAGAGGCTCGAACAGTACAATCTGGAAAGCCTCATGAAAGCCCATGATAAACCCTACAGCGTTCGCCAGGCGCTTTGGATGGCTAAAGAAGAGTGCGAAAAGCTGGCAGATAATATTACAAAGGTGGAGAATGCACTCCGCTGTCCTCATCTTGTCTGGGAGTACTTGTCGCCCTTTTTAATGGCCAAGAATTTCGACCAATGGGAGCAGCTCGCTAGCGGCACTCCACACGACGATTACAAATCTGACGCAGCATCCGATAGCGATAGCGATCGCGATGTCTATAGCTATGAGGATTACTACGCTCCTGACGAATCTGATCCAGAGGCTGAGGACCAAGATTTCGCCACGCCACTCGACAATGATCCTTTGTCTGAGAAGGGAGGCTATACGAGGGTCGAAAGAAAGAAAAATAAGCAGCCAGCACATCCATACGTTCAATGGGCGATGTGTGCAGATATTCAGAGCAAAATCCGATGGAACCAGAGTGTCATTGAGCAGGAAGAGTTGAAACAGGATGGCGCCAATCATAACTACTTCGGCCTCCTGGCAGATGGTATGCCAACTTTGAAGCCAACCCTCCTGCAGATCCCCGATAGAGATCGACCCTTGGCACTTTTGACCGGCAATGTCTGGAGGATGTCCATGAGAGAGCGAGGACGTTTGATCGAGTCGTGGAAACCGGAGGTGCAGGCTTTCATGATGGACGAGCTGGAGGGACTCCTGGAGAAGGTCCAGAAGATTATGAGCGCCAAGAACAACGCGTTCGACGATATCCGCCGCACCATTATACGGGGGTCGTCTGTTGTTGGCATGACAACCAGTGGTGCCGCGAAAATGCAGGCCTTGATCGAAGCAGTCGCTCCGAACATCATAATCTGCGAGGAAGCTGGTGAGGTCCTCGAGTCCCACATACTGGCCGCGCTTTCAGCTTCCACCCAGCATTTGATCCTAATCGGAGACCACCTGCAACTCCGTCCCCAGATCGAGACATATACCCTGTCATCAGATTCCACCGTTGGTCAGAACTACAACCTCGACAAATCACTGTTTGAGCGACTGGTCACTGACAAGAAGAGCCCTCTACCACTATCGCACCTGACTATTCAGCGACGCATGCGGCCCGAGATCTCGAGCTTAATCAGGAATACGCTTTATCCCGACCTAGTTGATGAAAAGCGAGTCCTCGAGTATCCCAATGTGAGTGGCATGGGTGCCAACCTGTACTTCATGGACCATGCACACGCCGAGGACAGCAAGGATCAGTACGGCATGCAGTCGTTCGCCAACTCTTTCGAGGTCAGGATGGTTGGGGCACTGGCACAGTACCTGATCAAGAATGGATATGACAAGCCTGGGGACATTGCAGTCCTGACACCGTATCTCGGCCAACTTTCGAAGCTCCGGGACCATCTGCGGAAAAGCTTTATTCTCGTTATCGACGAGCGAGACCAGGAACAGTTGAATCAAAGGGACCAAGATATGGAACAGGGCGAGACCCCCGATAAAGAGGCTAACGAACATATCGGCGTAAGGAACATCTCTCTTCAGAACCACCTTACTCTGCGGACTATCGACAACTACCAGGTACTGAAAATTGCCGGTATTATTTGCTTTTGCCCAGATTTTATGTTGAGCCACAATGGACTCATTTTTTATTTGTTTTGTTTTGTTTTTATTGTTGACAGGGCGAGGAGGCCAAGATTGTCATTATCTCCCTTGTTCGCAGTAATGTCAAGCGGGATGGAGCCATGGCAGCATCGAGTTCCATCGGATTCCTCAAGTCTCCCAATCGCACCAATGTTCTCCTGTCTCGAGCACAACATGGCATGTACTTGATTGGGAACGCAGAACACATGAGGCAGACCAAGGATAATCAGTCACTGTGGCCAGAAATTATTGAAGAGTTAGAAGATGGAGAACGCTTGGGCGATGGCTTCCCTATTATCTGCAGGAACCATCCTGACATCAAGAACGTCGCAGACAGCCCTGAGATCCTTCAGACTGTGGCCCCGAACGGAGGATGCACGGCGAAGTGCGGGGCAAACATGCCCTGCGGCCATGTCTGCCCCCTCAGCTGTAAGTTTAATAAATGTGGATCCAAACTGTCGACAGAGGAACACTATAAGAGCTCCTCTAATCTTCTTTTATTACTTTGTTGAATAGGCCATCCTGATGACAAAGACCATCTTCTGGTCAAGTGTTTCCAGCCGTGTCCACGCCTCCACGCGGACTGCGAACATGTATGTCCAAAATTCTGCGGCGAGAAGTGCGGAAGCTGCATGGAGATTGTGGCGGACATTATGCTTCCATGTGGCCATGTCCTTCAGCAGGCCAGATGCTACCAGGCCAAGGATCCTTTGAAGATCATCTGCAAGGTCAAGGTCACTCAAAACCTGCCAAACTGTGAGCACGAGCACGAGATGAACTGCTGGGAGGATCCGAACAAGATCGTTTGCCGCAAGTCCTGTGGTGCAATACTCGCCTGTGGGCATGAATGTACTCGTCCGTGCTCCGATTGCCAAAAGGCATCACCCGGTTGGGTACGAGAGGAAGATGCACCAGTCGCGCGGATCGACCGTACCGTCCATGGTAGCTGTCAGAAGGAGTGTGGAAGAATTCAGTTCTGCGGCCACGCTTGCACGTCTAAATGCCATGGCAAATCCCCCTGCCGCCCCTGCCAGCAGAAATGTGAGATCTTTTGCGCTCATTCTCGATGTAAGCAGAAGTGTAACGTGCCATGCGCTGCATGCTGTCACCGCTGTGTGTGGGAGTGCAAGCATCAGGGTCAATGCGACATGCCTTGTGGAGCACCTTGCGACCGACTTCCGTGCAACAAACGGTGCGACAAGGAACTCAAGTGTGGCCATCAATGTCCTTCTATTTGCGGTGAGAAATGTCCTTCGGAAAAGTTCTGTGTCGAGTGCAAGGACCCTTCAACCATGGGTCAGATTGTCGACCTGATCATGCAGCAATCGCTCGCTGAGGTCGATATCGATGACGACCCGATCCTCGTTCTTGCGTGTGGACATGCCCTGACAATGACCACACTGGATGGAATGATGGGAATGTCCGAGTACTACGTTGCAGAGACGGACAAGAAGACAGGCGATGTTCAATATGTCGGCAAGAAGGATCTGACGAACGATGAAGTGCCCCAAGTGTCGTGTCCCAACTGTCGCAAGCCCATCATTGGAATCTTGAGATATGGCCGCAGGGTCAAATGCTCACAACTGCGACTACGCTCACACAAGCACGAGATTGCCCAAGCACGAACCATGGTCAATGCGCAGAAGGCATTTAATATGGCACAAGTCTTGGTCGGACAAAGGAAAAGTGCGTTCCTTGCCTCCCTTACTCAGGCTGAAGACTGCCCAGAGTCGCCGAATCCCATATTGAGAATCCTTGGGAGTTACGATGACAAGAACATCCAGCTGCCGAACAGTGATTTCAGGTCGATTGCAAAGATTTATAGCATTCCTAAGGCGCATGCCGACGCATGGAGCAAGCTGGTTGCACCAGCTGCGGGATCTCTTCAATATTTCGGAGACATCATCAAGCGGGCTTGCGATTCACCTTCGAAGCTGCTCTTTGACGCAGCAGTGTCTCACCTCTACAGGATCAAAACTGCTCCAACTTACGACCTATCGAAGGACCTTGTCACCCGTCCATTTTTGCGAAAGGATGCGGTAACTGCCTCTGATATCATCCAAGTATGCGTCATCGAGTGCGGCCTTCCGAGAGATGGCTTTAGCGGCGATGGATATGTCAACGCGTTGCACGAGCGGAACAGCGTTTTGATTTTGGTCCTTGCGCTGGCGTTTGCGGCTATGAACAAGATCGGCGCCTCCTCCGGGTGGTATTGGTTCGTCGAGGACTTGCTGAAGTGTGCTCGAGTTCACATCGAAAAACTGAAGGCAGCCACGTTGAATGGGCGCTATGATCGAAAGGCGGCGTATGCACGCATTATCCACATGGAGGTGATCTATAGAGAGACCCAATGGTTGGGTCTGAGGACGTTCCCGAGGGAGGAGGAGGCGATGAGGGAGCGTCTGAATAAGGTCGACGGTCTTGTGGAAAAGTTCATGGCTGAGCACAAGGCAATCAAGGATCATTGTCCGCTCGGTATCAAGGACGAGTGTGTGGCTAGGGCAGCAGAGCTGGAGGCGAACGTTGTGGCGGCTGTCAAGATTGCCCGCGGTGAGAGTCCCTATTCACCCGTGACAAAGGAGGAGAAGTTGCAGCTGTTCAAGGCGATGAGTAGGGAGCTGGGCGGAGCTGGACACTGGTACCGCTGCCGAAATGGCCACACGGTAAGTCTCTCTCTTTCCTTTTTTTTTTGTTATTATTATTATTTTTTATTTTTGTCGGTAATTACTTACTTAATACTCTTGTTATTTTAACATAGTACGTCATTGGAGAGTGCGGCGGTGCCATGCAGGAGGCGATCTGCCCCGAGTGCGGAACCCCAGTAGGAGGAACCGGACATCGACTTCTGGGCGACAACACGCGCGACGAGGAATTCGAGGCGATGTACGGCACTGCCCTCGGCCACTAGTGACTTCAGTTACGAAATTTCATAGTGAGGATCTCTGTTCGTGAATGGCGGGCGCCACATCATCTGTACAAGGAATATCAGATAATTAAAAAAAGGGTTTTCATCTCCTTCGCATTATTGGGCGACTGATTTAGTCAATACCGCTCTAGAGCGCTGGAGAAAGTGATTTTTTTTTTTTGCTGGAGAAAATGCTTATTGATTTGCATGGGCTGAGGAACATGTAAACACGAACCTGTTCAAATAAATTATATATATATTTCAATTGGACTGAATACATGGCTACTCCTCCAATTTAAGCGACTTAAATTGGAGTTCGACTGTGAAGGCTGTGCTCCTGTGAGAATCACAAGCACCCCTAACCACCTTCCTTTTATAGCCTGACTATGTGAAATCCAACTCCATGCTGACTGGTTGAAAAGAGTGGTGTAGAAATTGCTGCAGAAGTTTGTCTCAATAAACCGGTAAATGCCAATTTACGAACAACCAAGCTGTTGTCGAGATTGCTACGGATATGCAACTTCATGCTTCTACAACGGAGGTGTGTACCTGTTGTCGAAACCTCATTTTTAACCATGTCCTATTAAGGGCCTCCTGCACTCGATACATGGTGGCGTGACGAGAAGCTGCTGATTTTGACAGGGATGTCAAGTAATAAATACGTGCTCGTTCTTCTCTTTTCTCCCTGTTCTCTCTCTTGTTCTCACCGTGATCTTCTTCATCTTTCTTTGTCGCTCTCTAATAATCTTCATTCTTACTCTCGTCCATTCCCTTGCTGCACGCCCCACAGCACCTCCTGTTCGCACCAATATGGAGAAGCCATCGATCTTCGACGTCCCCCTTCTCAAGGACGAGGTCACCCAGTATCTCTCCAGTCGCGACCTGGCTCATTGCTCCCGCGTTTCCAAACAGTGGTCCACCTGGTTTAGGCCCACTCTCTGGCGTGCCCTCGACTTTGGGTCCTCGGATTTCGATGAATGCACTCTGCAAAAGCACCGCGATCACGTCAAGACAATCCTCCGCCTGAATATCGCTCACCTGGCCGCTGACGACTTTCCACTCCCCAATCTCTGGTCCTTGGAGGCGTCCTCTTCGTTGAATATCTTTGACAGTCATGTGCTCTTAACGGAGATATCTGGTTTACGCACGTTCTTGAGAATCGCTCCGACTGTTCTGCGAACACTGAAGATCGAATTCTGGCTCATCAATCCAGATCTTGATGAAATGAAAAATTTTGACCTCACTTCCCGACAATTCCTCGACCCGTTTTTTGTACTTCAACTTTTCCAGGCCTGCAGCAACCTCGATTCATTGATTTTACGTGTCAGATCCTACCTTACTATACTGTATCAAGACGAGCATCTCCGTGAAGTTCTGAGAAAACAGGACGAGTCCGCCAACCGTGGCATGGAGCAGATGCCAAAGGCTCAACTGCGAGAGCTGGGGCTTTACGTACGGTGTTTTGGGTATGGGCTCGCCATCTTGCCTCTGTTTCTAGCACAATGTCCACACTTGCAAGTCTTTCGACTGGGAGATCTGGAGACTATGGGAGATCTGAAGACCACAGGAATACTGGAACAGATCGTATCTGTATTTGAAGACGGCAAGTGTCCAAAATTGCGAGACCTTCAGCTAGGCGGTGTTCTAGGCAAGGATACCGAAGAACTGAACACAAGGTTTATACGCTCGCTCGGACAAGGAAGCGGCGATGACTCCCTCAACAGCAATGCAGGCGACCTGGAGAGACAATGTGGGCTCGAATCCATAACAGTCAAGGGCACTAGGGCCCTAAGCACATTTGTGATGGCCCTCACGCAACATCAAGCCACAACATTGACGTCCATGGATATCATCCACTACCACAACACTCGGCTGGCAGACCTTGTAAGTCTTGTGAGCAGCCTTCCGAAACTGCGTACCCTGGGTATCACTGTTAACTTGCGGTCACAGAACGGTCGTACCCCAGAAGAGGACCTGGCACTTCACAAAGGGTGGGTCTTCCTTGAGCTGAAGCGATTGACACTGTATTACATTTTGGAACATGGGACTGAGGTTGTCAGTCAAACGTGTCCAAGCGAGAAATTGCAGAGTCGTTTCATGCATTATGTCTTTCCGCAGACTGCGCGTCTTTCGGAACTGGAGGAATGGACACTTGGGCGCAACATTGAGTTATTGTGCTTATCGAATGGGTTCCTTAGTTGGCTACCGGGATTGAAGAGGCTGAAGTCATTGACTTACATCGCTCGCTCGAAGAACTCCATGGATACGGTGGAGGCAGAGTGGATGATTGAAAACTGGCCGAGTCTGATTCATGTTGCGTTACTGAGCACTGACCGAGACGCTTTATCGGAGACGACACTGCTGGCGCAAGAGCGATTCGTGGCCTCGCTGAAAGAAAAAAGACCATGGATCCGTATCGAGTAGGGCTGTGTGCAAACGGATTGCGATCGTCTCAATAAGTCACTGGATCGTGATTCCTCTTATGGCATGATGCTGCACTGGATCAGCACATTTCGTCTTGCAGGCGCTTTGCTCAAACCAACATTTATATAGCACGCATGAATACGACAATCGTTCCCTGAATAAGCTATCTCTACTCCGATCCTTTACGTTTCACGCGAATAAAAGATGGGCTGATTAAAGAAACTGCTGCATTGATAAATGTCACATAGAATCTGATTCCCCTGAACTGTTGTACACGCACTTATTTCTGCAGGGGGAAAAAAAGAGGGGAATCCAGAGCATCGCCTTAGGTTGATAGAGGCTACACCCTGATTCTCAAGAAAAGCACGATGTAGATCTCACGGCAGCGGCTTTAATGGCGTGAATATATATATATAACAAAATGGAGATGGAGATGGTGCATGTCGCATCTGCTGTGGTATCTAAATATTTACTACGATTCTATTCATTTAGGTTCTCGCACCCTCGTTTTTTTTACAGCTTCGCATGGTCTTCGCTGACGCGCTCGATCACAACAGCCGAGGCTCCACCACCACCGTTGCAGATACCGGCAACTCCGATCTTTGCGTTCTTCTGCTGCAGGACATTGACCAGTGTTGTGATGACACGAGCACCTGAGCATCCGAGAGGGTGTCCAAGGGCAACGGCGCCTCCGTTAACGTTGACGTTCTCGCTGTTCAAGCCCAAGAGCTTCATGTTTGCGCAAGCGACGATCGAGAAGGCCTCGTTGATCTCATAGAAATCGATCTGCTCAGGCGTGAGACCAGCGCGCTTAATAGCCTTGGGGATCGCCAATGCGGGAGCGGTCGTGAACCTGGAGGGATCCTGCTCTGCATCTGCGGATCCACGGATCAGGGCCAAGACGGGGATGTTGAGCTCGCGGGCCTTCTGTCCAGAGATCAAGATAATGGCGCAGGCACCGTCCGAGATGGGCGAGGAGTTGGGTGCAGTGACCGTGCCGCCGTTGGGCTTGAAGGCAGGGCGCATGGCACGCAGTTTGGACTCGTTTAACTAAATAAACATACACACACAAAAAAAAAAAAACGTCAAACGATCCAGATGTCAGATGTCAGACTCCATAGTTTGAAAAACATCGAAAAAGACATTCAGCAGCATTGACAACGACATACGTTGGAAATCTCATCGTCGGTCGAGACGACAGTGTCGGGCTTGCCACGAGCGCCGGGGATGACAACGGGAACGATCTCATTCTTGAAAAGTCCAGCCTCAGTGGCTGCCTGAGCACGTTTATAAGAGTTGATGGCAAAGTCGTCCTGAGCCTCGCGTGAGATCTGGTGCTCCTCTGCAGTCTCCTCCGCGGCGACACCCATGGAGTAGTTGTTGTAGACATCAGTGAGACCATCCTTCTGAACGCCGTCGATGACCTCCTGATGGCCGTACTTGGCACCGAAGCGCATCTTGGGCAAGTAGTATGGAACATTGGTCATTGACTCGGCACCTCCTGCGATAACAATCTATAGAAAACATTAAAGGATACATCAGCGTCAGTACGGACTAACATGAGACATAAGTCGACCTAGTAATGATCTCTCACTTCTTAACTTACATCAGCCTGGCCAGTCTGAATGGTCTGGGCGGCAAGCATGACAGCCTTCATGGAGGAAGCGCAGACCTTGTTGACGGTGGTCGAGATGACAGACTTGGGAAGGCCGGCGCCAATGGCGACCTGTCTAGCGGGGTTTTGACCTATTTAGTCATAAAGCACAGGCGCCATTAGTAGTCAGGATTAGATCGAGGGGGGAAGGAAGACAAAAAAAAAAATATATATTAAATCCTCGGCGTCCAGGTCCAGGAGACCATTGATCATATATTAGTCTCGCCTCTTAATTCTAAATCAAAATGCCTCTTCTGCAGTGGTCGTCAGAAGGCTCGGCCAATCGCGATTCCCTGCTTCCACAAGTTCTTTATCCTTGGATCGCAAATACGACTGCGACCTGAATTTTTTTTTTTTTTGTTGGGCCTGAGAATTCAAATTGTGGGGAAGAAACAAAGTGCACGGCGGAATGATAACCGATAATGCATTTCTATGGAAAATTGTTGGAAGCACCTACCGAGTCCGGCAGACAAGACATTTCCGAAGTAGAGCTCCTCGATCTGCTCGGGGCTGATGTTGGCCTTTTCCAGGGCACCTATTGTGTTATGAAGATAGTAAGAGCAGCTCTGATCAGATCGTTGTCCAGGTTCGGATATATCTGTCAGCCGTTGTTTCCAGGAAAGCCATTATGCTTGTTATCATTACCCTTGACAGCAAGAGAGCCGAGCGCGGTGGCCGAGAAAGAGGCAAGGGAGCCGTTGAAGGAGCCGATGGGAGTGCGTGCGACGGCAGCGATATAGACTGCAGGTGCGGACAAGAAGGAAGAAAAGGTGAGAAACAACAGTAGCAGGTGAAATAAAGCACGAAAGCGAAATGTTGATGAGACACTTGCGGCCGCATACCTGTGTTGCTCATGTTGATGTTATGGGCTGTAGATGAGGACGAGATGCTGATTGAGCGAGTGAGAGAGGAGAGTGATGAATGTACAAGATGCTTGTTGAACAAGGGCGTGCATTTGCTGGCCTTTTATATTCAAGAGTTGTCCGGAGTTCCCCAGGATGTGCAATTAGGGAGAGATCGCCATATGTGCAATTGAAGATCGGACCTGAGTAAGTCAGGCCACTTTTCATCTTTTTTTTTTTGTGAGCGACGGCCACGGAGAGTAAAGGAAGGGCAGATCGGACCATGCTTCTCTAGCCCTTTCCTTATCTCTCCAGAGATCGTTTGCATTGCGCAAAGTAACGGGCAAATGGATAAACGGTGAAAGGGGGATGGAAACATGCACCTGGCGCCATTAAACCATGGGCCAATCACCGTCCATGGAGCACGCGCAAATAAACCCTGCTGAAGAAAAGGGCTCCCATCCCATCTCCCTCTTCTTAATTCTTAATGGCCTGATCTGTCTCATCCATATCTCTCTCCACTGAACTGTTAATTGCCAATCAGGACCAATATCGGCGCGTTCGCGCCTGGCTACAAGCTACAAAAATGTAAATCGGTTTCGCGTCCAGATGGACATTCCGGCACGCGTCAGTCTCGTACCTGAGCAATTGAGGGCGTTTACTGCCCCTGAATTCGTTTCTCTGTTCCAACCCCTGGAGGAACACCATCTTCAACATCCCCGAAACCATCTCCATCGCACAGCATCTCACCCTCTACGATCTGATGCAATGCGTCAAGATCAACAAAACCTAGCACAGAGACTTTACCCGCTATCTCTGGCGCACTGGATCAAATCCTTCGCCACCCACAGCATTTGATTCGTTCGCCAACTCGGTCCCGCCGCTGCTAATCTCCTCAACTTCAACTTTACGAATCCAGCACACATCTCTCGGATAATACACAGGAGCGTACCGTCAGGTAACGTCCGAATAGACCAAGGGTATACTGATGGAGAAGACTGACTGGTGATATCCTTATTTCACTTTTGCAAAGAAATCCTCACAAAAACGGACGACTCCACACTGGGGTGCTGTGGATTATCACCATGCCATCCACCCTCATTGATATATCCAATATCGTTTGTTTGGTCCACAGCATCTCGCTCACACACGACCTCCTGTAGTGCGTCTTGGTCAACAAAACCTAGTCGGTAGCTTTACCAGTCAACTTTGAGCCACAGTCAAAACTGCAGCGGTTGATGAGCTGGATTCCCCAGTTATATATTCAGTTTGTGCCTCTCCCTTTCCTCAAGGAGCTGACGGAATTGGAGCAGCTCATGGGCCTGACATCCTGGAAGTATTCAAGTGTTCATGCCATACATTTTCTATTGAAATAAACGTAATATCCATCCAAAAAAAAAAAAAAAAAAAAAAAAGAATGCTTTATTGCCTAGGTCTCCTAGTCTTCTTATATTTTATATATATCCTATTTGCACATCATCTACGAGTCTCCGAGATTGAGCTGGACATTGGCATTACCATAAAGCTCCTGGAACCTTTTGTGGATCGCGTTGAAGCGTGAGATGCGGTCCAACTCGTACAGCGCCATAGCTGTCCAGATCGTCTTTATCCCTGGCATGGCTTCCATCAAGATATGTAAATATCGCATCTGCATCGAGAGTCGCACACCACTTGCTGCGGTCAACTTCACTTCTCGAACCGAGGGCATCGGCGGAACAAAATTGCGTGGCCCTAGTGCGTCCCGATCCCATACATGTCCTTGTTGTTGAGGCAATGACTGCTGTTCCTCGTTTAGTGCAAATATACTGCTTCCAGGCAATGTTAAAGACGTTTGCGAAGAGGCCTGCTGCGCCTGCGCCTGATCCCGCAATAGCTCTTGAAGCTCTAACATATCCAACACGTCTCTGAATGCTGCATAGTCCTCGTGCTGGCTCTCTGAAAGATCGCTCAGCATTTTAGCGGGCAAGACCAGCATCTGCAGGACCTTCAAATCCTGAAGTCGTCTCACAAATCCGAGTGCTCGTTCGTCCAATTCTTGATCGAATGGTCGATACCGTGCTCGAAGCTCCAGCCTCTTAAGAGTGGTTCCGCACGCCCATACAGGAAAGGTGATGGATTCTCCAACATTCCCCCAGTCCTCCTTGAAGTACAGGAATTCTAGGGTAAGGGTTTCCAATGATCCACAGTACTGCATCACATATCGAACGCCACTATCGGCAATGCTGATTCCGATAGACAAATCCAGTGAGGTAAGGGCTGATCCGGGGCGGCGGTCGGTTATAGCGGCGCTCTGCAGACTCAAATCAAATCCTGGCTCTGCGAATATAATACCATCATGGTTGGAACTCGCATGGAAAGATATCAGCGTCGATGGCACTAAGGTCCAGAATTGTGCAATATCCAAGTGAATGCCGCCGAAATCGTTTCTGATCATAACGTTTGCCAGCCGGGGGCAGTGCGAAAGACAATGTGGCCATACTGACATCGGAAGGTCAAGCCCTACTAGACGGAGATCTAGCGTCGCCAAGACGGGACAGCGCCTTAGGATGCTCTCAAATAATTCCTCTGACAGTTGGACGCCGTCCAGCACAAGGGTATCGACATGATTGAACATGGCTGATGTAGTAGTCCCGAGGCATGTTGTCGAGACAAAGAGTAATGAAGGCATAAGCTTGTTTAAAACTCTCTTTTGCTCTTGATGTCCTGTGCCTGTTGCCATTCTGCCCACCAGAGCGGTCCACTTTTGTTGAACTTGAGGGCCAAGAAAAGTCTTGCTGATGAGAGAACGGGCCCAACCTAGTCCTTCTGCATCCTTGAGATCCAGCTCCTCTAGAAGCGTTACATGTCGAAGTCGAAGTTTCTGTACCAGCGGATGTCTCTTCAGCACAGCTTCCAGATAGGTCCAATTTAAGCAAGAAGGCTTTAGGGAATGGACTGCACATCCAATCTCAAGCTCCCTGAGCGCTGTATCCGCCTTTGACAACAGCGACGACGATCCCCCCGCTGCTGTTAGGGCGGCCGAATTTAATCCTGAATCCTTGTTTGTAGTTGCTGATGCAGATGGTGGTACCTCGAGTCCATAGGATGCAAGGCAGAAGAGAAACGTCATGGCCGACTGATCGTGGAACGAAAACACCTCGATCCGCTCCAGCGTTGACATGGCCTCAAAGAACTCGACCAAGGCGCGCGTATTCAACATATCTTTCCTCTTGATAATGAATCCGATGTGCCTCAATTCTGAACAAGTCCGCTGTATCCTCTCGAGTTCAGGCTGGGAGGGGTAAACTTGCTTCAACGACTGGACAAACCGGCCTAGGGTCTCGAGTCGCGCCTCGAACATTGCCTTGAAGGCAGCACCGCGGTTGCAGTAGATAGCGTGAAGTTGTAGGAACGGCGAGAATACCTGACGCCACTCGTGCGATACGCCCCTGCATACCAGGATTTCTCCAGGCGTGAGGTGCGACACTATCATGAGTGTGATTTCTGGTATGTGGAGCGCGTGCTGCTTCCTGGAGCGTGATGAATCGTTACTGGCATGTTCCTGATGTTCGTTCATGGCATGGAATCCAAGCTTGAGGTGGCGATGGGTATAACGATGGCGGTGGCAATTGCGATGTCTATGGTGAAGGCGATGTTGATGACCAAAAAGTATTTGCTATATTCATTGTCAGGGCCCATTCCTGCGACTGCATTTGTATCCATTGATCTATTGGCACCTTTGGGATCGTTTAAACTCGATGAACAACATCTGCGGAAACGACTCACCCTCTTAGCCTTGGCCACAGCAAAGTCGATGGTTTGGAAGCACTTGGCAGGATAAAGAAGAAGACAGCGTGGCTTCTGTAGAACCCAACAACTGAGCAAATGGTCCTATACGCGGCAACCTTAAAAAGCGCAAAGTAGCCCTTTCACATGCATGTGGAGACGTGCTCTCGAGGGGCCTAGTTGTCTGGACATGTGTTTAATTGACAAGGATGTTCAGACGATGCCTATTTCCTTGCTTATGGTTGAGATATCGCTCAGAAAATGCCCAATGCCCCAGAGGAGCAGCTGTTTTGGAAGCCTCTTCACGAGTCACTGTCCACTTTAACGACTTTTTTTTTTTTTTTTTTTCAAAGGGCGACCCTTACCTTTCTTGCACAATTGCTTGGCATCCATACTCCTAATGATGCAGACGAATGTCGATATCGATGCAGGATCCACGAGACATGGTCGATCTGCATAGCTCATGAGAAATCAAAGGACAGCAACGTGCACACGAGAGCCAAGGATTGCATGCGGAAAGCACGTTCTTCATTACATGTTCGTTTTAGGGTGCAGTTGACGAATTGGACAATGTTCGGTTAAAGAAACAGTTCACATCAAGGTTATTTCCATGTCGTTATCACGACATGGTACCGGCGTATAAAAAGAGACCCTATCTCCCCTGGGAACTTCAAACAAACAACCCTTCCGTTCACTCACCCACATCCACACATACGCACATACATCAACATGTCGATTACAGAGAACTCTCCCCCAGGTACAGGCCACGTCGGCACCTTGACTCCCGATCAGCTCGAAGCCCTCCAGAAGCTGTGGTCCGCGATCTATGAAATCCAGGAGAAGGGCACCGTCACCATCATTCCTGACCCCGCACCCGTCGCACCAGCACCTGCTCCAGTTGCAGCCTCGACCGGTTGGGGTGGCGGATGGTTTGGTGCCGCAGCTCCAGCAGCACCCGTCGAGCCCGTCATCGAGCCTCCAACTACCATCACATTGTCCGAGCTTGGTTTGACCGCCGAAGATGTGAGATCGTCGCTTTGGAAGAATGCACTGGGCGATCACCCTGACTCGCTCGTCTTGCGGTTCTTGAGGGCGCGCAAATGGGATGTCGGCAAGGGACTGTTGATGCTGTTGAATGGCTTCAAGTGGCGATTGGAGCAGGGTGTCGAGGACGTCAAGCTCCTCGGTGATGACGAGCTGGATGCCAAGTACCCCAAGTTCAAGCAGCAGCTCGAGATGGGCAAGTTCTATATCCACGGCACAGATAAGAATGGTCAGCCTGTTGTGTAAGTGCACCTTTTTTTTATTTTATTTTCTTTATTTGACTTTTTGTTGGGGAACAGACTTGGATGAGCGGCGCCGGTGTTTTTAATGGATCAAGAGTAACATGGTTCATCGAAAGCGCAAGGATGAGAAAGCTTTTACCCGAAGACCCTCTTCCTCATATCCGTGCGAGTAACACGACACAGGATGGCATGCAGGACGTTTTGGACACAACAAACAAAAGGCGCATGGGCGACCAAATTCGATTTCATAGATGTGGGAGTGGAGAAAGGAAAATCTCTCCCTACCAGTGAATAAACGGAGGGCTCTCAAGAGGACCGAAAAATCTAACCCTGGTACCCCATCGCTTTCTCCCTCTTCAGCTATCTGAATGTCCAGTTGCACAGAGCCGGCGACCAGGACCCCAAGACACTTGAACGTTTGACCATCTACCTCATGGAGACGGGCCGTCTGCTGATCCAGGCACCCGTCGAGACTGTCGCCCTAATCTTTGATCTCACCAACTTTGGACTCGGCAACATGGACTACAACCTCGTCCAGTTCCTCGTCAAGTGCTTCGAGGCCTACTACCCTGAATCTCTCGGTGCCATCTTGGTTCACAATGCCCCTCTGGTCTTCTGGGGTGTCTGGAAGATCATCGAGCCATGGCTGGACCCCGTCGTCGCTTCCAAGATCAAGTTCACCTACAAGAACCAGGAACTACTTGATTTGATCCCAGCAGAGCACTTGCCTGATTCATACCAGGGCGCAGGAACGGACAAGTTCAAGTATGATTACATTCCACCAGTCGCTGGCGAGAACGATAAGATGAAAGACGAGGCAACCAAGGCAGCGCTCGGAGCAGAATGGAACACATTGACAGCATCGTTCGACATCAAAACAAAGGAATGGATCAAGAGTGGCAAGAAGGAGCCATCACCGGAGAGAGAGGCGATTGCCAAGGAGTTGCACGCACAGTACTACAAGATGGATCCATACACTCGTGCCAGAACTCAGTTCCATCGCAAGAACGCCGAGGGCAAGTCCGTGATCCAACCCGATGGCTCCGTCGTCTGGACCTACAACCCATAATCAAGAATTGTATACCCGGTGTATTTATTTTCAAGCAATAAACGTTCAGCAATCCAAAGAAGAAAAAAGCTGCATAAGCAAACTGCAAGAGCTAGCGGCATCGGCAAACTGAAAACGGTGCGAGAGATCAAGTACTTTTGATCCACTGCCCCGCTTCAGTTTCGTCCCAACACCTACTCTTTTTTGCTCTGGACCGTCACATTCACGACTCACCCAATATTCCTAAAAGTTAATTAAAAACTAAAGGTATGTTTAAAGCCAAGACCAAGCCCAAGGATATCCCCTCCTTAATTGACGTGTTGGAGAGAACGGTCTACAACATAATCCTTAACTTCCGGAAAAGAGGCACCATCGAACGCCCAAAGACGCCCACCAAGCCAAAAAAAAAAAAAAAAAAAAAAAAAAAGAGCTTTCAGGCGCGGATATGAGGGCATTAAAGATTCGCCTGAAGAGGGACAGGATGGAATCTCTTCAAGAAATCATGAATATCTTGGGCGTGAATGTCCACAAGAACACTGTCAGGAAGGTCATTCACGATCTTGCCGCCATAGCCGCATGCTAGTCAAGAGGTCGCTCTTGAACAAGCACCACATCGTGAGGTGACTGGATTTTGCAAAGGGGCATAAGGGTTGGACAGTCGAGGACTGGAGGCGAGCGATATGGAAGGATGGGTCTTCCTTTGAAGCGGACAAGAGTTCTGGACCCCCCCCCCGAGTATGACCAACTGAAGCAGAAAAGCTGGGCCCACGCTGAACTCAGCTATCATTCAAAAACGGTGGGACTTCCACCATCGTTCGGAAGTCATTCGCTGGATCAAAAAGGGTGAGCTGGTGGTTATCCCTCAAAAGCGTCGGACAGCCCAAGATCACGTGGACATCGTTTACGAGTGGCAATTGAAGGCCTTCATGAGTGATATAGCAGAAGGCAATTTTATGGAGGATGGTGCGCCGGTCTATAGAGCTAAGACGCCCGAAATCTGGAGGAAACTGTATCTGGCTAATAAGATTGACTGGCCCGCCAACTCCCCCGATCTCAAACCGATCGAACACTTTTGGGTGATTTTCAAGCCAGCGATCCTAAAGCGCAGGAATCGACCGAAGAACATTAAGTGGATGTGCGAGGCAGTCATGGAGGAATGGAAATGAAACAGTAGACTCTCTGGTCCTTACTACGCTTGCAAAGATCGCGATTGCGATCGAGGCCAAAGGAAAGCACGTTGACTGCTGATGCCACTATGGAGTCGCCTCTCCTGGCTCGAAATAGCCCACCACAAACACGAAATACCAATCATATACTGAAGATGACTCCCCGCAGGGTTTGAAAGCAACTGAATAACGCTTGCGTATCTCTGTAGTCGACTTGAGAAAGGTGAGGGCTTTATTAAAGAGCTGAAGCTTATAAAAGTTGCTAAGGTCGCACATTCCATGGGCGTGGGCCTTGTGGAGTCGTAGGAGTAGCAGAGAGTAACCCTGCCTTCTGGATAAAGAATACCGAAGAAAAAGAAAAGCGCAGTTCATGGGGACGAGATGTTGATGGCTACAGATAATGACACGCGTGTGGTATTGCTGTTGGACGCCGAAAGAAAGTGCCATTATACGTCGTTCGAATAGCTTCTAGGAGAAGTGTCGTTAGGCATCAAGTCAGTATGCATGCCATGGTAAGCGAATGCATGCCGCCTAATTACATAGTCCATCCACCATTATATCGTCTTACTTGCTCACTGCATCTCCCTTGACCTCCACTCTTCCGTTGTCGTGGATGCCTATACGCTGAACGTTCATCCACCAGGTATCCTTCTATGCCTATGCACCACTGTGTTGCCCTGCCGACCAGTCGCTCTTACTTCGTTCCCATTGCTTATTGATATCCCTGCAATCGTCGTTATCACCTTTTCCTTCTTTCATCCTGCCTTCCCCACTTGATCAGCACTATGACCAAGTCCATCTTTGCCTATCCCGAGCTATGCTATGCGCTTGCCAAACACTTGCCCCACTCGAGCCTGGCCGCCTGTCTACTGATCAACCGATCCTTTTATAGCACCTTCCTGCCATATCTGTACAGTTCCATCGAGGTGCACGATTTCCGGCGCTACCTTCCAGATCCGACGCCAGCAGCACCGAAAGAGGACAACGACAAAACCTACGAGAGGTTCCCTGCAGAGCCCGCCACAGAAGTGAACTTTGCTTCGCCATCCTTTGCCAGCCTGCGCGCGCACGGCTAGTTGATCAACTCTCGCTCCTTGTTCTTTAACGAGAAGCTGACGTACAAAGAAGGAATGCGGTGGAATCAAGTCGACGAATTCTACTACTACGACAACGATGGCGATGAGGGTGTCAATGAGGTTGGCGACGAAGAAATATCACCGAGCGAACGCAAAGCAACTTTCGCAGGCCTAGTCCAGGCAAGCATCCTTCTTCAAGTCGTGCAGTCCTGTCCCAACCTCAAGTCTTTGGAGATCCATGGCCTGAACCCCGCTTCGCCTCCTCGCCCACATTACGGAACGTGTGGACAGGCGGCAATAGGGCGGCGGAAATATCTCAATAAACAAGAGTCCCAAGACAAGGCCATTGCCATTATCATCAAGGAGGCTGCCGCATGCTGTAGCCAAGCAAAAGGTCAGGCTGCCAGAGGCATTTAGCGCTTGGTCATCTCGAACTCGTGTGGGTTCGCACAGCAGTCTCTTCAGGCCATCCTCGAGACGTCTCTGGCCATATCGCTCACGGAATTGGATATTCAATGCTGCGGATTCTTTCGCACTGAGGAAATGCATCTCCTTCTACGATCGCTTCCAAACCTGAAGCACGTCGATTTCCGCTGTCGAGACGCGGAGTCGGATCACCTGGGACCCTATGCTGGTCTGCTACCCTTACGAAACAAGGCTCCAACGACGACGGCGGCGGCAGTGGCAGCGACAGCAGCGACAGCAACAGTATCAACGGCAACAGCAACAGAGACAGCAGTAGCTGCCGTAGCTGACAACACGGCTTTTGGAATCACGACAGAACCGCCTCAGTGCGCATGTTCGAACACACTTCAGACACTTCGCATCGGTGTTAGCAATGCCAGCGTGGACCCGACGTACGATGACAGTTGGTACGGGCATAGATCCGGTTATCAGTCGTGGATTTATGCTGCACAGATAACGTGGATGCACGACGATCCCGAGAATCCCATGGTCCACAAGCACTTTCCTGAGGCTCTGCACTGGTTCTATGACTATATCGCAATATTTCCATGTCTGCGGGAGCTGTGTCTTGAGAGTGTCGCTCCCTTGTACCATAAATCCCAATCATTGGACCTGGCTTCGAGCTCTGGACTGGATAGGTGGGCGACGCTGAAGGCATTGGAGGTACTGGACATCGAGAAGCTGGACCACGCGGTGGGAGTGGACGAGGTGCAATGGATGGTCAAGAACTGGCCAGCGCTGAGAGAGGTCCGCGGATTGGTCTATGCTACAGACGAGATTCCTTCGGATGCTGCTCTTTGGCTACAGAGCACTCGACCGGACATTGCGCTGCCGGTGTCGACGATTTCAAGGCCAAGCCAACAAGAGCTGTAGTAGAGTGGCATAGACGACACTGGGGATGCATATCTCTATCAATATTGAAACTGACATATTTATTTTTTAATATTATTGCGTGTCTTTCCGCCGCTCGTGTTGGATATCCACGTTATTACTCCCCAGGATTTGTACATGTGTATCGTTCGATAATGACTTTTGGCCATGGCGATGATTCTGCTGGTTTAATAAACCCCTCCCGCTTGGGGCGTCCAGCGCTACCGCGCTCTCTTCACGGTCGTTCACGCCATTCATTGGTTGCTCGCTGTCGTCGCTTTTTTCGTCTACATGCATGGTCTCTGCCAAAGGATGTGCGAGCCCTGAGTGCCTACGCTGCCTTTGTGATGCTTCCTTCCGTCTTCCTGCGTCCTCGGTTGTTCCAGCACCGTCAACATCTGGTTCCATATCTAGACTGTAGGCTGAAGATCGAGGTATTGACATAGCCGAGGCTACTGCAGCAGCTGAGGCGATTGCTACCATTGTCGTGATAGAGGACAAAGGTGATCCTTCCAGTGCTGGGGCAACGGTCGGCGATGCTGAAGACGAGCCGCCCGAAGATTGCGACATGCGCACACCTGATGAGGCAATGGCTGACGTGGGCGAGGCCAGTACACTGGCATCGCTCCCTGCTCTCGACCGACCAGTACGCCCAAAGAAGTTGCTGCCCAAACGAATCTTCTCCGACAGGTTGCTGATCATGCTGGCAGCCGATCCAGAGCGTGGCCGCCCTCCTCTAACTACCGATAACGTGTTGGGAGATATAGCTGACGTTATAGCCCCTGAGACAGCGGTTGAATCTAACGACATTACTGGCTCATGCGCTTCGCCGCGGTTCGAGCCATCCTGGTGTCCCTCTTGCCCCTCTATCTTGGTAAGCTCTTGCTCCTTCTGCTGTCCTTCTTCTCGCTCTATCCGTGCCTGTTGCTCTCTTTGTTGCTGCACGTTAGCTGTTTCAAGAGCCCTCCGGATACGCTGGGCGAACGCATCAAAGTTGGCATGCTGAGCTTGGCGATACGCTGCAAATGTCGGATACGCCTCAGAATTCGTGGAGTCGCCGGTCAGGCCACGGGGTCGGGTCTGGAATGTAACCACATGTTGTCCGCTCGCCCCTCTCTTCAGTTCTGGTCCCCTTGGAATCGATAACGTCGCTGGCGAAGGCGGACCAAATGTCGCCGGCATAGTAGGCGATGCGACGGATGAAGATGGGTATTGCTGTTGATGACGGTTATCCACGAATCTTGGGGTTTTGAAGGAGTGGATATCCTGTGGTCCATTGTCTTTGTCCGTGTCTTCGATACCATGATCCTCTGTAAACCGAGCAATCCCGACACTTTTCGGACTTTTGCCCCCACTGACGCCAGCGCCATTATGTGCAGTGTCGTCGGCCGAGCCAGCGGCTTCAGATGATAATCTAGAAAGAGGGGAAGAGATCTTGATGGCAGGCGCGGAAGGGACGGCATTCCTATTGGCAGGCCGGTGGAGAAGCACCGGGGGATCTGGCGTGGGTGTATAGATCGGGAGTCGAGACTCCACCTCGTACGACTTGATCCCGAATCTGACGATCATCTATCAAGGCGGTATTCGCATAGAAGAGTTAAATTATGAAAGGTAAGGTAGCTTTTCCAAGCAGCATCTCACAAGTCTTGGCACTGTCTTTTCTTTATTTAGTGTGCTCAAAAGATACAGGTTTCTGCATTCAATCCAATTGCAGGATATGTACCCTGCGTCCAGAATGCCTCTTATGCGTAATATTTCACGAACGATAGAGCCACTTCGGTCGAGCGTATGTCGTGTAGAACCACGCAAAGCGACATAAGAGTAAGCAGATAGACTGAAAATCGAAGCGTAGCACGCGGTGCAAACAGAAGAAGGGGGTGGGTGACTCTGCGCAATCACACATGGAAGTGAAAAAAGGGGGGGCACTGCGAAGTCTCTGCTTCGACGTCAAATCACAGGGCCACATGCTGCACAATATCCTAGTGTGGAGGAACATTCATTCAGCTGCTTACCGAGAAAACAGCCCATGCTACAAAGTATAGCACGAGCACTAGGATGAGAGTCGTGGACGATATGGAACCCTTGCCTTCGCCGTAGCTCACCGGCAGACTAATGCAAAGGATAGCCGCCACGACAAAAAGAAACTTTTGGACAGGGCTATGCCATGGGGGGTAAACATGCTTGGACATGCGGGCCCAGTTATCCTCGCCTGGCAGCTGTGTGATGATCCAAGAACGGGTATGTTTCTTCGTCTGAGCGACAACGGGTATAGTCTGGCCACAGAGTTGAAGACGAGGGGCGCAAGTGAGAAAAGACGTGGCCTTTACCAAGAAAGTAACTGTGCTTTGTGAAGGAAGGGTAGTTATGCTTTATAAAGTGGGCAACTATACTCTTGGAGGTAGCGGGTGGGGTGGGCTGAGAAATGAAATAAAGATACGAGCAAGAAGTTCAAGGTGTGCCAAAAGTATAGGAATCCTCGGTATATCTTTTTTCTAGGACGGCTTCGCAATGGGTGTCGCGTGAACAGTGAAAAAGTGGGCTGAGAGAGGGGGGAAAAATGAAGAGAGAAGTGTGAGTTGATGAGTGATTGTGTGATGAAAGAATTGGTAATTGCTCGGCGATCGCAAAGATCAAATCTTCCGGGGAATCCATCGGCCGGCTGCAAAGTGGTGGATGCGGTGTAGTGCGGTGCGATGGAGTGTTTGTTTACAGGTTGTGTTGTGAGAGCTAGAATGAGGTTGTATGCGGGGGAATGTTTACGCTGGTCCGTGGCTGTCTGCTGAACCTGACCGGGCTCCAATGCACATTACCACAGTCTCGCCTCGAACTGCATGCGGGCTGTGTGCAGGCTGTGTGATCTCTGCTTCATTTGCATCAAACGACATACCATGGTCCGCATCTCCGTCGGAGGCATCCATTTTATTAAGCAGAGTAAAAAAAGGAGAAACCAGGATACTCCACAGCGGTTGTCGTTAAACCAGGTCAGGTTATTTAAAAGTCCAGGCGCGTAAAAACAGAAACGAGGGTCCATAGTGGAAGACTGCCAAAGCTTTCGCTTCCCTGGTTGGATAGCATTTAATAGAATTGCTCCTCGAGACTGCAGCTAAACTATAATGATAGACAAAGAAGGGCATATATTTGGATGGGGCTCATGCCCCATTGTCGATTAAGAAGCAGGAAGAGGGCCAGGTAGTCTAGGAAAGTTGAAGGGGCGATCGTTTTGTAAGGCATAGGATGCCGAGGGGATGAGGTGTGGATGCAAATGTTGGCTCCCCGTGCTTCGCCCAGCGGTTTAAGGTGGAAGGTATGTCATTGGCCGGGTTTGGAAAAAAAATGAGTGGTCTCAGGAACCGGTCGCTTGCGCGCGTCAGGACGCTAAGACGCTAACGCTCAGTGTTCAACCCACTATGACCAACAATATCCTTGGCATTCAGGAGATCTGCGACCTTATCGCGGAATGCCTGACTCGCTCGCACCTCGCCGTGCCTGCCGTGTCTATCTTGGCTGGTTCGTCCCAATGTATGACTTCTTAGCATATAACCTTACCGAGGCACTTCCGCGTTGATTGGCTTTTTATCCGCGAGGTGCATTGTCTGAAAATAGCGTACTGGATAAAGTAGGCTCTGACTATATTCGGCTGATCCTTTTGAAATCCTCCTCGACTGAAAACCTCAAACTCTTTGGTCCTCTGCAGAATCGAGGTACTCCTACTGATTTTTCTACGATTGCGAAGCATTTGCAGGACACTATGGTGATTGTCAGAATCGCGTCAGGGATGACAGTATGACGAAGAAGCCCACATTTTGCTACTTCAACGTGCCCGCGGGTGCACTTGATTACTTGCCGGAGCAATTGTCTGGCGTTAAATCATCGAATCCCATTACCATCGCACGGGGACCTAGGATTGGATTCTGACACTGAACAACTCGCAGTGGTTGATTTGGCGGAGGTGGTAGCGAAAATCGTGCTTGAGCGGTGTGCAGGGCCACAGCATTTTGGGAACCGGCGCCTCACAATAAGAAACTGTACTCAGATTAACATCAGGGCGGATACAAAGCTCCTGTCAAGATCGCACTACACACTCCTGCGCTTCAGCGTCTTTCGCTGTTGCAGACTCAACATTAAGACCTGGATTTTCGTAATTGAGGTCTCATTGTCCGCTTCTCAGTATTCAACTTCACGAGATTGACATCGATGCCAGCGGGCTCGAGTGCCTGTTATCTGCGTCCTCTGAGCTATGACATTCCGATCTCTACTCAGCAGCACAGCATCCTGGACAACGTCCCAAGCAAAACGCCCTTCGAATTTGCGGCTTCGGCATGTACTCCGTGAAAGCGCTTTCGAGAGAGGTGCTGGCGCTATTGAAGACATTCCTGAGACTAAGATTTCATGCGAAAGAGATGGCTCGGTGGGACAATGCATTGGACGCAGTACTTGTCTGCCGTGAAGTGTAAGCTCTAGATTTGATAATTGTTTCTAACAATGGCTGGTCGCATCCTGAAGCGCTTGCAAAAGCGAAGCATTGGATTTTAACACCGTACGAACTGTATGAAGCATTGACGAACAGCTCATTTCATTCGCAAAAGCATGACTTGATTTAAATAGTGGCATTCGAAGCGCGGATCAATAAAAGTTGTTGAAGGCAAGCAAAGATAATAATAATTCTAAAAAGCAAAATTTTGTCTTCGAATCCATAAAAAATAAGCTCATTTCCCGATTACACCCTTTACAGGATGCTCAGACTCTCTCTCTCTCGCATGTCGCTGCGGTCGATTATCCATTTTTCAAAATGTACTCCGTTACAAGGACCGGTTGCGCTTCAGCTGAGAGGCATCCGTAGCCCGCTTCGGACTCAGTAAGAGTCGTCACCAAATGAGCCTCCACGGCCTCGACCACGGCCACGGCTACGACCGCGTCCGCGAGGCACCCATTCCTTGTTTCTGCTGCTATACCCGCCATCGTCCTGTCTGTCTACAGAGCTTCTCGATTCCCCATCCCCACCCATACTGGAATCACGCCTTCTGTGTTCGGTATAATCCTCTCCATCTGCGCGATCTCGATCCTCGTACCGAAAGTTTACTCCATTTTTGTGTCCTGCACCACGACCCCTGAAGCCGCCCCGGCCACGATCATGGAAGCCACCACGGCCATTGTCATTGAATCCTCCACGACCACGGGCGCCTCCACGACCACGACCACGACCACGGCCCCGGTATGGTCCATCTTGTCGATGGTGTGAGCCTTCATCATAGTCACGGTCCTCGTCGTCCACGTCGCCATATTGGCTGCCTCGACTGGAGCCGTAGTCTTTGGAACCGTTGCGACCGTGATGGTTCTCGTTCTCGCGATAGTGATTGCGGTCTGATGCGTTAGATTCTTCTCTGCGGAACTTGACAATTGCTTCGCCGTAGTTGAAATGCTTCTTGGAGCGATCATCGCCTGCATCATCGTCTCGCCGACGCTTGTAATAATCATCACTTCGATCCCAATCTTTGTTTCGATCAGCTCTGCCTCCATTTGCGCTCTCACTGTGGCCCGAGTTACTGTACTGAATGGCCCGGTTATCATTGAAACCTTGCTTGTCTGATGGAGTAGCAGAACCAAATCTTTCTCTCTCAGGGTCATCGCCAGCGTTGTATTTTGTCCTGTCATAACTGTAGTCCATGCTCTTGCTTTCGATATAGGATCTTTGCTGATCTGTCAAATTCATCTGCGCCAGCAAAGTTTCTTGTTGGGGCGGTAAGGGTGCCCTCAAGGATGATGGCGCTGCGTATGCTTGGCCGCCTCCAATGGAGAGAGAAGCAGGTGGCACAGGCGGCATAGGTGGCATAGGTGGAGGTGGCGGCGGGGGCATCATCATCCCCGGTTGCATAGACGCCATAGGCATATTCATTCCCATGCCCAATCCCATGTTCATCCCTATTGGCGTTGAAGCAGCAAAGCCCATCTGACTGTGTAAGCCTTGAGGCTGTGGCTGCTGTAGCTGCTGCTGAAACTGCGGCTGAAGTCCTTGCTGTACAAGCTGAGATAGCTGAGTAAGGTGAGGCATCAGAGCCATGACGCCGGGCAGTGACTGAGCATTTGAAGAAGTGGACTGAGAATTCGCTCCAGTGCCATGGCTACTATTGGCGTTGGCTGCTCGACTCTGCTCTTGTACCTTTGTCTATTATTTTTTTATTTTTTTAAAACAATAAAATAAAAATAAGAATAAAAAAAGTTATTCAGAATCCATTCGCTCTGTTTGCAAGAGTGCATTGACAGTCATTCAACATCGTTACCAAAAGTTCGAGTAGTTGCTGAACTTGCGCCTCTGTGCTAGTCTTCTGATTCTCGGTAGATGGCGCAGCGCTAGGAGTGCTTGTCGCTCCAGACATTGTTTCACTTGTTCTTGTTGGCATAACAGATCCAGAGCGCCCCAACAAGACAGCTGTGCCTCCAGCTGATGATACCTGTCCGAGAGCCGGTTGTAGTGAGGTGAAAAGAGAAGTAGCATTTGAAGCATTCGACATGGTAGAGCTTGCAAGATTGCCTCCTGTATCCACCTTCGAGGCCGTCAAACGCGGATTGACTGCAGCGCCTTGCATCATAGCGGCCGATGACGGGTTGAAAAGCGTCTGCACAGCCGATGGTAACATACTTAAGTTGTTCATTGGCTGTGCGTAATTCATAGTTCCATATACTGGTAAAGGAGTGGATGTTGGCGGCACTGATTTTCCTGCACCCATGAGGACATTGTTCATAAGCTGGAATGTGGTAAAAAACGCATCTTAGACGCCAGCAACAGTTGTGCGCAAGTATATAGAACGCCATGGTAAGTTAGGATCACAGAGCGAAGATTTTACCTGCTGAGCTTTCTGTGCCTGCTCCATGCGCTCCTGGACAGACGTAGCAGCGTTATTAAACTGCGTCACCAATGGCTGCTGAGCGGCGAAGTACGGCAGAAGTGGAGGAGTTGGAGGAGGCGGTGGACCACCTGCCAATGGGTGCGTCGGCTGGTACCGCGCAAAGTCTTGAGATTGAGGAGGATCGCGTGCGTGTTCTGCTAAAAATATAAACATGTTGAGTACTAGTTAGAGGTCTGATGTGCACCTTGTGAAAGCTGTGGGGGCATTTCCATCAGTACTCACCTGGCCTGAACGAGGCGTTCCTGAACGGCGAGTCTTGCCTACGGTAACTATTATCAGTGCTCTTACCACGGTCATGACTACGTTCACGACTGTCGTCGCGATCGCGTACCCGACCCTTGCCCCCCTTATTGTCAAAGCTGCTCTTTTTATAGCTATTGCCTCGAAATTTCTCTTTCCGTCCACGGTCGTCATGATTTGGATAGTCCCGACTGCCTCGGCGGTCTTTTGCTCCACGATCGTCTCGGTTGTCCCGGTGATCACGATTGTCTCGGTGGTCCCTGCTATCCTGGCGGTCCCGATTGCCCCGATCATCTCGACTATCTCGCTGGTCACGGCGATCTCGACTATCATACGAATCCCGTCGATCGGGTGAGCCTCGATGACTGGTTGAATCACGTCGATTGTAGGTATCCCGACGGCTGTAGGAGTCTCGGTCGTGGGATGTGCTTCTACGTCTCTTGTCTCTAAAGTCTCGATCGCGTGATTCGCTTTCTTTTCCCTTGTCCTTGGGGTTATACAGGTCGTGCTGGGCCTTTTTATCGCGACCCCTCTCGGGTGATTCATCACGACTATCACGCCGATGCCTCTCGTACTTGCTATTGTTGCTATTGCCGTTGTTATTATTGCTGTTATCGGGGATGCTGACGTTGGAGTCCCGATAAGTATTCCGAGAAGACGAAGGTGATGGGGTTCTGTCGTACTGCGTCGAGCGCTGCTTATTCACACGATCGCGACGCTCTGCTGCTTTAGCTGCATTTCCTAGAAGGTGTTCCGGAGTTCTATAAGGCACCAAAATGCGTCGGATTAGAATGCGCAAACTTGTTCGCCATAAAGAACAAGTTATTATGCACAAGAGGGAGCGAACAACTTACGCATGAATTTGATCCCAAGCGAAGCGACAGTCGATTTTCCCGCCGTTCAACTGCTTTCCATGTGCTTCATGGTACGCTTTGGCGCAATCACGAGTATCAAAGAACTCTATACATCTTGCGCTGAAAATAGAGAAACAGCTGAAGTAAGTGGATGTGTGGTTTCTTCGTCCGCAGGAATACAAGGATGACTGATGTAACATACGATGATGATCCGTCTGCATCAGGTCGGACCTCCTTGATCTCGCCGTAATGAGAGAAGAACGAAATCAGGTCTTCATCACTGACGCTCACATCTATATCCTTTATTTTTATACGCAAAGACCCCTAGAGTCGAGAGAGAGAAAAAAAGGATGAGAGCCGTGTCACGAAGAAAAGAGGTAGTCCGCATCATGACAACTGGGCTTACATTGTGGTCGTCCTCCTTGCAGTCCCTCATCGCACTAAGATCTCTTTGCAAAGAATAGTGGACATCCAGCTATGGAAAGTGGTTGACATATTCGTAACAAAAATAAAGGTTAACACTCGTGGTAACTTTATTAGGGCAGCAGTTCCTGTCCTGATTTAATGTTCACTTACAGCGCGGTCATCCATGAGCGTCTGGTGTGTTTCCTTCTTTGCAAATTCTGCTGCACGGATATCGTACTATGTGAGCGAGGGAGATTGCTTAATTCAGTTGGCTGGTTGACGACACATTGTTTGCCTCAAATAAAACCGGATTTTGTCATCGCAACTTACATATTTGATAAAAACTAATCCACGGCTATCGATCCTATCGAACAGATTTTGGACGTCACCGTATGGCTTGAATCTCTTCCGCACATCTTCCACCTTAGTTGTATACTAAGGAGGTATCATACAAAGTAATCAGGCACTGTATCAGAAATGTTCAATTCCATAGGTCTGCGAACAAATACATAAAGCTGAACCTGTTTGACGGAGACTTACACCAAGATTTCGTACGAACAATGTGCGGTTTGGTCTCTCCATGCTTAGTCGCTCTTGGATCAAAGATTGCTTGGCTGACATGGGCTTTCCATAGTTGACCGCGCCTACGGAAGCAAAAGCGAAAACAAGACGAAGATGGCAAACAGTATTGGTATTAGTGATACATTTGTTCAAGAATCGCAAAAATAGCTCCGCAGATCATGATTTTCAGATTCGTCTTCGCCGATCCCTTTAGTGTAATCAATCAATAATGAAACGTCTACCGAATCAAAGCCGGTCTGAACAATCTTATTCCTGACAAAATAAAGTGTCCAAATGCTCCGCGGTCATGACCGCCTCCCATCCTTTGACTCCAGATATATTTATCCTCGCATGCGGATAGCAGTTTGAAAGCTCTCCGCAGTTCTGGGCCGATAGAGCTTACCTGGTTTGCCATTTCGAGGTCCATTGTGGGTCGGACTGCGCGTATCTGTTGATTCTGCTCTGTAATAGTTATTCTGTACACCGTTGTACTCTCCTGATGTCTCGCCATAGGAATGAACCATCGCGTCGTTGTTGTATCTTGTAAAACCTTGTCTTTCGAGCCATTTTTCGCCGTCGTGCTCAAGACCTCCATCCATGGATCCTGGTTCAATGACGTTCACTCTCCCATTATCTTCTTGGGTGAAATGATTACCACCCGCTCTCAGATGATTATTTGCACCGAAAGAATAAAAGTTTAGGCTGTTATCCTGTTCCGGAAAAGCATCCTGAGATGACTCCTGCAGCAACTCGAAAGAGCGAAAATGGTCAAACGCAACACGCTGGTGGTGCGGAGGGCGCTCAGTCGCTTGCGCGGAACTGTCAGGTACATGATTATGAGGTTTGTTCGATTCCTTCTTTGAATACTGTGATTCCTGCTGGCTCACTTGCCGCATTTCCTGCGGGTTCAATTGCTGTACTTCCCGCTGAGGCTCCATTCTCTCAGAATAAAAAGATACACTTGCATTCTGCGGATCACTCAGATCCTGAGGCTCGTTCACGATCTGGGACTTGTTCATGTTCTGGGGCTCGTCCACGTTCTCAGGGACAATATCAACACCGCCTGGTCTGAGTGAAATAAGGATGCCAGGACTCTTCTCTCCAATGTCTTGTATCTCGTCAGTATTCCTTTCAACGGCTCCAACACTTGATCCGAGACCGAGTGATTGTGGGGCCGAGGTAATGATCGGGTTCATCATTTCAGTTCTTGAGGGATCGCTGTAGTTGTTTACTTCGTGCATGGCCCTATTGCCGGTGCTCCAATATGATAGTTCTCACCCACGATTCCTTCGCTGTCAGTCGTTTTCTTGATTTCCTTCAATCTTACGGACGACGAAGTAACCCTATGTATCGGATGGCGCGCTTTGATGACGGTATGAACGGAAGGCCAGGGTACGATGAGAAACTAATATTGAGAGGGTGCCGGAGGATGCTCATTCCCCCGCACTTCCCATCTTTCAAATTTTCAACTGCCGTTGGTGGCTTCCAGAGGATGACTATAGCACTATGAAATCTACAATTACGTCACCTAAATCGTAAAAATCGTTGCTATTATCGGCATTTGGGTGTGTGTGACCTGACACACAAAAATTAAAGTTCTTTAGCCATCTTGGTAGGGCGTTTCCTTGATGTTGGGGTTGCGGGAGACGATCGTTTCTTGCGAGCACTCGTGCTTCCAGTGGACTTGCTGGTTCCATCAACTGCCCCTTGATCGGATGTCGATGGTTCGATCCAGGGATACCTTCCATCTGCTGTTTTGGGCTGCAAGTAGAGAGGTCTTTTCTGCTCCAAAAGGTGCCCTTGGACGATATTGGACATGTTTTGCGCCGCCATAACATCTCTGTGATAATACTTGCCACAGTGGGGGCAGAAGAGCTGGCGTATGGTCACCTGGGCCACAAACTCCTCACAGTTCGGGCATTTTTTTGAAGTATAGTACTCTTCAATACCAACAACAACGTATCCGAGGGAGCGCGCCTATTTATAAAATTAAGAAAAAAATGTTACTCATTTGCGGTCGGTTTTTTGAAGGTGTTATAGATGATAAAAATAAATACGTTGCCTACCAGAGGATGAAGTAAGACAAAAACGTCCCATGCAGAGATGATAGCCGCTCCGAGCTTCTGAAATCACCCAGGCCCACACCAATCAATACTGGACTCTTGCAACGTTCGCCAATGCTCCCACCAACGATCTTGAGTAAACTGTTGGCAATGGCCTGGCATTCGATGTGTTTGGCACGCTCCATGTCCCACGTGTTTTTCTTGAATCGATTGTTGTTCCCATTGTAAAACTCCATCAGTTGGTCCTCAACTTGTTTCAGTCTTGCGACATAGTTGGTTACACTAGCCTCTGGACCTCGAAGAGGAGGAAGTTGGGACTCGATTTGCTCAATAGACTGTGGTTGGCCCTCAGGAACCACCTTACTCGCTTCCTGGAGCCATCGCCGGTATCGAAATGTGGGCTGCATTACCGCCTTTTGGTTTACGGCAAGATTATGATGAGGCGTCTTGTTGTGGTGTGCCGCTGAAGATGGTGATTGTGTCGACTCCTGCACTGGCGGCGGTGCCATTGGTGTTGTAGAAGACGCAATGGTGAACGGGGCCTCAAAGGTTGATACAGCACCAATCACTGGATCCTTGCCTTTGCTTGATTGTGGTAGATGTGCGTAGGCGCCTACTACAAAAGCCTGACCGGCATCGAGGGTGAGTGTCTTGATGTCACGGGGATCGACATCTGGCCAAAGTTGTGCTATGTCCTCCTTGCTTCCAAGGACGTTTCGAATTTCAGTCAGGTGATCGCCGGTTCCATGGAGTGTCGTAGTCAATCGTCGTGGCAATCGATCTTGAGGAAGCCGTTTCCACTTGACTGACAGAAGCTCTCTGCGCTTAAAACATAATAGCTGTAGATGGAAGCCATCGGTCCGCACTGTCCCCCTTGGGACATACTTCTTGGTGAGATAAGTTTCCGGTCGGAAGTCCTTGCTGTCCAACATATGAAGATCGGTCTCGAGTTCCTCAAGGTTTAGCAACTCGATTGCCCCACGATGCCCTGCTTTTCGTTGCTGGCGACTGGTCAGGCCCTTGAGACCGATATCAGCCAGGAATTTTTTGATGAGAATCCCAGGTTCCATATTGCCTATATGCTCCTGGGCATCTGCAATAGAAGTGCAGATGGTACCGACCAGTTCCTGAACCTGAGCTCTCAGAACCCCTCCACGACTAAAAAAGAACCCAACAAGGTTACGCTCCGTAAAACTCACAAACGGTTGCCTTGAACTTGTTATGGGAATGATCCTTCGAAGGTTTGGACTGATTCTGTTAAGGGCAAGGAAGTTCTCAACAGCAGATACTTCCCCCTGAATCTCCACATCAACGTCGGAATCCAAGAGACCCTTTTCCTTTCTTGCCATGAGCTACAATCCAAGAGATAGAAAATACTAAGTAAGAATAATTACCTTTTTGTACAGATCGCAGGAACCGTTCTTGTACATCTTCTTGAGTTCGACCCTGAGTTGGGTGGAGACGGATGCTACCAGTTCCGATGGTGTAAAGACTGCTTTGTGCTTGCAGCCATCAGATGTCGGTGGTGGTGGTGTGTACAGCTGGAGATGAATGAGTCGATCAATAAATTCATTGACTGTCGAGCCAGTACCAGCATTCCTTGGGCGGTTTCCAGAGTATATGGATGTCAGGAAAATCAACAGGAAAGAGGACTGAGCAAAGCCTCTGCCACCCTTTGGCTTGTCGTCCAAATCGTCCTCGCTGTCCCCATCCTCCTCCTCCTCCGTCTCTTCATTCTCCTCATCCTTGACATCATTCATGGATACTCGAGGACAGAACAGATCCATAAATTGACGATCAATGGGTCCTAGTCCATGCTTGTTGATGTAGTCGACAAACTTTCCGATCGCTTGCTGGCCTTTCCGCTTTACTCGGGCTGCTTCCTGCACCAGATCTCGGATGCAATGTATGACCTCTTGTTGGAGAACACCATTATTTGGTACTGCTCGCTTGACGTTCGCGGCCAGAGTACCAACTTTAAGGGACGAGGTGGGATGATGGTAAGCCAAGTGGCGCATGACTGCCAGCTTCCTGGTATTTGCAGTCGAGGTAGCGAGGGTCTTGATCTTGAATTTGGGCTTGGGCTTGAACTTGGGTTTGGCTTTACTGTCCAGGGTTGAGTCTTCAGGAGAGTCGGTCCATTCCTTGTATGGTTTAAACTTATAAACCTTCATCTTGTCTGGCGGTGAGCGCTGGGTTGATCCTGTCCTCATCTTGAAGGAGTACCTTTGACGATTTTTTGGGATATTTGCCCTCGCTAATGGTGGGCGTCTCTCTAGTTGCTGAGACGACGTTGAGGAGACAGTTGACTGGTCCTGCACATCTGACTGGTCCTGCACATCTGACTGAAGCTTTTGTGATGGCAATGATCCCAAGTGACCAGAGACACGTTTCAGCACAGCAGGCGACTCCACAGTCTTGAACCTGATCGTCGCATGAGAGTGGTGCAGTCGTATAATGGGCACCTCGGGAGGACTATAAACATCAAAAAATAAGGCAGAGATGAGATGAAGGAAGGAGTGAATGCAAAGCCATTGCTCAAAAAAAAGACCAAAACAATTTACCTCGTTTGTGAAGGGCTGTTTTCCTTTTGTTGCCTATACAGGGCACAAAGATCCAAAAACCGTCTGTGAAGATCACCGTAGGCTGGGCTTCCAACAGTGGGGGGACTGCTGGTGACAGAGGTCTGCTTGAGATATACGAAAACTTTGATGGCCACTTCAAATGTCTTTTCCTCGTTGTTACGGACAGCAGCATTCTTGGATGCAACCTTGGGATCGTTCAGATACTCGGCTACTGTACCCAGGTGTCTAAAAAGAGTGGCAAACAATATTTAGTTAGTTAAAGGCCAAAGTCTAACTCTGTCACACACACCAATATAAAATACCTTTGTCTCGGATGGCTTTGATAACAGAGTAATTGGTAGCTGCACCAAGTGAGTAGATACTCTTGCCGTAATCGTTGCCAGATACAACTGCAAGGGCTGTGAGTTGGGCCTCTGAGAAGTCGAGAGTGCGACGGACGTCCTTCAGATTGTATACCAAGATCAAGTTCCTGGCGATAGGACGCCATAAGGTTGAGATACTGGAGTAGGCCATCATGTCGCTATCTGCAGAAACAACAATGTCGCCTGGTTCGCAGTCCCGAGCGATCGCGACGTCGGCCTCAGTCTCACAGGTCTGTACCTTCCATCCCGCTTGGGTCATTTACTCCACAAAGGACGCTCGGATGGGCAGGGACCAGTATAATGTTGATGCCATATTTGTCTTCACATCTGTGAAGTGTCGTTTCCGGACTTTTAAATTGCGGTTGATCCTGTCTTGAAGAAAGTCCAAGGCCTCTTTGCAACGGCTTGCCGCCTTCTCTCGGGTCTTCTGTCGAGCCTGTGCGGTGTGTTCTTTCTCTTGCGCCTGGGCTCCATCCACATAGACAATAACAGTATCCTTGGAACCGAACTGCTCAATATCCTTTTCCAGGATCGCATGGGCCTTTTCTACAAAGTTTTATGTATAGGCGGTACGAATGACCGAGAACCGCGAGAGCAAATCGATCCTCTTGGTGAATGTGGTTGAGGTTGTTGTTGTTCCTGATTGCTGAATGACTGTGGGCTCGTATCCCTTCTTGCAAATGAAGGGGAACCAACCCTTCAAACCCATCCCGTGAAGTCGAGTAGTGCGAGGGAAGAGTCGTGGTCGATTGTGCAGTGTGTTTGCTGGAATGAAGTAATTGAATCAGGGCAGTGAAGAGTTGAAAGAGAAAGAGAGTTGAAAGTGGGAATCACCAAAGTCTATTGAAGTTTGAAATGCAAAAAGAAGTTAAGGTTGATGTAAGGCTTTGTCCTATAAAATAAATTGAATGCGTCCTTTGGACAGAGAACGGTCCTTTGGACCTGACCATAAACATTCCCAGAGTTTAGTTTAAGGCTGAAAAGTGAGGAAAGCTAGGAATCATTCCCTTACCTGCTGAGCTGGGAGAAGTCAAATGGTGGCAGTGGAGGCATGGGAAAGTGAAGGAAGTGAAGGAAGTGAAGGGATTGAAAAAAGGTTTTTATGCTGGACGCGTCATGGTCAATTTGTGGTAAGGTGACGTTTCGAATATTGTTTTACAAGGAAACTCCCAATCTGAATGCTCGAATAATTTGTGTTCCACACTGAATACAAGGGTCTAACGCACAACTACGCACACTGTAGCGAGTGATCAGCACAACGGTCTTCTTGTTCAACTGGAACAAGGAACAAAAGACCGTTGGCTTCGACCCTCCTTTTATACAGGCGCGATCTCAAAACCTAATATCGAATTCTGCGCACTCGCGGTGGCTGCGGCCAACAATATTGGGTCTCTCGAATATTTCCCCTGAGAAGGGTCTGCCTCCCTGGTTTCAATTTTGGTGGCAAAAACCTTAAAGCGAACCGTACTCCCAAATTGTGTTTTCTCTTAAATCGTTGCCACCACATCAATTCATCACAAGCAAGGACAAAATCCCAATGACCTCGACCGTCGGACCGGCGGGATTCCACTCCATCTGCGAGCAAGCAGGACTGATCCTCGGGACGAATGGCATTCCTAATGAGCTTCAGGTTGAACCCTCCCGTTTCCAGCGCGAAACAGCTCGACTTCTTCAACGCTCGCCCTCAGGAACATATGGCGTTGAGTCATTCTTAGAGGGCCTGCAGGAACATCTGGAAGAGCACGAGAACTTGAAAGCTGCTCTTATACCCGTATCTTTCTCCGCTGATAAGGAGTCATCGTATGTTCATATCCTTTAGCCTTGAATTTTGATGCAAAGGGATGATATCTAACAACTGGAATCTTTTTTTTCAATATTATGCAGGTTCTCATTAGGCGAAAGTTTGATCCGCATGCTTTTAGGCGTTGATGCTTTGCAGCCAGAAGTCATGGAAGGATTACTGGACAGGATACTTCAATTCCTGGATGACGAGTAAGCTACTGGTGCATATCATGGAATTCTATTCGACAGAGCTATTAAGGACGTCGAGAGAGTAACCAATTTGTATCACATCCCCCTTTCGGATGGCTCTAGCGAAAAAGATTCTCCTATCCCAAAGCTCATTCTACAGCAATTTAAGTGGCTAGACAATGTCAGTAAGCCTAAACAGCTCTCCGCCAAGCTACTAGAGGTAATTAAAGTGGAGGTCTAGGAGACTGGCTTTGTGGCTAGTCGCCGGGGCGAGTTTAAAAGAAGTTTAAGCTAATGGGTTCCATATTGAAAACATGGTAGATTGTTAGTCTTTCTCCAGTATTTATTCAAAGGGATGTTATTACCAGTCTGCCGGAGATCGTTCCCGATTCTGAACACAGGGTAAAGCGCCGCTTTTGTACCAGGCGACTTGCCTAAGCATTTCAGTCTGTTCGACTGAGATTCATGTCTCTTTCTTCCTTCGTTAGACTGTAGTTAGTGGGCTTATCGAGATGATGGAGAGTACCTCAGAGCTGATGGTACCGATCTTGGATGCTCTGTCGAACCTCAACTTGCAGTCGGATATATTGGTAATAGATTACAAATTGTTATGAGATTGCATATCATTATTTCTGTCTATCAATCACTAACACGGTAAGTTCTCCTATAACCCTTAGATCAGTGCTAGGCGCCATGTGATGGACAAACTGGAGTCTGCAGAACTCGATGACTTGCCTATTGTCATCAAATTTTTGCTGCAGACTGTTGAGCCAGACACAGTCGGTGAAGTCATCGGCACTGTTCGTTCCAATCTTGACTTTGGTTCGATCAACAGGCTCCAAAGAAATCATAATCTGAAATCGAGAAAAGGGGCCTCTAGTCAGACGCCAGAGGTCTTGATTCTCGGTATGTATCCGCCCTACCTCCTACTAAATACGCTATCATCATGGCGCAATAGTAGATACTGATTTTTCTGCTTGTTTCCAATAGATGCACTGAAAACCGGTATCAGATTCCAGAAGTTCGTCACCGATGCATGGTATAAGGCGCTGATTGCCATTCCTAAGCCCGTATGTTGCTACATCCTATGAGTTTGTCTTCTTTGTGAAAAATGTCATAGTTTATCAACTATATTTCTTTTGTCGAATAGGGATTGCATAAAGTGATAGATGTTATGGTTATCTTTATTCTGCATTCAATTGTCAGCATCAAGAAGAAGGTAGAGGTATTGATCCGGCAAAAGATTATTGACGGCATGTTGACGAAAAAGCTACTACAGGAAGCGATCCTTGTACACGGTGCATCACTCAGGGAGTAAGTACTTCGAACAACTTTGAAATGATGAACAACGTCGTAAAAGCTATTAACATGGCATTCAATTTTCGTCTACCCTCAGGTACATGCCTGCCATCCTCTCAATCTCGGAAAATCTCTTGCGATTTAGCCATAGTCACCCGATCGTTGCTCGGACTGCCTCTATCCTGTACACCAGCGCTTTTCAAGTCTCAGATGCCTATTACCGACAGGAGATTGTTGGCTCGCTACTTGTTCATATTGGAAGTGGATCAGCGGTGGAAATCGACTCTTCATTGGCCGTACTACAGACCATTGTGAATACTTCAAGAGCAACCCTCAATGAATACAGTACATTCATCAAAGGTGTCCTGGACTATCTCGACAATCTTTCGCCTGAGCAGATTCGATTATTTTTTGTAGTCCTTGGATCTCTTGCACGGGAGGTATGTTCGTACGCCATATGAATCGATTAACAATAACGACTGATTCTATGATGCTTACGCTGAATACTAAAAACTTGCTCCTTTTGTGTTTATGGGTCGTCTTAGGATGAGATTGCAGGCAACAGCGGGACGTTACTCACAGACCTAAATATCCTAATTCGGAAACAGCTCTCGAACCCCATGGAGGGTTACAAAAGGATTGGAGTCATGGGAGCGATCGCAATGGTTCAGTCATTTGGGGTCCGAGAAGGCGTCGACAATGGCCGTGGTTCTTCAAGTCAAGCTGCGACTAGTCATCATCAAGCAGAGTCGGACCCTTTTCTCAAAATCTCAGTTTCATACCTTCGAATGATCAGGGATGCGTGCCAAAAGTCGTCGGTAATTTTATCTATAGTCAATGCTATATCGAACAATGGGGTCAGGTTCGAGATCTTGTTCTGAACTAAATCTTTTTTAAAAAATTTACAGGTCTGTCTGGCACTGACATACGATGAGTTGGCGAGCCTCGTTCTTTCTGGCCAGCTTGACCAAAAATTGGTGCTCTGGATCAAGGAAGAGTTCTCGGATCAGTTCGCAGCGACATTTGTTTGCGGTGTCAACGAGACGTTTCCAATGAGACGTAATCGGAACATTGCCTTGGAGTGTTGGATGAATCTTGATGGACCGGTATGCATCTACGCTATAGCCCAATATTTATGGCGTTCGTTTCATTTGAGGAAGGGAGTTACCTGCGTGCCAGACTGACCATATCAATCGGCTCGATGCAACTTTTGTGCTTAGGAGTCAGAGCTCGCTATAGCCATCATACCGAGTCTATGTGCAGACTTGCTGAGCTCCGCAACACAAGGCACAACCATTGAAACTTCCGATGGGACTGTATACCTCTGTTCTTTATTCAAGCTGCTGCAGGCCACGGAGAAAGCGACAGGAGGGAATGGTTTGGACGATATTGATGGGCTTCTTGGCTGCGGTATCACCATGTTTAAACAAGAATACCTCGAGGTAAAGTTTACTGTATCACTCAGCGTGCCGAAACGATCTTTAACTAATGGAATAAAGACCCTGACGATGACAGCATTGCGGCATATGACGCTTGGCTCACTAGGATATAGCAGAGGTCTACAGCACTGAAATCTGCCATACCATTGCCCAAGGACTCCTCTGTGCTATCAACTGGTAAGTGTCCAGCTGCTTCTTTCACGATGTCTAATAAGCGCTGCGCATGGCTCTTACGGTGAATAAATTCTGCGCTAGGTTCCGCGAAATCTCAAATGCGTTCTCGTACGATGCAGGAGATCAAACAATGGGTAGATTTTGCACTGTTGATTTAAAGGATTGTATCCTCCAAAGGTTGATCATTTATCCTGATAATTTACTAATATGTTATTATCGTAATGGGTATAGCTCGAATCATCATCCGACTGCAGCAAATATCTGAACTGGAAGACATACTGCGACACGTCTTGAAATGCGTGCCAGGGTTCAAACCGCTCGAGGCTAGTCATGCTAAAGCGAAGGATATGCCTAGAGGGGTTAAACCCATGGCGAATTCTCTTTCAATTCAGTCTACAAGCACAGCTGTTCTGGGGAAACAATCATCGCGGACAATGAATGTGGTTGGTGGACCGAAGCCCTTTGTTGTGTGCTCCAGCGAGGTCGTAACATACGAATCATTAGCGCCGTATCTGCGAGAGCTCGAGGTACAGCACAGTGCATATGCACAACGAAGCAGGTGGCACTGGAAACTTATATTAAATTGCGCTCTAACACCCGTACTACATTCATTTCACTTTTCATAGATCGATGTCTTCCATGTCCTACGCGTCCACGACCCGATAACCCGTGATGCTTTTGAGATCGTCGAAGTCACTCGGAATAAGAATGTCCACCTTCACTACCCGCAGCTGCAGTTTCTGCTGAAGGATCTCCATGCCAAAGTTGTGTTCAAACTCCCAGCATCTGTATCCCATGCGTCTTTTGGAAAGAAAGCTACGGCGCTTTCGACAAACAACGCTATGCTGGCCCGCATGGATGTCACGGAATTTGTGCGTGGGATTCTGAGGATCGCGCCTCACGTCGTGACCAAAGCAAGGATGATTCTTCGCATGCTGTCCAACAGAGATGAGGTAAATTTTACTTGCGATATGGAGCAAGATAATCGAGGCAGCAGTGTATACACCAGTTAACGATAATAATTTATTTTACTGTTTGTATTGTAGGCTACAGACCACAGCGGACGGCTGTTGGACACCGCGATCATTCTCGACTGTCTAAATCTTTCTTTGAAGGTGCTACACGTATTGCTCTCGTGGAATGAGATCAAGGGAAGCGATCAGAAAGAGCTGCGTCTCGTATGTTCTGAGAATACTGCATTTCATCGTCCTTTACAATCGCTTGCTGTCGCGCCAGACCAATTTGCTAATCATGTCAATTGTTCTCTCTTGAACGTTTATAGGAGTTGCTGAAATCTCTTGCTCAGGATATGAAGACACCAGAGCAGATTAAGCAGATAAAACGCTCAATTAACTTGTCTGAAGTTGCAGTGGAGGTCTTCTCTTCTCTATCTACCTGGCACGAAATGATGCCCAGCTTTGAGAGCTCAGCCATGCTGCTCGAGGTTTTAGAGAAGGTGCTGGACATGGTTCCCAAGAACATTGAGACATCCTTAAAACTTTCCAAACTTTCGACAACGTTCCTCTCGCACAAATGGCCGTCAACAATGGCTATCAAGGTATTATGTGGACCAGCGCTTTTTCCATTTGTTCTACATAACAGGGTTTTTCTGCGGATTTTAATATGGTTTCTCTTAAACTGGATATTATAGTCAGATCGTTTGGCTTATATACTTGGGCAGCAAATTGGAAAATCCGATGTGCGACTAGAGATGATCAACGAATACGTTACAAGGGTGTTGCCATCTTTTCTGAATCAGGATGATGGCAGTGCAGAATTGCATCCAATGCTCACCCCCAATACTTTTACCATATACACCAAGGTACATGGCCGATAGGAATTCGAGTGTCTCTGTCTTTATTTGGTTCTGATCGCATTGAGTTTGTTTCTACTTTTGAAAAATGAATAGGTGCTGCATATTCAGCTGGCAGCATTAGTTGGCGAGTTTGCAGAGGATGATTTTGATGATACTCATGCCGCATTTGAGCACATCTCAGGGCTGTGTCTCTGCTTTCAGAGGCTGGCTGCATTTGTAAAGTCGAGTGATAAGCGTGAAGTACTGAGTGTCACGTTGAAGCACTCGAAAGCATTCATGGAGCAGTTCATAAAGCGAGTACTGCCCTTTCTAGGAATCCACTTTCGGGGCCATCAGGACATGGTTGCGAAAATATTTAAAAATTACTTGCAGGCCGGAACTCGTTCCTTACAGGTAGTTATGTTGCGACATGCTCCAGATGTTCCGTTCGCAGTTGAAATGAAAGGCCAAGGTTAATATTAGCTGTACTTTTAATCTTTAGAATGTTTGTGGGCATGCCAAAGCTTCAAGAGAGCAAACACTGATGGCTATGGTGCCTGCAATCAAAAAGACTATGGAGACACTCATATTCGAGGTGAAGCTGATGCTGGAGAACAACGATGCTGGCGCAGCCTTCTGGCTTGGTAACCTCAAGCATCGCAACTTGCGAGGTGAAGAGATCAGCTCACAGCTGCCGACCATGTCTGAAGATGAGGATATGGGCGGCGAAGACGATGCTGACGATCAGGACGCAACAAGTGATGCTGAGAGCCAAAGGAAAAAGTCTTCCGCTAAAACGTCTAAGAAGAGGGGACGCTCAGGAAGTGCGAAGTCGACATCTGCGCCGCGCAAGACGCTCAAAACATCTGCAAGCTCAAAGAAGGAACGAAAGGTGGTTAGTTCGCGAGCTAAGTTGAAGATGCCGCGGAAAGATGAGGAGGATGGCGAGTCGCGCATTCACACAAAGAGGTATTAACGACATGTTCTGGTAGTCTGTTCATCGCTAGCTGAGATTACGATGATGTACTTACGCTACTCCTACTTTGTGTATCGGTTAAACTCCAGTCAAATTACTAACAGCGACATGAGCGAAGAGGAGCAGGATCAATTGGCTGGCGATGGAGATGAGAGTGACCAAGGATCTTCACGTCCGAGACGTCATCTTCGACGGATCACTGCTGAAGAAGAGGAAGCAGATGAGGATAATGTGCTGGAAGAAGATGGATACGGCGACCGAGCGATCGAAGAGCAGGAAGAGAGAACCGAGCGGCGACGCCGGGTCAGGAATCCATATATTGACGATACGGCTATGGAGGATGACGATGAAGACGAAGATGAAGACGAGGAAGAAGAGGAAGAAGAGGAAGAAGAGGAAGAGGAGGAAGAGGACGAAGAAGACGAAGAAGACGAAGAAGAAGAGGATGAAGAGGATTAGCAATGCTAGTGCTTGAACAATCTGGGTAGCAGCTCGAGGAATTTTCTCTGCTTTACATGTAGATCCTGAACAGACATTTTCAAGCCCGGTACGGAAAAAATAAATTGAATTCGCACAGCCACATGGGCACAAAATGAACAGGCATGGCTGCAAGTGCTCCTCCCCACCAGGGCGTCACCTATTATGTCAAAGAGTGTTAGAAACAGGTCTAGATACATGATAAACTTCCAGCAAGCGATGAACCTTACACCTTACATGGTATGGATTAAAGGGGTGCTCTCAATTCCCAGTTCACTGAGATGGTGGCACAAGCTAATCGTAAGGTGATACAACCGGCGGGATTTCGGTCCATGCCATTCCTTGCCACCCAAATGGGCTGAAGAAGCCCACGGGTCACTTTCTCCCTCTTTCTCTCCTTCTCTTTCCATTTGATTCACTCTCCCTCAGCTCAGCACTGAATACCATCCCTTTGATGCACCATGGATCTCGTCAAGTCGGATCGGATGATGACACCCGAGGATTCTGAAGACAAGGAATTGCCCGCAAGACCAGAGGGCCAAGACATGCCTGAACACCGGTTGCATCGTAAGCATTAATCAAGCTTGAAACCAAATGAATGATTTCTCTCTACCTGTATCCTCGGCAACGCTTACGAATCTCGCCATCAATCGCCCGCATTAGCGAACCGTGTCTATTTTAACGGAGAGCCAGGGTCTACATTTTCTATCAGGTATGACTTGTCGATTAATGTACAAAGGAAGATTGTTCGTACCAAGCAATTCTTTTACAGCTCTGACAAAACTATTATGGTTCCCATTGTGGTTTAGACCTCGTACATGGAAGAGCTTTCGAGGCGATGGCAGCTTCGACGTAAGGACAGGCACATTCGCGCACTATAAAAACAGCGTGAATCTTAGTAAGGAGTGAGGCTGAAAATTGAATTTTTGATCTAACCAAAAATTTAGCTCGAAGCGAGAATACCCAAGGGGGCCCTGCAGGAAGGGTACTACACCATCGTGTGGTGCATCTCGCCAAAACCCCTCGGTCAGTCGCTTCTCAAAAAGCTTGTTTTCGAGGTCGAGGTGCCCCAGATGAAGGTGCGCATGCATTCATGCCTACAGTACGGTTGGTTTCTCATACCGTATGCATGTGAGCAGTTGACCAACGAACGACCGTTATTGTTCCTCGCCCTTGCTAGTACAAGCTGTGGGCAGAAATGTCAGAGGCTCAAATCGAGGCAATAGGTAACTTAAGGGTTTCGCGCTCAGCCCTCGTTGCTTGATATGCTCTCAGCAGAGGTAAATACTTACGACCGAAGCAGCTACAACGGGCAGGATTCGGCTGCGATTGCAACAGAAGGTGCACCTCCAGTTTAGTAGCCCAGTCTTCGCCCGTCTTTCAGGACAACTTCGCTCGTATTTTGATGTACAAAATACACAAGAAGCAAATGCTCAATTGAATGATCGCATCGTCGTACACTACCTACAACTGGAACAACTTGGATCGGATTTATCCAGTAGCATTAAAGGTCTGTGCATTTCTTGTCTTCATCGTGGGCTTTACGGTCTTCAGTGTTTAAGAGCTAATTGGCAACTAATATTCTCGTACTTTGGAACGTATCCTAGACTATCTTGTCGAGGCACCAGGGCGAAAACTAAAGATGGTAGACGTTAGGACGTGTCAACAGCAATTCTCAGACGGGGTACAATTTGCGCCGATGGCCCAGATCTTCGCCATGGATGTCTCTGCTTCTGGAGAATACGTTGCGGTCCTATCCTCAACATTGACTACAGCATATATTGGGATCTGGGACCTCGTCACCGCTTTGCCATCAACACCCGACAAGTCGCATGACCAGAGACGGCGATCAAATATCACGAGTCAACCACCACTAGCTACGTTCAGCATTCCACTACAAGAGGGACAGTTCAACAACATGCGGCTATTCAAGATTGCATTATCGTCTGATGGGTCGAGCATTGCGGTGTACCAGCAACCCCGCGATGACGACTTTGCGCCAGAAGAGAAAATACTGGATAATTTCAGCTTCCCATTCCGACTCTTCTATGTCAAGGCTAACTTTACAGAAACACAAAAACTGAAGGAACTCGCAACGACCACAGTCCTCATTGAAGATACGTCCATACACAGATCGATGGCGCATTTTGTTGGATACGGCAAGTTCATGGCTAAAGACATATTCAATGGCACGAGACACAACATATCGACTCCAGCGGATGATTCGTCAGCAGGTGATTATTTTATTGCATGCGATGAATCGAGGATCAAAATTTACGATGCCTCAGAGAGATGGGAGCGACTCTACGGGATCGCGATTGGCGGCCTCTGTTCTATGAAGTCTCGGACGAAGCAACTGCGGGCGCTCTTCCGTAGTCTAGAGGGTCCATTGTTCATATGGTGGGAAGATGCCCAGAACATCTCTATCTGGGACCTCGCCACTGGTGCGAACCGCAAATATATCTCTGTCACCAATCCAAGTAGCCGGGTGCAGAATGAAATTGGGCTTTTCTCGGTCTCAAGGAGAGGGAAGTTGCTGGCCTTAGCGGGGTCAGACTGGATCAGGACATACTTTATGGAATCGGGGATCGAGGTCTGCAGCACTGTGATCCATGGCGGACGCATATTGGATATCCAGTTCCTGGATGAGGACAAGAGCCTTCTGGTGACCACTGGCAATTCCAGTATCGAGCAGACCTCGGTTATCATGGATGCGCTGAATCTCTCCTTCCAACGATGCGCTGGAAGGCAGTTTCCGTCATCGACTTATTCCATCCAACGTGTCGCTAAGTTGTCCGAAGGAGCTGCGCTATCCCACGGCATGGAACACGTTATGATGGCAGTCAACGGCAATGAGATGGAGGTATTTGCTATACCACAGCCTAGTCTATTCAGCTCCGGAGGTCATCTGGCGAATTGCGATGATGGGTGCGCAAATAAGGAGAGCATTGAGCTCAGCAATCACGTCTACCAGTTTCCTGAATCCAACTCTGAGTATCGTCTGGTGGTTAATTTTGAGGAAAGGGAGGTTGATAGTCGACAGCGAAAGGTTGTGCGCGTAGTCTTAGTCTCGGTTGACCAGCACGGATCTGTTCAACAGTTGCTGACCATCATACCCGAGCCATGGATGCAGTTCGAAGAGGAAGATGAAGACGCAGAACACTATGTTCAGGCGTCTTTTCTTGCATCTTGGTCTCAATTCATCATTCTCAGCTCCACCGGCTTTCAAGTATGGAATCTGCCCGACGTCACTCCCGATAACCGATGCGAGCTGGCATTGACCTGGGTCTGTCCGCGTAGCAGAAACAACGGCGAAGTGTGCAGCTATGCAGAGCCAGTGCTGGAGACGCGTGTATGCGTCCATGGAGAGGCGATCCTATCTGTGTGGTTCGATGATGAGGCCAATAGGAGTCGAACTGTCTGCGTGCGGATCCCCAAGAACAACTGGTTTTCGCGAGAGGAGACGCTCTACTGCATCAATAGCATCCCTATGCTGATCTCCTGCTACTCGGACGCGAGCGCCAGTGGTCAAGAGGCGATCATACGATATCTAGTCAAGCACATCAACCACGATCCACCCGAGGGAACTACAACGTATAACGTCATGACAAAAATTGCTTGGGCATCGAAATGGAGAGGATGCTCTGATATAATGGGTGCCATCTTTAGCTCAACTGACGGGAAATGGATCCCACGATGCGTTTCTCTCGGCAGTGTTGGTGGCGATTCCGACGGTTCGCCCATCAAGAGCCCGATTTACTTTTTGATTAAGAACGCCAAGAAAGAACCCCGCAGCCTGCCTATGGCCGAGCAACTGATCGATTATTGCATTCGAGAGGCGAAGTTACAACAGGATCCGGCCTTTCTGCTGCTTGTGCTAGACTGTCTGCCACTACTGGTCGTCTACCATCCAGAAACAGCAATCAATATCATCCGTCGGGCAGCTTTCATCCCCATCAAGGACAGAGATTTTGTTGTGAATAACTCCGTGCTTGCACATCCTCCCCGGTTCGGCATAGATATGGCCAATATGGCTGCTGTCAGTCGACGCAGGCGCCCGATCTACGAGTACCCGAATTCAGTTTTTCAGTTGAAATCGCAGCTACCACGAATTTGTGCCAAGGATTTTTCGTCCCATATCGATGTCCCAGAAGAGAGATCGGTCGATCCTCTCAACGAGACATTCAAGCGACATGTTTATGTGGCGCCGTATGCTCTGCTTTGGCATACGAGAAGCAACGGTACATCTACTGGGAAGCGGGACATTTCAACGGATGTGGCCATGGCGAGGATGGCGTTTGACCTGATGGTATACAAGCTGAACCCTTTGAGCAGGCAAACCATCCGGGCCAACTTCACGGAGCTCCAGTACTATGACAACCCTGCTGTCGAGGCCCTGCTTGAGTACAAATGGTGTGTGTTTTCGCGAGAATTCCATCCAATATCCGTTTATGGATTCATGCCAAATCCTTCTAACCCTCTGTTCTTCTCAATACTTTTCGATACGCTAGGAACTCATTCGCATGCATGCCCTGGGGCCTGCGATTTGTTGGCCAACTGTTGTACTACGCGCTTGTTCTCACAGTAACCTTGATCCAAGTATACCCGAACATGATGCTGACGGATCTTAGAGGGCCCCTCATCATCGTGGTTTCCATGGGTTGTATGTTCCTATATCTCGAGCTGCAGCAATTCTTGGCGGACCACTGGAAATACGTGAAGTATGAAAACTTGTTTCGTGATCCATATATGAAGTTCTTGCTTACACTCTGACGCTCGATATTCTTCTGCCTCTAGAACACCTTACAATGTCGTGGATGTCCTGGTCTTCTTGCTACCTGTCATTGGAAGTATCCAGTTGCTTATCAACATACCTCAAGTTGAGAATACGGATAAGCCTGGGGATTCTCGTGTACTGAGCTTTTCCATTCTCTTTATCTACATCCACCTCGTAAGCTGCCGTGTCCCTGTGCTATTCATATGGATACTTCAGAATCGGATGCCATCTGATTAACCTATCTACATCTTCATGAAATTCACAGCTATTCGAGATGCGCGTGATCAGAAGCGTCTGCAATATTGTGACAATCATCCTGAGCATTGTCATCAAGATCCGCGTATTCTTCGCTATCTTTGCCTTGATCGTCCTTGCGTTTACACACTCGTTTCTTCACTTACTGCTCGCCGAAAATCACGACTGTATTACTACCGACACGAATGGCAACTCGATATCACTGCTCGGCACTTGCTTTAAACGAGACACTGATTTCCCTGGGAACTTCTTTGGCGCAATATCGGCGACATACTTCTTCATGGTACGAACTGAAAAAAGAGATATTGTATAGAGTGCTTTAGTCGAGCTTTTCACTAACATATTCTTTCTTGTATCATAGGCTGGCCGATACGATCCTGTTTCGAAGGATTTGGATGGCGAAGACTGGGCATTCCATGTTATGATTGCCATATACTTTTTTATTAACGTGATCCTACTACTCAACGTTCTTATCGCGCTCATGAACGTCGCCTTTTCAGCAGGCGACAATGATGGACCCCTTGTCTGGCTTGATAACCGCCTTCGGTCTGTTGAGGCAGCCGAAAACCTATCCTACGCAGCACCAGGGCTTCGGCAACGGTTCGATTGGTTCCCGCAGTACATCTACTACACAGCCTCACCTCGGACTGTCCAGGCATATAAGAACAAGTATCCATTTCTGATCGATCGCGACGACAATTTACAACCACAGGTACACCAACACTCTATTGTGATCACGCCCGTTCGTTCTCCTTCTCCGGGATGGCAGCTAGATCAACTGACAACGGAAGCGGCTGTACCGGCCGTACAGGAGCAAAACGAAAACGCAGACTCATCGGATGGTGCTGCCGTCGATTTGTCGTTGGCGGGACAGCAGTCGATGAAATCGCCTCGGATCCCATACTCACTCACAGAGACGACCGTGATCGGCTCGCCTTTGGCTACTTCGAGTGAATATTCGCGCCAAAATACAGGCACAGGCAACTATTTCGCAGATTTCCAGTCAATCGCAAGCACGATTCCGCAGAGTGAGGGAGGGGCAAAATTGGTTCAGTCGCCGCTGGAGCAGCTACCATCGCGACCGCAGCCACAGCCACAACCGCCAAGGACGAGACAAAGACGTCCTTCCAGACAAAGCACTACGCGTACGATTAACTTTCTTCGCTCTGCGAACGATCAAGACGGGAACGGTGTTGACGACAAGTTCGAGAGAGACGAGGAAGAGATTAGCGAGAGCGGTCAGGGTGTGGACGTGAGCAATGATGCTTTGTTTGCCCAAGATCATGTCAGCATCCTGAGCCGTGTGAACCAGGACGAGCGGCAGAGACTTATGGAGACGGAGCTACGTACTCTCCAGACAAATACGGAGCAATTGCGAGAAAATATGAAGGGCATTGAGAGCAAACTAGACCAGATGACGTTAATGCTAGAACTTCTACTGCGGCAATCGCCGCAACGGCCCTCATAGAAAAATATCAACATACAAGTAAAGTGAACGTAATTTTTATTGATTTAATCCATCGCTAAATGCACTGAGCTCTAGATCCGGCCTCGCCTTCATTAGCCAGGACGCCAGCTCGAATGTTCGGTAATGGTCTAGGAGCCCGGCCAGCTGCTCTAGTCGTGGCCAGTTTTCCAGCATGCTCTCAATATGTCGCCTCCTCAGCATAGAGGCACCCTCTTTATGGAACCCAAAGATCCGCATCCGCTTCAGATTGTAGAGCTGCTCCAATCCATCTAGGAACAATGACCTCTGTGGGATCCACCCTGCGTGGCCCATTCGGAATGACACGACTTCCAGTGTCGGAATGGTTCCGAGTTGCGTGTACAGATACTCCAGATATTGTATCGCTGGATCTCGCCCGGTAGCCGTACAATGGTCAACGGTCAGCAATGCGAATGTTATTAAGTTGCGGCAGCTCCATGTGATATCCTTGATGTCGTCCATCGGGATCAGAAGGGTATCCATGAAAGTCAACTTGACGATTAGGGACTTGAGGTTAGCACAGTTGGTGACGATCTGTTGCAACCCTATAGCTGTGAGACCTTTGCGTTGACTGACCGACAACGACGTCAATGTCGTGCGATGACTCAAAACTGACTGCAGGACCACATCCATTGAGGTGATGTTGAGCCAAAGCTTTAAGGACTCCAGACCAGGTCGATGCGGTTGTGCAGCAGATGGAGTACATGCCGCGATGATAGATGCCTGAGTCGTGCCGCTCATGTGCATATTCCTGATATCGAGATGCCTCAATCGAAGGCAATGATCCCTCACAATATCCGCTAGGTCAACTGTCGCCTGCACAACAGATATAGTCCGTATGGCCAATCGTTCGAGGTGCACACATCGCTGCAGGTAATCGGGCATAATCCGTACAAACATCTCTGTATTCAGGCACAAATCCTTGATCTTACTGTCCTTAGCTTTCATCTCTCGCATTCCTTGCTCGTACAATTCGATTTCTGTGTGGTCCAGCTCGTGGTACTCATAGAGAGAGGAATCGATCGACAGATGAAATTCCTCGAGTCGCTGGCCTTGCTTGAGCATCAACAGATGGTCCCGGAGGGTCAGTTTGCCCCTGACAAACAGTACAAGTCTAGTCAGGCCTGGCAACTGATCCATCACGATGTTGAACATGTCCATGAAATCCGATCCGATTTCCAGATGAGACAGCTCGATATCGCGCAGCGTCGTATGCGCTGCCAGGAACTCTAGGATACGAGGCACAGCAGCGATTATTTCCTCCTCGCCCCTGCCTTTGATTTGGTTCTGGAGTTTGAACCGAATGAGGTTCGAGAAACATGGGCCGCTGGCGAGATTGTGTGGCCAGGCCGGGAGAGGAGCAACGAGACGAACAGATCGGACGGCGCTGCGGCAGTATTCTCGACGACCAACAGGAGTAGACTCGGACAAGAGAAGAAAGGGTGAGTTTGGGTGTATGAGGTTGCACCGCTCTTGGGTAGTGAGGCTAGTGAAGTGGATGTTGCGCCAGAGATAAGGGATGAATGCGGACCAAAGGGATTGGGAGACTTGAACACAGCGCGACAGGTCCTTCAAGGTCAGGTACCGAGTGATCTCGTCAAGGACTAGCGAAATATCGAACACATTGATTCTGCTAGGCTCCATCGTACTTCGGCGTCCGGATGATGTAGTGGGGAAGCTGGGGGTTGAGGGGGTTTGGAGGGATGAATGAGGGAGAGTAAGAGGGTAATGATGATGCATCACATGGAGAGAACAAGCGATCCCTGCGACCGAAGCGACTTTTATACAGAGGCCGTTTTAATATGGTTTTTATTTTAGGGTTTCCTGTTTCGCGTCGCGTCGGTGTGGAGTGATCGAACATCAACAACGCTACTATGCCCCATAGTACATACAAAAGAGGCTAATGTGCAGTACCTTGACCTGACGGCACCTTAGTCCTTCACACAGCCACGTTCTTGGTCCCACTTTAGACCATTCTGGCAGTGGTACTCCTTTGCGTCTTTATTATCGCCACATACCCAGAATGAGCGAGAGTTGGTCTGGTCTGGGAAGAAGTCTCCAGCCTTGGAGCACGGATACATGGGAACTGCACTCGCGCGGCGCAGCATGACAGAGAGACACACGGTCAAGCCGATGACGACGGTGTAGGTTCGGAGGGACTCCATTTTTGTAGATCAGGCAGGTAATGTGAAAGATGGCTATATCGCAGTGTAGAGTCACTGGAATAAGATAGGCGAAGGAGAAGTAGCGGCGAAAGAGTCGAGTGTATGACAGTAAAAACAAAGCTATAGAAGAATCAAACCATGAAGAGGCCGGATGCAACAGAGTTTTTTCGTTCATTTTTATATTCGAACTCGTTAGTCTTTCTGTACAGCAGAAAAAAGGCCAAATCAATGCCAAGCCTTCTTCGGAGAGCAACTCCGTCTTATACTCGGAGGCGCTCAGCAATTTATCTTTGGAACAGCGGGTGCTCATGAAGTCCCGTTTGGAGAGATAGACATTCAATGAGATCAATCCCATTGCAGCTTCTTTCGAGCGTAGACTTGCAAGAAATTTCGTCGTGCGCCGAGTATTGTTAATAAGCTCGCTCTACGCAAAAAAAAAAAAAAAAAAAAAAAAAAAAAAAAAAAGAAGGATACTCTGAACATGGACATCAAGAACGAGGAGTAGAAGAGCTAAAGAATAAATGTGTCGGCTTCAATATTGATACAGGTATGCATTTCCAATGTCGTCTATGCCACTCTACTACAGCTCTTGTTGGCTTGACCTTGAAATCGTCGACACCGGCAGCGCAATGTCCGGCCGAGTGCTCTGTAGCCAAAGAGCAGCATCCGAAGGAATCTCGTCTGTAGCATAGACCAATCCGCGGACCTCTCTCAGCGCTGGCCAGTTCTTGACCATCCATTGCACCTCGTCCACTCCCACCGCGTGGTCCAGCTTCTCGATGTCCAGTACCTCCAATGCCTTCAGCGTCGCCCACCTATCCAGTCCAGAGCTCAAAGCCAGGTCCAATGATTGGGATTTATGGTACAAGGGAGCGACACTCTCAAGACACAGCTCCCGCAGACATGGAAATATTGCGATATAGTCATAGAACCAGTGCAGAGCCTCAGGAAAGTGCTTGTGGACCATGGGATTCTCGGGATCGTCGTGCATCCACGTTATCTGTGCAGCATAAATCCACGACTGATAACCGGATCTATGCCCGTACCAACTGTCATCGTACGTCGGGTCCACGCTGGCATTGCTAACACCGATGCGAAGTGTCTGAAGTGTGTTCGAACATGCGCACTGAGGCGGTTCTGTCGTGATTCCAAAAGCCGTGTTGTCAGCTACGGCAGCTACTGCTGTCTCTGTTGCTGTTGCCGTTGATACTGTTGCTGTCGCTGCTGTCGCTGCCACTGCCGCCGCCGTCGTCGTTGGAGCCTTGTTTCGTAAGGGTAGCAGACCAGCATAGGGTCCCAGGTGATCCGACTCCGCGTCTCGACAGCGGAAATCGACGTGCTTCAGGTTTGGAAGCGATCGTAGAAGGAGATGCATTTCCTCAGTGCGAAAGAATCCGCAGCATTGAATATCCAATTCCGTGAGCGATATGGCCAGAGACGTCTCGAGGATGGCCTGAAGAGACTGCTGTGCGAACCCACACGAGTTCGAGATGACCAAGCGCTGAATGCCTCTGGCAGCCTGACCTTTTGCTTGGCTACAGCATGCGGCAGCCTCCTTGATGATAATGGCAATGGCCTTGTCTTGGGACTCTTGTTTATTGAGATATTTCCGCCGCCCTATTGCCGCCTGTCCACACGTTCCGTAATGTGGGCGAGGAGGCGAAGCGGGGTTCAGGCCATGGATCTCCAAAGACTTGAGGTTGGGACAGGACTGCACGACTTGAAGAAGGATGCTTGCCTGGACTAGGCCTGCGAAAGTTGCTTTGCGTTCGCTCGGTGATATTTCTTCGTCGCCAACCTCATTGACACCCTCATCGCCATCGTTGTCGTAGTAGTAGAATTCGTCGACTTGATTCCACCGCATTTCTTCTTTGTACGTCAGCTTCTCGTTAAAGAACAAGGAGAGAGAGTTGATCAACTGGCCGTGCGCGCGCAGGCTGGCAAAGGATGGCGAAGCAAAGTTCACTTCTGTGGCGGGCTCTGCAGGGAACCTCTCGTAGATTTTGTCGTTGTCCTCTTTCGGTGCTGCTGGCGTCGGATCTGGAAGGTAGCGCCGGAAATCGTGCACCTCGATGGAACTGTACAGATATGGCAGGAAGGTGCTATAAAAGGATCGGTTGATCAGTAGACAGGCGGCCAGGCTCGAGTGGGGCAAGTGTTTGGCAAGCGCATAGCATAGCTCGGGATAGGCAAAGATGGACTTGGTCATAGTGCTGATCAAGTGGGGAAGGCAGGATGAAAGAAGGAAAAGGTGATAACGACGATTGCAGGGATATCAATAAATGGATGCTGTGCTATATATGCATCCACCCACCAAGCCATGTGCCCTCACCGAAAAGTCCGCGGAGGCGCAGGAGATTAAAATGTGGTGTAAACATTGTGGAAGTTTACATATACTCATGCACGCAGCATGCTTAAACCAAGATCAGGAAATTGGTCTAGAACATGAAATGTGTAGTACAGTAACCTAGACCGCTGTTTGTCCAGCAGTTCCCTCAAGAAGCAATGGGAACGAAGTAAGAGCGACTGGTCGGCAGGGCAACACAGTGGTGCATAGGCATAGAAGGACACCTGGTGGATGAACGTTCAGCGTATAGGCATCCACGACAACGGAAGAGTGGAGGTCAAGGGAGATGCAGTGAGCAAGTAAGACGATATAATGGTGGATGGACTATGTAATTAGGCGGCATGCATTCGCTTACCATGGCATGCATATTGACTTGATGCCTAACGACACTTCTCCTAGAAGCTATTCGAACGACGTATAATGGCACTTTCTTTCGGCGTCCAACAGCAATACCACACGCGTGTCATTATCTGTAGCCATCAACATCTCGTCCCCATGAACTGCGCTTTTCTTTTTCTTCGGTATTCTTTATCCAGAAGGCAGGGTTACTCTCTGCTACTCCTACGACTCCACAAAACCCACGCCCTCTTATCGACTGCTCGAGCTGGCGCATTTTAATCAAGTATCATTGTCAGCTTTAGACGACTCAATAGCCGCTCCTTTATTTTTATTGCACCGCACCCTCTGCACTCGATGATTTCTACTCGCATCCATTGGGCCTTTGAGCTTCTCATGCCAAACCCTACAATTTTGGTGGCGCTCAATTGGATGCATTCTGATTGGCCCAAGACACGCCTACATAAACCCTTTTTTTTTCTGTTTCTTCTTTTTATTCCTTAACTATCCAACTACCCCACTATCCAACTATCATCCTTCCACTATGTCCTCAACTACAGATATACCGACCACCATTCAGGTCGTACTTTCAGTCCCTCATGCGACCATCTACCAGCTCACCAGTGCCACCTCCGAGAAGAAACTGATCGGCACAGGCGAACTGCGCGTCTACTCTTCTGGACTTCCAGGAAACATCCCGATCCCAGAGGGAACCGATGGCTCGAAGGCGCCCTTGACAACTTTTTTGACTCTGGAGACCAACGACACGGCAACAAAGTCCTCCAAGAGTCTGATCACTCACCCGTTGATGCCCAGGTCGGCGGCACAGAAGACTGACGATAGGACATGGCGGTTCACTGTTGCGGGCAATGGATACTTGGAGCTGCTGTTGCCAGAGTAAGTTCTGATGAAAATGATTGATTTTTGGTGGCTATGATGACCGCTGCATGTCGTCACACACAAAAAATGAGCGCACTGGCCATTAACATTTTGTTGATGTTCTTTTCGGCTCGTCTTTTTTTCTACAGCGCATCCGAGTCAGATATTGCGGCACTGGAGAACCTGCTGACAGACAGAATCGTGTACACAAACCAGTACCAGCTCCGAAATCAACTCGCTCTCGTCGATGATGTCGGACAGATTTATGGTGTCTTGGACGAAGAGGATGTGGAGGTGCAAGACGATGATGCTGTCTCGCTTTCCGAGAACCAGAAGTCGCCTGTCATTATCGAGGCAGTTGAACCTCGTGATGAAGACGTAAGGGTGTCATCTTTAATTTGAATCGAAAAAAAAAGAAAAAAAAAAAAAGAAAAGCTTTCATGAACTCACCAATCCGCTATGGCCTGTGACAATTAGGGGGACAAACCACTAAAGCTCAAGATTTCTGTCCCGTCCGCTGACGACATGGCCGACTACCTTACCAGCGTCTCTCAATACTTTAGTGAGAACCTCGTCAAGGGCGCAACCGTTGTTGCTGGCGGCATCACCACGTAAGACCTTCTTTCTGACCTGTGTTCCGGACTCATGCAGTCGCTATTTTCAAGCCCTTTATTAACCAGCCGAGATTCACATATATGTGTAAATAGGTCAGGTGCGTATCTCAACTCCAAGATTCCTGAGACGCAGAAACCACTCAAGATCTCTCCCTTCATCAAGAACCGTATCCGTAATGTGGCCAAAGTCAGCCGCGTCACCTTCGGTGTTACCAGTCGTATCAAATCCGCCATTATCTCCAAGGCCCTCAGCTCGGGTTATCGCGCCATCAAGTACTGGACCTCCAAGGATGACCCCCAGTCGTACTCAACCATGCAAAACATTTGTTACGCGATCCTCAACTCTGCAGGCGTCTTGATCCAGGCTGCCGAAGATTCCATTGGAATCGTTTCTGCACCTGCCATCTCTGCCACGCAAGATTTGGCCGGAAGGGCATTGGGACCTGACGTCAAGGAATTGGTTACAGAGGCATTGGAGGGATTTAAGAACTTTACACTGGTATACTTCGACAATGCAGGCATCTCGCGCAGGGCGTTCTTACATACCTCAAGGTTGGCAGCATTGCAGACGGCTCAGGAAGTCAAGGACGGCAAGATCAAGATGAAAGAGCGCAAGAAGTCCAGCGATCATGCCCAGGGATCTGTACCCTTTGCCGCCACTGCGGACGCTGCTGCCTCACAAGTGAAGCAGCTGTACTTCAAGTACTTCGGAAAGACGGACGATCAACCCCAGGAAGCTGCAGGATCATCATCATCCTCTGCTGCCGCTGGTCCAAGTGACAGCAAGAAGAAGACCGAGTAAGATCGAGCAACAAAAATTTTGACACCTTTCAAATGAATAAAAAAGCTTTTTACTGTTAGTCTATGGCATTGAGATCTTGTGAAGTTAGTGTGATGTGCTTAGCCCAGCGAGCAGCCTAAGCCAAAAGTCTAACTGGGCTGTATTATCGAACATAGACGCCTGCGATGTATGTACGCATTGACTCACAGCCCCTTCTTTCCTCGAAACCCTAATTACTTGCACCCTGACCGACAGTATCTGACATCCCCTCCAAGCCGACCTTATTGGAGCCTGTCGTGTCTATCACAGTTGGTTCGTGCTTTTTGTGAGCGAGCTCTGGCGCTCGATCCAGCGTTGAACCAATGGGGCCAATGAGGCATATCCTAGGACCCTCGTACAATATCCGCTCTATTCACACTTGATCCTTTTGTTGTCTGCTTCTCAGAGCACTATGCAGCAGCTATCAGAACAAGTGAATCTCGGTGCAATGATCCCTTTTTCAGAGTAAAAAAAAAAAAAAAAAAGGGGGGGGGGGGGGGAGCCTGTAATTATATGCACTGGAGCATGGAAGCATGCGGAGCAACAGATCCATGGGCAATGATCGTATTGAACTCCTTGATGATTCAGTACCGAAATCACCCCGGTATGCCCGATGTTCGGCAAGCAAGCGCGATCACTTGAGGCTTCATGGCTTGAAGTAAAATGTTCTCAAGTTTACCGTACACGCTTCATCGATAGAGGATGCATATTCATCAAAATCAAACGCTAACTGCGTCTTTCAAGAACGAGTGCATACCCTATTTCTGCTTGGTTGCTGGCGCAAAAGTGCTTTGGTCTCCCGTTAATGCGTGCCGGTGCAGGTTTTCGCAAGAAAAGAAATTGACGCGTGTCCAGAGCCCTTTCGCGAACTTTCGACGCGTCAAAATTTGGGACATAGTAAGGGGATTGTGAAAATTAACTCCGAATTTTCATTTTTCATGGGCACCCTATCACTTTAAAAAAAAACACACACCCCTCTATATCTTTCTGCGTCCTCCTCCGAAATTTTGAATAGGAAAGGGCCAACGTTGACAAAAGCTGCATCGGATGCTTTTATCATTCTTTATCAAGATCAAATTCTTCGAATGCCCGTCCTATAACGTCGTCTTCTGGGCCAGCCAAGGATGGAGGTTCCGCAAAGAACTCTGTGCGCCTCAGTCTCAGGTACTTGACGCCCTTGACACCGCTGATCTCGGCCATGTGGACAAACAACCGTCGCTTGATATCCTCATCCTCTTTTGCCTTTAAGAAACCAAGCGGATCCATGTCGCATCTCATGTACCATCCCTGTCCATCGTCCTTGTACTTCTCATGATCCACCTCGGGAAATTGAGCCGCTTGACGACGAACCCTTTGTTGCACTTCCTTCAGTGCCTGATGTGGTCGGAGGTCGGAGCGACTGAGCTCCTGTAAAGGCGGGGAGTCGATGTATCCGTCAATGACCAGGTACTCGAGTTTTGTGCATACCCATGGCTGCGTGCACAAGTCCTCCAAAGTCCGGACGGAACAGTTGGTTCCGTTCAGGACCAGGTGTTTGAGGTTTCGGCAGTTGGTCAGCAAGTGAAGGACTTGAGACATCTCCAGGCTGCTGAATGCACGGCCGTTATTATTCCAGTATTTGTTTCGAAGTTTTAATGTCTCGAGTGTTGCCGCGTGGGTCAGTAATGCGTCCAACATGAGGTCATTCAGGCCCATGGGTAGGCCCAAGGAAGCGTATTTCAGGCCATTGAGACTACAGTTCTTGAAGAGTCCGGCGTAGATGTCAGGTACCGGGAAGCAGCCGTGTTCGTATTCCATTGAGTACCCTTCCTTGTAGCGCAGGGTGTGGAAATTGGGGCAGTACAAGCGGAGGTTCCGGGAGAGTTGAAGGAAATCGAAGGATTCGGTGTCGACTGTCAAGTCGAGGCGCTCAAGAGCCGGGCAGACGCAAGGAAAGAAAATTGAGCTCGTGGATTGGACCCAGTCCAGGGCTAAGGCGAGGGATGTAAGCTGTGTCATCTGGAATCTCGGGGCCCTGATCTTTGAGGCGATGGCGCTGCTGATATGGTCGTCGGGTCCGCTGTAATTTTTTTCATGATCGAAGAATAGATCTTCGTAGAGACCAGAGACAGACTCGATTCTCAGACGCTTTAATGAACTTTTGCAAGTGCTCAGCATCCCATACATGAAATCACTCGACAAAGTCCACCTCACCAAAACCAGCTCTTGAAGACATGGGAGATTCATTAATGCCTCCTGATGCAATGATTTAAACAGTATGGTTGTCCAGTCGCCGCTACATGACAACTCCCTCAACTGTGAACCTTGGTTCCAGATCAACAAGTCCAGTAGGGCATCGCTAGGGCGGTGCAGGGACAAGCTGACGAGATTCCGGGGCGGCAATGATATCTCAAAGGGCAGTTCATAGACCTTGCGAGCAGAGAAGGAGTGGTAGTACCGGAAGTGATGGGAATGTTTACGAAATGGCGCAAGGCGTTTCCGGAGGATGGAGGATTGACTGTCGTCGAAGAGGTGGTGATAGAGATAGGGGATGAAGCAGGCGTGCCAGAGACGAGAAACCAGAGTGCAGGGTAGGAGGTTGTGTGGGGTGAAGATACGGGGGTCTTCGCTGGAAAAGTTGAAGAATGCAGTCGGTGGGTCGTATACAGGGATAGAGCGCGCGATGGCGTCGAGGATCTCGGGAAGTTCGAGTGCTTTCTGGGAGGAGTTGGACATTGTGCATGGAGGAGCCGAGGAGTGTGATGGAGATGGTGATGACCACATTTCATATTAAAGTTTCAGTGGAAAGCACAGCCCCCTCGGCTCTGCTGCGGCGCAGGCCTGGGATTCAATAAACGGCCCCACGGGGCAGTTCTAAGAAGATCAATCGCATCCAATCTCTCTGATGCTCTCTCTCCACGGCCACCTTCACAGCATCGCCAGAAGGTCTACCGCTAGACAAACAATCCTTGCGTCATCTGTACAGCCTCAAGGACCTGGCGGCCCTTCATTGCCCCGCTCGTGTTGTATACAAACAAATTATATTTACAATGGCGAGGCTATCTACACAAGAAAATAGTTGTTTCAAAACCAAACACTGCCATCCGCTCCTTCGTCCGTCTTCTTTACGCGCGCTTGTCCGAAGTGTTGACAATACGCACGATCGCCTGCTTAGCCTTCTCGACACCCTCCTTCGGTCCGCTAATCGTAATCAGCTCCTCGCCCCTCGCAATCTTCGTCGACGTGCCCGACTCGGCCTCGATCTGCTTGATGTTGTTACCACCAGATCCAATAATCAATCCGTGGAAAGTCGTCGGCACACGGATCTTGAGCACATGCGTCGAAGCGCGAGCCTTGTTCAACAGGCCCTGAAGGTGCTTCTCCACGGCCTCGCACGCAGCGTCCGTTCCCTGGAGCTGCACCGTGTACTGCGCATCACCCTCCTCATCGGCTGCACCCGAAACATCGTACAACTCCCAGGAGAGACCGTCCGTGATGCCGTGCGTCACGTTCTCGTCGTCGGCATCAATGCGCTTGCCAGCACCACCGGCACCACGACCGCCCTCGCCGCGAGGAACTTGGACAACAACATTGAACTCGTTGCGGATCTTCCAAACACCATCGCCAAAGACAGCCTGACGGTAGCGCTTAGGGATCGTGAACGAACGGCTGGCAGAATTCTTGATCTTCGCCTCCAGATCGACCTTGGCCTTCTCGCAGTTCTCACGGAGACCCTTGATCGTCACACAGTCATTGGCAGCAATCGCCTCCGCAGAAGAATCAGTGGCAGCAGCATCCTTGCCACCCTCCTTCTTGTTCTTGTTGTTGGGGAACTGGATGCGGACATTGTGGCGGTTTTCGATCTCCTTGACGTTCGAGAACTGAGGTCCGATGATCTGGCGGTGCTGGGCCGCAGGGATGCTGATCGTCAACGTGGTCCAGTTGTCTTGCTCTGCAACCATCGCCAGCATCTCGGCCTTGATCTTCTCTACAACAGTCTTGTCGCCCTTCAGGAGGACAGCGTTGTTGTTGTTCTGGAACTTGACCAACGACGCCTGAGCCGACATCTCGGCGGGCCCGCCGGCCTTGGCAATGATCTCGCGCAAAGTCGATCCGCCTTGACCGATCAGAACCTTGTGGTGCTTGTTGTCGATATGAACCAACTCCTCGACCTGGGATTTTTGTGCGTCGACAATCTCCTGGATCGCCTTCTGAGCCTTCTTCAATCCGGCCTTCGGTCCACTGATCACCAAGCGGACCTCGCGCTTCTCCTCGGTCTCGCCCGAGCGACGGATGTCAATCCGGGTCTGGGAGGCCTCCTGGATCTCGTTGATCTTCGCACCACTGCGACCGACAATGTGTGGGAGCATCTTGGGCTCAACCACCATCTCCAGCGTGTTGTTGTTCTCCTTTTCATAATCCAGCAACTCGAGGAGCTCCTCCTTGGCGCCCTGGACGCCCTTCTTTCCACCACTGACCATGACTACGTTCAACTTGGACTTGTCCTCATCGTCCTCCAACTCTGCAGCCTTGGGGAACTGAATCCTGACCCCGTACTTCTCCTCCAAACGGCGGACATAGTGACCCCTGGCACCGATCAATGCACTGTGGTGCTCGACAGGGATGTTGAGTTTCGCAACAGTGGCATCAGCAATCTGCTCGACCATCTTTAGGATCGTCTCCTTGGCGGCCTCGACGTTCTTCTTGACTCCCTGAATCGTGACCTCCATCATCTCGTGGCCAGACTTCTTGCTCTTCTCGTCAGCACCACTGGCACGGTCGTTCAAATCAAACTTGACCTGGAACTGCTCCGTCAGTCTGCTGATGTTGGCGCCTCCCTTTCCGATCACATGGGGCGAGGCGGTGGCGGGGATATCAAAGTTGACAGTGTAACCGTTCATGATCTGCTGGTGCTTGGCCTCCTCGGCCAAAGCCAAGATCTCGCGGGCGACTCGTTCGACCTCATCCTTGGGTCCCTTGATAACGATCGAGTCCTCGGTCAGGGCAGGCTTCTTAGCGTCGTCAGCAGATCCAGCGCGTGGAAGTCCCAAACGGACGGATGTGGCGGGCTCCAGACCCATGATAGCGTTCAAAGTTGACCCCTTGGTACCGATGATGTTACGGTGCAGACGGGCAGGAACAGTCAAAATCTTGGTGGAAAAGTCGGTAGCGTCGTTCGCAAGCTTGTCGACCTCCTGCTTGACCGCTTCCAGGGCGGCGCGAATCTTGGCAGAGTCCTTGAGATCCGCGTCCGATGTGATCTCGTAAACCAAGACAATCTCGGGCGAGTCACTCTGGGCATCAGGGACAATGACCTCGACACCATGGGCCTCACGGATGCGGTTGATATTTTGGCCCTTGCGGCCGACAATGTGGCGGTGGAGAAGGGGCTCAACGTGGACAACATCAAAGAGAGCAGGACTCATGGCCTTGACAGCGTCAAGGACCTTCTGGCGTGCAGCCTCGGCCTCCGAACGCGCCTTGGCAACGACCTCAATCGTTACAGAGCTTTGACCTTCGGACCTGGGGATGCTGATCTGGACATTCTCGTGCTCTTGCTCAATCTTTCGCAGCCTGCTGCGGGCACTCAAATACCTGGTGACGTGGCGAGCATGATCGGCCTTGCCACCCTTGTGGGCAGCGGCGACATCGACCACCTCGACCACAGAGCTGTTGGCCTTTTCCATGATTAAGGTCAAGGCAGAGATCAATTCCGACTCGGGTCCACGAACAACAATCGAATCTGAGGAGGAGTCAACAGGGGGGATCTCGATCGTGCATCCAGTAGCGGCATGGATCTCGTTGATGTGCACACCCTTTGTTCCGACCAAGAAGCGATGCTGACGCTTGGGGATGTTGATGGTCATGGTGCGGGTGGAGTGCTCGACGTCCCGATAGTTATTCTCGATCAACTCAATCGCCTTGCGAATGTTCTTGCGATCACCCTGGATGACGATGGCAACGTCCTTGGTCTCCTCCTCGTCATCATCATCCTGAGTTGAGACGTGGAAGGGCATGTTGATCCTGGTGTTGGTCTCCTGCTGGATCGCCTGGACATTAGCGTTGCGGGCGCCAGCGATGAAGGGATAGTACGCAGGAGGAACAGTGGTCAAACGGTAGTTGATGCGGCAGACCTGAATTAACGCAAGATGAGTAATGTCAGTACGGGGTGTGGGTGATTTTTGGTCATTTCAACAAAGTGTGCCAATGTATATTGTCTTTACCTTGCTGACAATGGCGTCAATCTCTTCCTTGGCGGCCTTGATGCTCTCAACATCACCCTCGATATCAATCGACACCGTTTCCTCCTCAGCATCCAAGTCGTCCTCGTTGGCATTTGCGGGTTCAAAGGTAGTCTCCTGGTGCTCACGGCGAGGAACCTCGATTCTGACGCCGGTCTTACTCTGGATACCCTGCAATGTACGACCCTTGGAACCGAGAATATGAGCACAGGCAGACGCTGGGACAGGGTATTTGATAGTTTCCTGGATAGAAGTAATTAGAAGAAACTTGGAGGGTTAGTATCTAGTAGAAAAAAGACACAGGTTCCCCTATTTTCATTTATATCATCAATCCTCCCACAGCATAAATATAGCGATCATAACAAACAACTCGATGATGTCTTTTCGACAATACGATCTGGATGTCAGAATACCATAGCATTTCCCGGACTTCTTTTTTCCTTTTTTTTTTTTTTTTCCTTTTCAACAAAAAAGGCATCATTTCACGCACCTTCTTGGCAAAGCTGGATCGAAGATCGCGGCGGGCCTTGGCAACAGCATCGGGTCTTCCAGAGATCAAGAAGGTCGTCAAACCAGTAGCCTGGGACTTGGTCGATTCGATGCGGGCCCCGGACGAAGCCATGGCGGTCTTGACGATATCACCGACATTGGCCTTTCCAAAACTAGGGATCTGAACCGTGGGGATCTGCATACGTTCCTGAATATTACCCGAGCTCGAAATACGTGGGGGCGTCGACGCAGAGGCACCGGCAGCTGTAGCGGGCGAGCGACGCTGATCACCGACGGCACCCAATTTGCTACCGGCCGCAGACTTGACGCGCGAAGAAGGACCAGCACCCCAGGTGGAGGTCGTGGCAGCTGGACGGGCAGAGGAGGAACCGAGAGAGGGGAACATGGAGATCGAATCGAGATCGAGACCCTGGGCCTTACGAGGGGTCGACTGCTTGATCAATGCGGGCTCGGGCAGGGGTTCGTCGTCAGTTAGGGCAGCAGAGGCGGCGGCGGCGGCAGTCGCGGCAGCGGCAGAGGCAGCGGCGGATTCGTCTTGGGCTTGAGCCTGGTGCAGCATCTGCATCTTTGCGGCAGCAGAGGCTGGTGCCTCGGAGGCGTGGAGAGAGTTGTCAGGGTGCATGTTGTGAGAGTGCATGGGCTTGGGGAGCGAAGGGGGACCGGGATGGAGAGGTGGATCGGGAGTAGAGGAAGGCGAGGGGAAGAATCAGGTCAGGGCCAGAGTACAGAAGAACGACGAGTCAGCTAGGTGCACACTTGATGGGACAAATGTGCAAGCAAGCAGCAAACAGCGGGGAAGGGGCAAGAGGGAGAGGGGGGAAGAGTCAGATGGGAGAGGGATGAAGATGGAAAGATGATGAAGAAGGCGGTAGAACGCTCTTATACTCTCACCAGATGATGTGATCTTCTCCACGCCATACTCTGCAGTCTGCACTGCACACCCGACTATTTCGATTCAGGTGCTGTTCCCCGTAAGTGCGCTGCAAAAGACCAATTGGCGTCCGCCACTGGGGGGGAGGCGGGGGGAGGGATGGGAACACGGAGAGCAGCGAACTAAAAATGGTGGCGTACAGAGAGAGCCCTTATGAACCGTATTTCCAAGTACAACGTTCCTCAGGAACACAACGCATACAGCGCACATCTGGGACAAAAGGGGGAGGGACCTTCCTTCCCGCGATCCGCGAACCTCCCAAGACGCGTCGAACCATCTTTAATTTTTTGCTTCACCCATGTACCCATGCATCCATGCACCCATGCCATTCACGATCAAATCGCTCGTTGTATGCTGAACTCGTCCTTTTATTATGCAAAATGTAGATACAAAGTAGAGAAATGATGATGATGATGATGATGATGATGATTTTTTTTTTTACAACGGAGGTGTCGACGTCAACGAGGCCGTGTTAAGATCCTGCAGCTCCACATCAATCGCTCTGCTAATAAAATCCCTCCTAAGTGTCAAGTCGATTCCATAAACACCCTCCAGCTGCTGTCGGATCTTCTTCTTCGTAACCGTCATCAGATCCACGCCCTGGAGTAGCTCATGGATCTTGCTCACCAGCTCCGCATCCGTCGGTCCAGTTCCAGTTCCAGCTCCAGCTCCAGCTCCAGCTCCACCACTTGCTCCCGTAACAACTGAACCGCTACGGGGCGAGGACATCGTCGACAGCGCAGGGGAGCCCATCATATGCAGCTGATTTGTGCTCAGCAGTGGAGATCCCATTGTCGTCACAGGGAAGCCGCCAAGCTGGTGCGATGGTGGCTGCATTGGAGAGCCCATACCCATCATCATCGGGGTCGACATCCCAAGGGGTTGTTGTTGCGCCAAAAGCTGTTGCTGCTGCTGCTGGAGCTGCATTTGTTGCTGTTGAAGCTGTTGCTCCAAATGTGCGTTATACAGTTGCTGCTGTTGCAGTTGAGGAGATCCCATCATAGGTACAGCTACCAGGCCTGGTGAGCTCATGACTGGGGTTCCCATACCGATGTTTGCGACTCCGAGGCCGATTGGTGCCGCAAATTGATTCATTTCGATCATGTCGCCGGGCGCACGCTGCTGTGGTTGGTGCTGTGACACGTATGGGCTTCGTTGTCCAGGCATGAGCATTCCCTGTGAGTCCATAAACGGTCCAAGACCAGGCCCTTGTTGCTGTTCGGCATAGAACTGTGCAGGCGAAGGTGAGGCCGAGCGAAGGTGTCCCCCTGCAGTGGCGGAAATATAGCCTGTGGGAGTCTGCGAAGGCAGGCGAGATTGGCGTCCAGATCGGAGATCGATCGCGTTCGAGTCCCGATAGTAGTCGTGCGCCAATTCATCACCGCCAAAACCAGAGATCACACTCTTGCTGCCGTCGTGGTCAAAGTAAGGCGAAGGCGACCGTCCGTGAAGAGAGTCCAGTCTGCTGTACTGGTTCGATTGAATGCCGTTACCAAGTAAGGTCGAGTGGTCGTATCGTGAGTGCATGATCGTCGATCCCGTCTCGTCCTGGTAGCTGCTGCCCACCACTGAGCCCGATCCATCATGTGTGTTATAGTAGCCGCTTCCTTCCAACTGCATCATCCTCTCAGCCTCAAAGGCCTCCATACTCTTGAGCGGGATGGAATTGGGATCGAAGCGCGTCTGAGCGTCGGCAGCCATAACCGTCTTCTTGCCATCTGCTCCAACCACCTGACGAGTGTTACCCCAGGAAAAGTCGTCAAAGTGCCAGAACGAGTACAGAGGAATAAACACCGAGAAGAAGGGCATCGCAATGATGTAAATGATCATCCATCCGATATGTTGCCAAGCACCTTTGAGTATGAAAATGAGGGCCTGTAGACCATACACGGCAGCCAAGATCGCCACGGCTACGATCGGCAGAGGCTGTAAATGGGTAGCGACCACAACGATTAGGTAAACCAGGTAGACGAACGAGGCAGGAAGGATCAACGTTCCCAAAAGATCAATAAAGACAATGAAGCGCATCGAGAAGCAACAGAATCCGCAGAGTTCAGAGAGCACCATCAACTCGCCCAGGTTGTGGATAGTAGAGTTGATCCAGCGACGACGCTGAGACAAGAGCACCCTCCATCTGTCGGGGGCAACAGTCTTACAGGTGGCGTCCGGCGTGAACTTGAGCTTGTATCCAGGAAAGTACTTCATCATCAACGTCGTCAGGTACCGATCCTCACCCAGAGACAGCAAGTTGCGTTTGTGGAGCGTATCAACATCGTTGTGGCTGTAATCGCGCAAGATGTTGTTCGACACGATCAAGGGCTTTCCGGCGACGGTCAAGATACGGTACATGGAGAAACAACCAGGCAAACAGGTGACGCTTCCAAACAGGGACTCGAACGACTTTGCTAGGTGATGAGAGATGTAGTACTCGTAGACCTGGATCATGGTCGTGAAAGAATTATCCTCGTTTGCAACCTGGGTCTCTCCGCAGAGTCCAATGACCTTGGAATCGGCAACCATGCATGCGACAAGTCGGTTCAGCGAATCAGGCATGACCTCTGTATCGGCATCAACTTGCAGGATGTACTAGAAGAAGAAATCGAGAAGCAACGAATATCCGGGACATCAGTCAGTAACTAGTCATATCTTTATCGCGAAGGAGAAAAGCATTCTCCTCTCTCTCTCTCTCTTTTTTTTCTCTCTCTCTCTTTCTCTCCAAAGACTTACCTCGTAGAGATTCGGGTGAACTCCGATGACATACTTCATATGGTGATACATCTCCAGCTCGAGAGGACACATCTTCTTGCCAGTGTGGATACTGTTCAAGAAGTTCATCAAAATCAACTGGGAGTCGCGCTTTCCACGGTTTCCGGGTTTGCTCGTCTCGTTGGGCATGCCGACCTTGACGACAACCAGGTACGGAACCAGGTGTCCCTCGAACTCGTAAAGTCCCGAGTACACCTTACAGGCGTTGAGCTGCTGACCACCGAGGCCCAGGGCTTTGTATGTAACTGGCTCGACCTCGACGCCCTCCGTTGGCTGCCAGCCCAAGACATCAAGCACAATCTTGGGAGTCGGCAGCTCATTTCCAGATCCAATAATCATTCCATCCGCAATAACTAGCAGTAACTTGCGTTTGTCGTCGTATTCCAGTGCTGCAAGGGACTGGAGAGTCTTCTTGAGCGAGTCTTCGCCCTCGGTGTAACATGGGACCTGACAGATGACGAACTTGTCGTAGTGGATGGGTTCCCGCTTGGAGGTCAACTGCAGAGCAGCCAAAAACTTGATCAAAATAACTCCTCCCATCAGTGCGGAAGCTGCAACCAGGACCCAGTTACCGAATTGACACTTAACGGTATTGCGCTCGTCCAGGACGCCGGCATAGAACGCTCGATCGAGACAGGTGAATGTATCAGCCTGCAGCTGTTGGGGGAGCTGCTTGAACTGCTTGGTAATGTCGGTGCCCTGGTTGTTTATGAAGAGATCGACGACCGATTTGTCGAGGAATGGCTGGAATGTGTGGTCGGGGATGAATCCACTGGGTGGGTTCGCGTTCACAATATACGTAGTAAGGTCATAAATCTTGTCATGGATCATGGCCCAGGTGTTGGGACCCGTTTGGTTCGTGAAGTCCTCTGGCTTGATAGCGATCATCCCCTTCTTCATGGTGTTCAGCTTGGGCAAGGCAGTGTTCGGATAAAACTCTGGATCGCTGTACCATGGAAGACTAGTATCCCCGTTAGTAGACGAGGGTCCATGTATCGGCATTCCCAGATTTTGAATGGGGTCCTTTGGGAGCAACAGTAGGGGAGCGGTAACAAGATTGGGACACGCCCAGCGGAAATCCACTGGGAACAAAGGAGTCAGATCGAGCCCAGCGATATTGGCCATGTAGGGTGGTGAAGATGGGTATTGGCCCGAATGTGTTCCTGAGTGGTCGTTCCTAGCAAACTTGGAGATATCGTACACAGTTCCCCGGACCGAGACCCAAAAGTCCGCTTCATTGGTATGGTACTGGATCTGGTCCGGATTGTACATCTCATTGAACGTTGGGCAGATCACCTTGGGCAGACCAATGATGAAGAAGATGACGATTGCCGATAGCCAAAAGACTATCAGGCACAGAGTGACCTTCTCGCGCCATGCCATCTGGATATCTGGGCGCTTCATCCTTCCACACAGACTAAGACAGAATGACGGGATCCAGAACGTGTTCAGCCATACAAAAGAAACCCAAATGCGGCGTGTCTTTGTCCTGGCTTTGGGAGGCTGCACTGACTCGTCGGCTTTGGTGCGATTGAGGGCCAACGTAGGCTTCCTCCTGATTTCCGACTCACCCTTTTCGTGTCCTTGGAACATCAATTGTCTATCGAATAGAGGCAGACATGTTGTTAGTATAGCCGAAACCCAAATAGTCGGTTGCGTTGTTGTTCTCATATCGATTCTAGTATGATCGGAGCCCTGCTTACCTCTCACTCTCCGATCCTGGAGTACCAACGGTCTTGTTATCAAAGAATTGGGACTCTGAATCGTTACCAAAGTGTTGGAATCTTTGATCGGAGCCAGCAAATCTGGACTGGGCTGCCGGGTACGTGTTCGAGGCATGCGATGCGTCCGAGTAGTCAGAGGCGGTTGACTGTGCACTTGATCGCTTGCTTGATAAAAGTTGGGTATTGGCATTCAGTTCCTCGCCCGGGCGCTGGTATGCCTTTGCTGGTGGTAACATCAGGTTGGAAAACTCACGCTGCTCGTCCGCATCGACTTCAAAGGCCAAGGACCCTCCTTCAGTCTTCTCGATAGCCATACATCCATCTTCAAGCGTCTTCCACGTAGAAAGCGACATCCAGACGTACTCATTCCCGACAGCGCCATCCAATGGCATCTCCCAATTCAACAGGCCAACTGCGGCTCTGCACCGCTCCACATCCGAGGCATTTTGGTCGATGTTGAAACCCCATCGCTCGAAGAGAACTCGGTATCGCTGCAGGAACGATCCATGATCAAAGGAGACACAGTACTCGGCTTGCATCTTCGATTGCACATGAATGGCCAGTTGATAGGATTCGATCTGCGCACGCACTATGACTGGGTCACACTCGATAAGACCCTCCATCATCCTGTTGTTGGGGCGAATGTGAATGACTTGATAGATCTGGGTGCCATCCAGGGATGTACAGATATCCCTGAGGGTCGAGTGGAGCTGCTTGATGACAGTAGAGACCTCGTTCTGCGCCTTTCCTCTCCTCCTGGCTTGGACCTGTGCCTGCTTGGGCTTCCTAACACTTGGCTGACGCATGGGCATTGTCGACAGCTGTGCTTTGACAATCGTTTCTTTGGATCGGGGATGGCTCTCCATCACGAGTGCTGGGTTGGACTCGAGCATTTGCAGCATGAAGGGGCTGGTGGATGTCTGGAACAACGATACAAAATCAGGCGATAGAATATCCTGGTTCTTGATGAAGAATGACTCCAGGTTGTAGTGCACATCTCCTGTGTAGTGACGGATTCCAAAGGACGATGCGTAGGTCGATCCACTGATGAACGAGGAGTTGGACTGGAACGTGCGGTTCAATCCAGGGAGCATGGAGATTGACTCTGCATCGCCGGATTGTTTGCTTGTCTTCAATGTGGAGTCATGAAGGAAGCGGACTAAACCTCTGGGGGATGCATCCGTCAGAGTGTCGAGTCCACAGAGGAGGTCGATAGTTTCCTGGTTTTTCTCATTCAGGAGGGGTTCGAAAACCTGAAGACCGTCCGTGGCCATGGTCTGAACATCCTCGATAAAAAGCTTTTGCTGCAGGAATCCCTGGAGAGCCTCGTTGCAAAAGTTGGTGCAAAAGTTCTCGAATCCAGTGGGCGAATGGCTGTCAAATCCAGGCATATCCAGAATTCCAATGAATGAAACTTGATCTTCCTGTCGCCGACACATCTGTGTGTTCATAGCCTCAACCATGTAGGTGAACAGCAGACTATAGAGTGCACGGGCCAGGCTGTCGCATTGCTTTTTGGCAGAAGCAGAGTCAAGAATCACCGTGCACATGTCCCCTGAAATCATTTTTCTTTTGTATGAAAGAGCCTGTTGCAACGCATCTAGTGCGCATTGGAATAAAAAATAATAAAAAAACTGTTAGTTTCTTATAGCGGGTAACGGAAAAAGAATGAATCGTTCGTCCCCTTTTCTGATATTGTAAATCCGTCAGCCATACCTTCTTCGACGCCGAGCAGATCGGCTACAAGGTCAAAAATGTGCTTCTGGCGCGGCACGGTCGCCATGAGCGTCGGGCCTTCCGAAGAGTCAATGAAATCGATCCTGCCCAAGTGTAAAATAGCGGCAAGTAATTGCCAGATCTGCGAGATTGCCTTTGGCTTGAAACCCATTGCTGCAAACGCTGGTGTGAGATCCCGGTTGTTGGTCATGTGTTCCATGTGAGGGCGATATGGCAGGTAAGGATAGTCCGTGATGTTGTTGCCGAGTCGAAGTCGCCTCCGGTCCTCGCTGGAGACATCCTTGAACATAGAATAAAAAATCTGGAATGATCCCAAGTGGCTCTGCGCATTGGTAACCTTGTCTTGGTTGAGCATGAAAGGAAGAAGTTTTGCGCCAAAGAGTCGTCCTCGAGCCTTGAATTGAAGCTCCAGATACAGGGAGTGACAGGAAGCATTCGGGCCATGGTCTGAGGGACAGTTGCCAAAGGCCTCGAGGATGTCGGTTGCGGCTCTGACCTGGGTCCCAATCTTTGAGGTCTGGCTGCTCTTTGTGCCAAGACGGATCAGTTGCTGGACCAGATAGCGCTGGGACGTGGTCTTTCCAGAACCGGTGATACCGCTGGTCGCCGGTAAAAAGGGAGGACGATGTTAGTTTTCCTGACAATAAGGTTGAGGAATATCGTCAAATCAAATAAAAAGGACACCGTCCCCCCACCCCCCTGGGTGCTCTCCAAGGTTCAAACAAACTAAAAAGGACCAGTGCATTCAGATGAAACATAATGAGAACAGGGAACTCTTTTGCACCGAGCGTACCTCAGAACAACGCCCTGGTCCAGCTCGGTTCTCCGCATGTGGTAGTAGATCGTGCTTGCCAACTCATACACATGTGGCTCGAGGGAGGAGGTCGAGGCGGTTATGGAGGGAGCATTGGTGCTGCTGTTACTGCTACTTCCCATTGCCTGATCGATATATTGCTGGCCAGTGGCCTCGGTGTAGATGTTGAGGGCCTGGTTTGGGTTCAAGGCGATCAATGTAGAAGTGCCGATGCGGGTGTAAGGCAGCCCCAGCTGGTGCCGTCTTGTGAGGACATTGAAGATCTTGTCCTGTGTCGGGGGCTCATTATTTGTGTTCTCGTGCCTGGCCAGTGCGACCAGATCCTGAGCAGGAAGCATGTTTTTGGGGGAAGTGTCTTCTGATCAGGGTTTGGTTCAGAGGTAATCAGCAATGGGGAGGGGAGTGAACACCGAGTGAGACTTGACGATGAGTGAGTGTGAATAAAGGATGTGGGCTGAGAACACAGGAGGAGGAAGGGGGGGGATTAAAGGGCGGGGGAATGAAGGTCGAGGGACGACACCAATAGTGATATAGTGATATGGCGATTTGAACAACGAAGACTGAGCAATGAAGAAGGGAAAAAAATGCAGACCAATGATGAGGGAAACAAAGAGGGAGGCAGGGGAGCAAAGAAAGGGAAGAAAGGGAAGAAAGGGAAGAAAGGGAAGAAAGAGACGAAAGGGACGAAAGGGACGAAAGGGAAGAAAAGAGTGGGAACGATGGGCATCGAACGGGTCGCTGTGGGCGTCAGTGTGTGTCCGCCCTCGGTGCCTGCGCTATTTGTCTATTTGTTATTTTTTTAGAGAGGAGAGGAGAGGAAGGATGGGGGATGTAGATTCAATTTAATGCACTATTAGCCTTGTGGTCTAACAATAAAACTGCATGGATGGATGGATACACGCAGAAATACACTCCGGCGTACCCGCTCTTTGGGTGCACGCAACACAACACACGAAAGAGGGCCTGCCTGAAATGGGCTGTAAAAATAGAACACTGTAAAATTAGTTTCTCCTGCTGGACGCCAGCTCCCATCCACCATCGCCCTCACCGCCAGGTCCTGTCACATCCTCTATCTTCACATCCCCTAATAACCACATGCTCTAAAATGGTTTTTCTTTTTCATATCCAGGGGCAAAAGAAGACGACCTGATTCACCACCAGTAGGAGGGACATCGATACTCTATATGATCCATAGCATGTAGTCGAATTGTATAAAGTCACTGCTCTTTTTGCATGTCCGCTTTATTTCATTCGTCTACAGCTACACCGATTGCATGGCCCTAGCCTGCATCCTTCGCGCAGCCTCCTCTGGGGATATACGGCCCATCATCGCGTCCTGGATCATTGGGTACAACGCGTCCTCCAGCTCCGGATATGATCTCAAGTGCGGAAACATCGCCATGTCGTTCTGTACCGTCTCCACAAGGCAGTTCAGTCTCTCACTATCCAACTGCTGCTCCGCTGATCCTGAGCCCCCACTTGCTGCCACGTTTTTCGCCTCAGTCTCCTGCAAGAGCCGTTGCAAGGCCGCTTTCTTGGTCGGGAAACTGCCAGACTCGGATGCCTCGATCCACTGCTGATCGTCTCGCACCAGGAACTTGAGCAATTCCGCAGCCTCTTCACGGTGTCGACAGCTCTTGGGGATTGCAAAGGAGTGCATACCCGAATAGGCCGATCGCTTCCCGTTGGCGCCCACTGGGTATCGCATCACCTTGATTCTAGCGTCTGGCTCTTGGCTTTTCAACTTTGCTTTCATTCCCTCGTAGAACGAGGGCCAATCCGCAACCATGGCTACTTTTCCCTCTGAGAACAGCGCTGATACTTCGTCAAAGTAGTATTCCTCAATGTCCTGCGGAACTGCATTGGACGTCACTAGCTCCCGCATGTACCTCAGCACGTTCGCAACTACAGATTCCTGAAAGACTGGCCGACTCTGTTGATCAAATAACGCTTCTGAGTGCTCCATCTCCATCATGGCCAGCTCATAAAACGTCCCAAACAGTCCCGACTGCTTGCCAGGGAAGACATATCCTTGTATGACATCTGTTCCTGGGCCTGAAGCGTTCGTGGGTGTTGGCAGCGCTGCCTTCCGGACCTTGCTCGCAACTGTCAAGAGGTCCTGCCATGTCCTTGGGGCGGCCAACCCGAGTCGCTCAAAGATATCCGCGCGATAGAATAAGACTCTGCTATCGACCATTCGTGGTAACTGCATCAGTTTGCCCTGAACCTTGGAGGCTTCCATTGCGGATTCGAGGAATTCGCTCTGCTCTTGCGCTGAGACGAGATCGTCACCCAGGTCCTGCAAGAAATAGGCCTGAGAGGGCGCGTATTTGATGTGTGTTGACACCAGATCCAGGTCTGGCTCTGGGATCGGTGACTCGGCCGAAAAGGCTGGATCATATTGCTGAAAAGTCGAGGTCAGATAGTCATTGAGCTCTGGATGGGAACCGCGAAAGACGATCTCGACATGGTGTCCGGTCTCCCGTTCAAAGAGTGCTAGCCTTTCATAGAGCCGATCATACTGAGGACCGCCTAGGATATTCAAGAGAGAGGATGAGCACTCGCATCTGATTCATGGGGTTGATTCGGATCCTGAATCACTCACCGACGACCGCAATCCTGAGTGTGCATGGGCCTCCAGAGGCGTTCGTTTTCTTCATCGCTTTTCTGATTCAGAGTCTTTTTGTCGTGTGCTGGTCGCAACTCTCATCGCAAACGGGGTTTGCACCAAGTTTCCCGTCACAATATCGGACTTGGTTTGCCAGAAACTCCTCCTCCCTCCAAAGCAGCGGGACTACCTGTCTACATACAATCCCATCCCCTCGTTACCACACTGGATAGCACAATGTCCGACACGTACCCGCTATGCGGCTCGACCTCCAATAATCGCGTACTGGCTGAACGCTCAACTCGATACATAATCTTTATCATATTCTCGCAAAAAACCTGAGTATTACTACTACTCGCTGTTTATTTGATATTCATTGAACGGCGTATCCAAGGGAATGGGACGAATCCATTCTGTACACCCCAGCCGCCAAATCCATTGTTGTATCCGCCAAGTCTATTGTTGACGAAACCTCCTCCGAACAACATGTGAGAATAAGGCTGACTAGGACCGATCTCGACGCTTGGCCGCTTCTCCTTCAACGTTGCCTCAAATGCCTCGCGCGATTTTTCATCTGATACAAGAGCCCTGGAGACCACCTCAATCGCGACATAAACCAGACTTGTCCAGTTCTCGGCCATCCACTCTGCCTCCTTGACGCCCATACGGATGTTGTATTGCCGTGGCAGGCGCAATGTCTTGAGGTTCGACAATCCAGACAACGGCATCAAGTATCCATTCTTCAAGATAAATGGATCGAACATGCCCGTCCTCAGAATCAATTCCTCCAACTGCGTCAAGCTCCCGATCTGTGAAAACAAATAGTCCGTACAGGTCTTCTCTGCCGAAGCATCCCAGCGTTTCCCTCCAGGGACCTTGAAGGTTCCCGTAGTGTTGCAGGTCACATCTAGATACTTCAACCCAGTGCAGGCCCACGAAGTCTTCTTTGTCAATTCCAGGTCCGGGTCGTGCGTCGATGCGTTTGGTAAAGTGACCGTAGCCGCGAGGGACTTCAACGCTGGGAGTCCGCTCAAAAGCAACGTGAGGGATGGGAGGTCCATGGTGAAACCGGGAGTATTCATGGTTGTCAGTGTCGTACCATGATACTCCGTGATTGTTCGAATTACGCGTTCGTCCAGTGCCACTGGGTACCCCACTGCGATCGTCTTCAGGCCACCTTCCATCCAATCCCCATCACTGTCGTACTCGCCGGTGCCAGACTTGGTTGCTCGAAATGTTTCCAAGAAAAGATCTTCCGACATTCCACTGTAGGTAACGCGGCCATGGCTCCAATGCTTGAGTTTCGGACATGTTCTCTCCTTGATTATCTCTACCACTTGTTCCATTGTCTGCTCCTGGCACAGTGATGGCAGGCTGAGGCTCTCCAACATGGGACATTTCTTTAAAAACAATGGCAAAATCGACAATTCGAGGCTCCCGTCGGTCGCCTGGAACTCCAAGTGCTGGACCTGGGTGTCCTGCATGCGCTTCATGGCCTCCGTTGCGAGCTTGAGCTGAGCTCCTTCGTCTCCTGGCATAAAGTAGGTCGCGCTTTGCAGAAATACTGATAGGAATTTGACTCGGCTACATATCTCCAGAATATCCTGAATGACAACCGGTTCGATAAATTCAATGAGGTGCAATTCCAAGCTCTTTAGCCGAGTCAGCGACTGAAGAACCCGCCTCAGTTCTTGGTAGACATCCACATGGTCGAGATTGAGCGATATCTTGAGATGCTCCAAATGAGGCGATCCTGCCACCATTTTCAAGGTCGCAAGGTCCACTCGACGACCGTGGCGACCGAAACCGGGTCCAAACTCAAGCGACGTGAGGTTAGGATATGACCAAACGTAGGGCTGAGCCGCCGAGTTAAATTGATATCCTTGGAGGGACTGGATATGACCTTGATGTCGTTTCAGACCCTCAGATGAGATCGTTGAAAGTTGCCCGAATGAAAGTTGCCCGAATTTGATGGAGCGCCAGAGGGCAGGAAGGAACCAGGCAGACCACTTCTTGGAGACGAGAGCACACTGTGCTAGATCATTGTTGGAGAGGTATTTTGCAACTTCGCTCTTGACCAGAGGGCTGTCAAAGATGGATTCCTTTTCCATTGTTGGCGTGGAGGGTAGGGGGTGATTGAAAGTAGATGACGGAGGAAGCAAGATGGGAAGGAAACAAGGTGGGAAGGAAGCAAGATGCGAAGGAAGAATAGATGACTGATAGAGGGAAGGTGGCGATCAAAACTAAAGGGCGCTAATGAAGATATGAAGAGCGTCTTATATGTAGGAAAAGCCTTTGTGTGTTCGACCGCTTGGGTCGCATCTGAGCCATAAATGGAAGTTACCATCATTTTCTCAGTTGATTTTTGCCACCGAAGCACTCATTTAAACCTTTCGCCACCATTTTCTTAGGACGCCTGTGGAAGCTCTGAACCCATCCCCCTTTGTTCAATTTTTCACTGCAGAGGGGCTGGGACAAAATCTTTCACTTTCTTATGGGGTCACCCTTTAGTCCATTTTGCCCAAAAAAGGAAAGTGCTCGGTGGTTTTTTGTTCACGTGATCGTACGCGGGCTGCCCAAGCTTATTTCTTGCATCCTCTTCCTTCATGTCTCCTGTTACAGTGACAATCCACCTGATGAAGAGACCCGGCGCACGCCTCGCAAGTGCCTTCCCAAAACTCCCAACACTCCTGGAACCCTCCGCAGGACTTACAAAGCAAGGACACATTTTGTTACAGGAGTTGGGAGTTTGTAGCTGTTGGGGTTGTCACCCTTCCTGACGTCCTGACCCTCAATACTGTATAGCGCAATGACATACCCACAGGTCTGATCTCCTTCAGCGCCAATATTCCCGTCGCGTCGTCCTTAGGAGGGAGTAATCCAGTGAGTACATACCGATGATTGGCATGACAACAGTCACTCATTTCCAAGCACAATCCTAACGAACTTCTTGTCCTTTTATGTTTTTCTCTCTATAGGATACTCCGCAAGGAGCTACTGAAGCCCCGCCCGTCCTGACTGGAGCGTGTTCCACTCCAGCGGCATCAATCTCCTTGCAGCTCGCCATGGCGTTCACCGCTGCAGAAGAATCGTTCGCAGTCAACATGGCCAAATCACCCTTGGACCAAGGCATAAGTATTCGCGCGTTCAAAGAAATTGTGCCTGCAGCTTTAGCTTCGCCATCTGCCAAACGTGTAGGTTGTCAAGCGTTACTTGTGGACAAAGATCAGACCTATTAATGCAATATGCGTTTTGCTAAATGTATTGCTCAAAACAGTTGGCCAATATTAGGGCAACCGAGATGGAGCGACAGCGACTTGCCTTGGAGGTATGAGACATACTGTTTTAAATGTTTATGCTCTCTGGCGAGAACCTGATATGGTCAAGAACTCATCATTCATTATACATCCTATTGTTTACTTAGATGGTCAGCTCTTCTTCGACGGAGAGCCAAGGATCTGACCCAACGAGCCAAGGATCTGACTCAACGAGCCAAGGATCTGACCCAACTGTGCTGATCTCAGCTTCCAGTGGCAAAACACGTGTAAGCAGCCAACTTGAATTTTAAAATGCATTGACTTTGATGAAAATGAAACGAGCTACAGTATTCAGTGCCTTAGCTTCTAACAGATGGATGTATAATTTTCAGTCCTCCATGTCAGACAAACTTTGTACGGTTCTAGAATGTATTAAAGCAGTGGATTTGTCCCTGCCTAGATTCCTTGTTGAGTTGTTCAAGTCTGACGACAAGACAGCTACTGACTACACCAATCCGTTCTACGAGGCACATGGTCCACGGCGACTTATACAGATCTGGGACGAGCAGCTCCGACACGACAAAAGGCATGAGCGGTGGGACGAATCGTTTGTCAACAGTGCCGTCGATGTCGTCGTCGACCGCACTCTCAGGCATCTGGGTGACAATGATGTCAAAAAAGAATGGCGGCTTCCACATACCGATGTCACAGAGGAGAAGATCGCCGGCTACTTGCTTGACGACTTTGGTTTCCTCAATCGCTACGCTGCTGGCACGGCAGATGACAAGAATGATGGAATGGTGGAGGACAAGGCACATATGGATGGAGGTCCCAACACCAGTGGCAAAGGCGGTGGCGCAAAGTACCTGACGCGTTTCTTGAAGGGCGTGCTCAAAGAGGATGTACCTGTCCAAAATCTCACAAAAAGAGCACTGAGGCGTCACCGTGCTCGGAAGCCATCATCAGTCCGCGGCTGCATTTCAGCAATGCTGCTCTTTATGTCGTCACAAAAAGCCAGTGCTTTCCAGACAATCCTTGGCATTTTTCTGCACTGCACTGGGTGTCCGAGGAGAGTTCTTGAGGTCCTTTCTGGCCTTGGGCTTTCGATCTCGTACAATCAAGTTCGCAATTGCCTCAAGTCGCTGACCAGGGATGCGTGCAGGCGTGTAATACAGGCAGTCAAGGAGAACGACTTTTATGTCGTTTACGATAATATCAATATCGCCGCTAAGCACCATCATCAGCGCGTCAACAAACGGGATATTTTCGACAATGGCACTGCTGCCACCATCATCCTTTTACCCTCAGAAAAGAGCAAGCCCGCACCTACTCTTTTTCGTCCAGTGGAGGAGAGGCCGGAGGCAGATGCCAACCTTTTTTTCCCCAACAACGGCGACCTTGAGGTTTTTGTAAATGCTTGCCAATCGCATGTTTCGGACTCCATTGTGCGCTCGTTACCGGAAGGATCAACAACATCCGTCATTCTTGTTGTTCCTGTCGAGCAACTTGACCTCACCAAGAGTACTGTTTTCCCACTTCCAGTCATGAAGCTAGACGAGTCTACCATTGCAGGAAACCTGTCAGTGTTGCAGAGGATTACGGAGGTCGGTCTCAATTTACCAAAAGCCTGGTTTGCCGATCCCAAGAACACAATTTTCGCTGGGGATCAAATGACAGTGTCAAGGCTGCTGACGCTCAAGGTCCACCGGTGCTTCGATCCTGATCCCTACCATAGCCTGTCGTGGGTACGTGAAAGTCAAAGTTAATAAAGAGTGATGTGAGGCGGAAAGAAGGTGCTTGATTGTTACACAGGAGCATAGCCCTGTATATACATTCCTTGACAACTAAAAGTATCCCTCAAACTTGACAGGTACATCCTGTTCTCCAACTTTTTCATTTGGAGATGAATTTGTGTGGTACCATTTGGAGGACTCACCTTGGCTCCAAAGAGTTTCCTGGGACCCTGGCATCGATTGCATGTCTGCTGAACCGTAAGGGCCTAAGCAGGGACAAGATCATCTTTCACGCCACCGATGAGCTCTTGCGGGTAGTCTTTGATGCGAAGGTGCAGTTGCTCTATCAGTCTTTGCGGGATCGTGGTGTATCAAAGGAGCTTTCTGTTCAGAGCATTACAGAAAGCATCACCAAGTCATATTGCTCTCAGCCTTCGCCTTTGCTCCTTGGCCTTCCCTGTACTACCGCCAATACCAACGCTCTTCTTTTCCTGCGCGATGTAGCCGTCTACATTGAGCTTGGCGCGGCCATCAAAGCTGGCGATATTGGCCGCATCAAGCATTTGCTGCCATTCATCGTTATAATGATGCATGGGGGTGGCAACACCAATTATGCCCTAGAGCTTTTACGCCTCCTCTATGGCATTCGCTATCTTTGGACAGATGAATGGGCGAGAAGGGTCCTGTCAAGTATGCTTGTGAACCCGAAAGGCGTCGCTGGTGGATGGATGGCAACGGACATGATGCAGGAAAACCACAACTATCTCATCAAAGCCATTTTTTCAGCCAAAGGCTCGAACATGAGCTGGGAATACCTCCAGGACGCCATTTCCACCAACATCAAAACCTTTCAGGTCATTTCACGGATGTTCGAACGAGAGGTCGGCATTCGTTCCAACAGCACTAGACACAAAAAGCCGTCGACTGCATTGGATATTTCGAGGATCCAGGAGAACTTCCAAGGCTGTGGCATTTTATGGACTTCCGGCGAGTGCGAACAAGGACCACCGGTGGTTGATCTTCAGCGTGTTGGCGAAGAGAAGATGGTCGGAGGCGCGATAGGAAGATTTTTTGATAATCATACATCACTGTGGGGTAATGCTGTGGACATTGAAGAAGCCGAGGATCTCGAAAATGTTATCGATCAGAATTAAAATATAATACTATTTTGAACATGACTTTGTTATTGTTGCCGTTATACTGCTCTGAATACGCAGATGAAAGTATTAAAAAAAGCATGACTAACTAAACAAAGGATAGAAGAAGAAAGTAAGGAATAGCGGATGTAAAAATAAAGGGAGGAGGAAAGAGGAGTTGGAAGTGGAGGGAATAGAGTGGGCAACTGGTTGCGGTACGCGGACAAAATTATCTATCCTCCCCGTCATCACTTCCATCGTCATTGCCGTCAGAGCCGTCGTTTGGTAGGTCTGGAGCCAACGCCACTATCAGCTGGCTACTTGGTATGAGACCATCATCAATATTCTTGTTGATCTTAGCCAGCAGCTGTGCGATCTCGACGAACCAATTCTGAGGGTTTCCACGAGGAAACCAGAGGGAAGAAGATGCGAAGGTTGCGACTGCCTCAGCAGTTCTGATCCCTGAGAATTGCTGCGAGAGCTTCTTGGCAGTCATGTCCGGCAGGATCCCGGTTTCTGCACCATTGGCGTAACGTTGTGTTGCTTGCCACCTCTTGAAGGCATCCTTCCTCCATGATATCAGTTCCCGTAATGCCAGAGCCTTCTCCTCTTTCGAGCGTTTCGGCCATCTTCCTCTGATGACAGATTTGGCGACAATGCGACTAGGGAGTAGAGGGGGACAATTAACAGTATGACATGCTGAACAGTTGTTGTTGCAAACACGAATCTCGTTGCCAAACAAGTCATCGATAAACCTCCAAAGACATTTTTTGCTGTGGTGATCCAGGAGGAACTGGCGGACTTGTGCATCTGAAACAGTCTTGTGAGAGACTGGCGGAGCATAGAGAATCGCACGGCCGTTGATATCCTTGCGTCGCGCTGCACGGCCAAACCGTTGCACCAAGCTTGTCATGTCCCTTGGAAAACTAAATGATTCACAAGTGCATATCGAAATATTTTAGAGATAATAACTTGTGTTATGTTTTGGGCTCACAAGATATAGAGATCAGAACCGGCCCCTTCCAGCTCAGTCTTGAAAGGCTGAGCTGAAGTGACTCGGTATTGCTCTGGTCTACTTGTTTTATTAAGAAGTGTCGTTCTAGCGGACTGACGACCCAAATATACGACAACTTGTTTCGTTCTGATTGCTCAATTTCCATGCTATTAACATATGAACTTACCCGTACTGAATCACTTGAACAACATCCTGTATGTCGACACCCATTCCTGCAGCCTCGGTAGCCAGCAGGATCAGGATGTCCCCATCTACAAATTTTTTCATGGTCGTCCTCTTGTACTGTTCATCTAGGGTTGAAAAGTACAACCCAAGTTTTCCTTGCAGGTCGGGCCTTATCCACTGCAGACATTTGAAAACACGGATGAGAACAGCGATTGAATCAAAGTAGACGATGGTCTTCTCTTTGTGCAAAAGTCTATGGAGGCCTTTCATGGCATCCTTGGGCTGAGTGTGCACCTCGAGGCGCAAGTTCGTGCGAACCTCGTTCACACGTATCGTCGTTGCCTTGGACAAAAAAAGCTTGGCCTTAGTTTTTAGGATAGCGTCCGCTGTGAGAGTCGCTGTTAGCCCTACAAATGGTACTCCAGGTGCCCAGACACGCAGATCACCTAGGCGTGTATAGTCCTCGCGAAACTTGACCCATTTCTCGACGCAGTGCACTTCATCGATCACTATTGCGGCCAACAATGATCGCCATTGCTCGTTCCGCCAAAGATCTTGAAGCAAATTTGCCTTGCTGCCGCTGAAAATGATCTCGGGGGTGAAGTAGACAGCCCTGTACTCGCCATTTAGTGCGCGTTGGATCGTACCCTTGTTAATAGCATCCGAGTTGGCGCCAGTTAGAACGAAGTACGATATGCCGGCCGCGGCCAGCTTCTATCGATTTGTAGGGCAGGATCCAAAGACGGGGTCAGTCGTGTAACATAGACACATTTATTGAAGGCATATGCAATCGTACAGTTACAAGAGTACTTGAAAGCTACCTGCTGTTGATCCTCCATCAAAGATATCAGCGGTGAGATGACGACGGTTACTGAGCGAGGCCAGAGCACCATAGGCAGGAAAAACGCTAAAGTCTTGCCCCAGCCACAAGGAGCAATTAAGACACAGTCGTGCTTTGCTTCAATGTTATACAGAACTTCCAGTTGCTCTTCCTTTGGTGCACAGCGGAAAACTTGTTTGCAAGTGCTGATGGCTTGTGACCTCAAAGTAAGTGGGGAGGTCTGAAAAAAAAGAATACAGCGTGTGTAAAACAACATGCAAAGGATGATTAAAATGTTACAATACAAATGACTGTGTCATTAGTTGAAATAACTTACAGAGTAATCGCTAATGTCGTCTTCGTGCTCTTGAACTAATGGTATATGTATCTGGTGTACAATATGCGATGGCGAAGATAGAAACTGCAGGGGCGACAGCTCCGGCTGCATGGACGTGGAGGGAGACGATGTTGGCGTCGAGATATATGGCGGTGGGGTGCAATCAGCCTCCCTCCATGTTGACATTCGCTTGATGGGCGTGGAGAAAGTTTTTTTAGGCGTGGAATCATAATCATCTGAAGACGCGTCCGAATCTGAAGAATCAATTTGAATTGGCGACGACACAGTCCGCCGAAGTGGCGAAGAAAGGCGCACAGATGATACCACTGTTCGTGCAAGCGACGACGGCACAGTTCCATATGTAAATGGTGTTGTGAGTCCACGAGAATGTCCAGGCGAATCGATATCTTGTAGTCGCCGGAGGCGGAAATACAGTGAAGAATGTGCTTCTTGTCCAGACTGACGTTCTTCCTCAGGCAACCAGAAAGGGTTTGGCAAGGACTCTTCTGCAGCGGTGAACGCCATGGCGAGCTGCAAGGAGATTGATGCCGCTGGAGTGGAACACGCTCCAGTCAGGACGGGCGGGGCTTCAGTAGCTCCTTGCGGAGTATCCTATAGAGAGAAAAACATAAAAGGACAAGAAGTTCGTTAGGATTGTGCTTGGAAATGAGTGACTGTTGTCATGCCAATCATCGGTATGTACTCACTGGATTACTCCCTCCTAAGGACGACGCGACGGGAATATTGGCGCTGAAGGAGATCAGACCTGTGGGTATGTCATTGCGCTATACAGTATTGAGGGTCAGGACGTCAGGAAGGGTGACAACCCCAACAGCTACAAACTCCCAACTCCTGTAACAAAATGTGTCCTTGCTTTGTAAGTCCTGCGGAGGGTTCCAGGAGTGTTGGGAGTTTTGGGAAGGCACTTGCGAGGCGTGCGCCGGGTCTCTTCATCAGGTGGATTGTCACTGTAACAGGAGACATGAAGGAAGAGGATGCAAGAAATAAGCTTGGGCAGCCCGCGTACGATCACGTGAACAAAAAACCACCGAGCACTTTCCTTTTTTGGGCAAAATGGACTAAAGGGTGACCCCATAAGAAAGTGAAAGATTTTGTCCCAGCCCCTCTGCAGTGAAAAATTGAACAAAGGGGGATGGGTTCAGAGCTTCACGCCTGTGAGCTTTGGTCACAAAGTTCAGTTGTTGAGGACAGTCCGCTCCCAGATTAGCCGACAACTGTCAATGTCTGTCAATACAAAAAGTATAACAAAACTTAAAATATTTATTGTCGTTCCTCTGACTGGCACTCGCTGTCAGACAGTTGGTATCTTGTCTCCTCCATCAAGTGCCATCAGGTCTGCAACACGGAGATCAAGAGACTGTCCAGGCTTCTTTCGATCAAGAAGCATAGCGCGGCACCCTGTCCAATCATGAAAAATTTTGAGTCTTGCCTTCATGTCCAAATCCAGGTTTCTAGGACGGAGAGCAGCTTATCGAAGCCGGAAAAAAAAAAAAAAAAAAAAAAAAGTGCTGCAAGGATTGTGCTTGGCTGCAAGTAGAGTAGATAAACGCGCGCTTTCCAGAGCAAACTCGCCTTACGCAGCATAAACGGCTTCTGTTTGTCCAACCCATCAGCAGCACAGCAGGATGGATACCCCTGTCTGTTGTTGTTCGGTGCGTAAACCCTTGATGAAATCTGCTTTCAAGGCCAACGAAATAACTCTGCGCTATTTCTTTTTGGTAGATGTTTCAGCTGCTGAAGCTATCGATGGAGTGGCCGTCTTTGACTTAGCCGCTGGATGTTTCCTTGCAGGATGTTTGGTTAGTTTTTATACGGCTGTGGTTGTGGTTGTGGTTGTTAATGCCCCTGCTGTTGTCGGAGACTTCACCCTAGCTTTGGTCGTTGTCACCATGACCTCGGTCGCCGTCGAGGACTTTGTCTTAGCTTCGGAAGAGGATCTGGATGTGGATGTGGAGATGGGGATGGGGGATGGGAGGAAGACAGGGACGGGATAGCACTCATATTATTTGTATTGGCAGACGTTGACAGAATACGAAAATTCGGATTAAAGCGACGTTTTGTCGGCTAATCCGGGAGTGGACTGTACATATATCCCCATCCCCCGGAGCCACGCTGGATAGCGCAATGTCTGACACATATCCGCTATGCGGTTCGGCCTCCATTAATCACGAACTGACTAGACACCCAGTTCGAAACATAATTTTTACCCTATTCCCAAAATAATAAAAACCTGAGTATTACTACCACTCACTATTTATTTGATATTCATTGTTCGGCGTATCCAAGGGAATGGGACGAATCCACTCTGTACATCCCAGCCACCAAATCCAGCAGCTTGAGCGCCGAAACCCCCTCCGTACCACATGCGAGAATAAGGCTGACTAGGACCGATCTCGACGCTTGGCCGCTTCTCCTTCAACGTTGCCTCAAATGCCTCGCGCGATTTTCCATCTGATACGAGAGCTCTGGGCGGTACCTCAATCGCGACATAAACCAGACTTGTCCAGTTCTCGGCCATCCACTCTGCCTCCTCTGCACCCATACGTATGTTGCATTGCCGTGGCAGGCGCAATGATTTGAGATTCGATAATCCAGACAACGGTGTCAGGTATCCGTTCTTCAAGACAAATGGATCGAAGCCGCTCGATTTCAGGACCAGCTCCTCCAACTGCGTCAAGCTCCCGATCTGTGAAAACAAATAGTCCGTACAGTCCTTCTCTACTGAAACATCCCAGCGTTTTCCTCCAGGGAAACTGAAGGTTCCCGTAGTGTTGAAGTTCAACTCTAGATGCTTCAACCCAGTGCAGGCCCACGAAGTCTTCTTTGTCAACTCCAAGTCCGGATCGTACGTCGATGCGTATGGTAAAGTGACCATAACCTTGAAGGACTTCAACGCTGGGAGTTCGCTCAAAAGTAGCGTGAGGGATGGGAGGTCCATGGTGAAACCGGGAGTATTCATGGTTGTCAGTGTCGTACCATGATACTCCGTGATTGTTCGAATTACGCGTTCGTCCAGTGCCACTAGGTACCCCACTGCGATCGTCTTCAGACCACCTTCCATCCAATCTCTATCACTGCCGTACTCGCCGGTGCCAGACTTGGTTGCTCGAAATGTTTCCAAGAAAAGATCTTCCACCATTCCGCTGTAGCCAATACGACCGTGGCTCCAATGCTTCAGTCTCGGACATGTTCTCTCCTTGATTATCTCTACCACTTGTTCCATTGTCTGCTCCTGGCACAGTGATGGCAGGCTGAGGCTCTCCAACATGGGACATTTCTTTAAAAACAATGGCAAAATCGACAATTCGAGGATCTCGTCAGTCGCCTGGAACTCCAAGTGCTGGACCTGGGTGTCCTGCATGCGCTTCATGGCCTCCGTTGCGAGCTTGAGCTGAGCTCCTTCGTCTCCTGGGATAGCGTAGGCCGCGCCATCCAGAAATACTGATAGGAATTTGACTCGGCTACATATCTCCAGAATATCCTGAATGACAACCAGATCGATAAATTCAGTGAGGTGCAATTCCAAGCTCTTTAGCCGAGTCAGCGACTGAAGAACCCGCCTCAGTTCTTGGTAGACATCCACATGGTCGAGATTGAGCGATATCTTGAGATGCTCCAAATGAGGCGATCCTGCCACCATTTTCAAGGTCGCAAGGTCCACTCGACGACCGTGGCGACCGAAACCGGGTCCAAACTCAAGCGACGTGAGGTTAGGATATGACCAAACGTGGGGCCGAGCCGCCAAGTTAATTTGACAACCTTGGAGGGACTGGATATGATCTTGATGTCGTTTCAGACCCTCAGGTGAGATCGTTGATGGCGGCTCGAATTTGATGGAGCGCCAGAGGGCAGGAAGGAACCAGGCAGACCACTTCTTGGAGACGAGAGCACACTGTGCTAGATCATTGTTGGAGAGGTATTTTGCAACCTCGCTCTTGACCAGAGGGCTGTCAAAGATGGATTCCTTTTCCATTGTTGGCGTGGAGGGTAGGGGTGATTGAAAAAGTAGATGGTGAAGGAAGCAAGGTGCGAAGGAAGAATGGATAGCTGATAGAAGGAAGGCTGCGATCAAAACTAAAGGCGCTAATGAGGATATGAAGAGACCGGGGGACAGTTGAGCTTCTTATATGCAAGAATAGCTTCTGTGTGTTCGACCGCTTGGGTCGCGCATCTTAGCCATAAATGGAAGTTGCCACCATTTTCTCAGTTGACTTTTGTCATCTAGGTATTCAATTGTTCTTGCACCACCCATGCACTCAATTGACCTTTCGCCACCATTTTCTAGGACGCCTGTGCCTTCAGTGAAGGCGACATGTTGAGTTTTGGCCACGAAGTTCAGCAGTCGAGAACATAGGCCGGTATTTGATTATTTGACTATTTGACTTTTTCCGCCCTTTTCGTTCCCGTCAATGTTGATTTGGGCAGGGTTTTTCATGGTTTTTTTTTTTTTTAAAGAAAAAAAAAAAGTGTACATGGCGTCGGAACAAAGCTACTAATCGAAGCGTGGTCTATCGTGCAGGAAACAAAGGCGCAACCACTATAGACACTATAGACACTATAGACAGCGGAATAGTACGATAGCTATATCCAGGAGAGTCCAGGCACATTAGACAGTTTGCGAAACCATTTTCCAAAGTGAAATAAAGTTTTTCAAGGTCGAACTTCATTGCGAAAGGGTTGCCCAAGTTCAGCGTGTACACAAAAGTAAAAGATATATACACCGAGTGGAAAGTATGCCGCAAGGGTAGGGACATCTCATTTTCCTATTTCGCCACTACTGACGCCAACTCAACCGCTCCTTCCTCTTAAAAAAACATGTCACTCCGCATACCCCGCAGTGACAATGACAGCGACAGCAATATCTTCGGCAACCACACTACTTACAATGACAACCACACCGACAGCGACAGTGACGATGTTGGCAGCGATGTCAACCTGCTGGATCATGACATCGACATCCTACCGGAAGAGCTCGATGAACAGATTCGTTTCGAGCGCGATCAAAGAGACAACCTGGCTGAGCAGGCTGTCATACCAGAGCGTGAAGAACATGGACTGGGTGATAATGGACTGGGCTTGACAGAAAGAGACAGGGAGACATGCTACGCTGGTTGTCGTTTGTTGCCACCAAAAAAAAAATGAGGATATGAGCCAATGCATTGCGCATGGAACTTGGGTGTGAGTGCCAAGTTTCGACCCTCGAAATTGGGCAAAAAAAAAAAAAAAACGCGAACCTTATTGAATTTCAGTCCGAAGTTTGAGTTTCGCAAGTTGTCTATTACTTCTGTGCTAGAAGGGCATCCATGTCAATGGTCATATCCGACTGACTGACGCATGCGGATCAATTCTTAAACGCGCAGCAGATTAGCAAGCGGTAAGCTCACATCCTGAGTAGCTATTCTTGACGCTGCTGTTGCCAGGGTCTGTTTGATATTTGAATTTGTTGTATATTATTTTTCGCTACATCCCCATCGTAGTTGCGGGCGATCTTGACCCATGGCCACTTCTCCTTGAGCTTCGTCTCAGACATCCTGTACCCAGGTGCTTTGGACTCGTTATAAAGGACCGGCATCTCATTGGCGATACATACAACAGTTTTTTACAGGATCCAGCCATCCTTTTTGATGGTTTGACATTAATTGTCTGGCATGCTAAGTCAACAGAGTTCGTGTTTGCACACAATGTTCGGTCCCAAAAGGAGAGATCTATTACCCATGCACAATGAGTTTATATTCTTATTTTTTGCATCCTCCAAATCGCCTTGTGAGTTAACTTTTTTTTTAAGAGCTGCGAACGTTCCCCTCAATTAGACTAGAAGCCGGTCGTTTGCCACACGTTCAGATTCTAAAACAAGGTTCTCCCATGCTTTTATATATTTGCACCCATATGTTTAGTTCATTTTGTTACTCATTCTTCTTTTTTTCCGTTGTACAGTTGCAAACCGTTAAAAATGAAGCCGAGTGCACAGCAAAACACGTTTATTGCTTAATCAATCTGGTTCTTGCGCAGACATACTCGCAATCTTTCATTAAATCTCCTTAGCTACTACCAGCCTTTAGTACTCAACTTGTCTTATAGTCAATGGATCCGATCATCAACAGCGATTTCCAATGACTTTATATGCCAGAGCTGACTTGACACCTCCAGTGCCAGTCGTACGTGCTGCTTCACCCCACATCCATGTCGAACGTTCCAAAAGATAGCCCCTATGCAGCGAGTGGTGATCATGCGAGGGACTCGGGCACAGGTTGAAGTGCAGACTATTGACGCCTTGAAGCAGACGAGGCAAATGGTGAGCCGCCAATCACTAGGGGTGTGTTGGGGGTGTAAGCAGGTTTGGGCTTTCGTTTTCTTTTGTTGCAGTCCTTGGTGTTCAACGTACAGTATTTATTGAGGAGCACGCGAGGACGGTAAGGGTGACATAAAAACGATCGGCGTAGGATGTGTGTGTATGTGTGTGTGTGTGTATATGTATGGGCGAGGTCAGAGGACACGGAAAATAGGGGTCAAACCTTATATCGCCCCTACGCGTTTGTACCGTCCTGTGGTTCGGATGCTGTCAGCTGGTCTGTGCCACCCCTTTTTTTATTTTTTATTTTGCAGGGGAGCAGGGAAAGGTACGGCCAAGACTGTACTACTGCACATAGTCTACACTGCACAAACATCGCTCCGTAGACCGACTATCCCCCACGTCGCGGGAGGGGTCACTCCCCAACCACCGCGCCTAACAAACAATGTCGACACCATGGGCCATATGACGGTCGGAGTCTCCCTCTGCTGGTCTAAAATTACAACGACATCACACACCAGCAGTCTTTGCCGCTCGCAGACGGACCAACAGATAAACAACAGGCACCTGCGTGTCGCGAGGAGGGGTTCCGCCCACAATCATCATCATCATCTCCCCCCCTGCCCTGACCTGCCATGGCTTGTCTGCCTTCTGCTGACCCTATATATCTCATCCGCAATCTTCTTCTGCTTCCCACTCCTTCGCTCCTCGTCCCTTTTTTTTTTTCTCCTCCCCATCTCCTCCTCCTCCCCCTCCTCCATACACCCTCCATTTGCCACTGTTGTGATTGTTATGATACTTGCCCCCCCCCCAGCTTTCCACGACCTTTACGATAATTCCTCTCTTTGAACGACCTCGGACGCGCTTGGCCACCCTAGTCTTTCACCTTCCTCACCGGCGCAATCTGTCTATCGGCTATCTACCGCTTTCTTGCCTCCACATCACACCTGCACATCCGACCCGCCCCTCCGTCCCTCTCAGGTCCCAGACACTCATCTCTCACAACAATCGGCCTCCCTCGTAACGACTTCTTTTTTTTTTCTTTTCTTTTTTTCTCCCCTTCAATCTCCAACGCTTCAGCGAAAGCGTTAAATCAACTCAGCAACACACATCAAGGCTATCAACAATGTGGTGCAACAACTGCTGCTTGGTGTTCCCAGTTCGAGGAGGCGGAATGTGGCTCGCCGGCCTGGTTGTCCTACTCAACGTCATCGGCGGAATTCTGCTTTTCCTCTGGGGTCCCTACTTCTTTTCCTCGACCATGGCCCTCCTCTTTGCAGGGTTCTCGATGATCCAAGCTGTCACTGCAGGAATCGCCTTCCTCGGGATGTGCAATGTAACGTGAAGCACTCGCCAGCGTCTTGGGAGGCTACTCGCCAGTTGATCTCTCTTTCTTAATTAACACCCTTTCTCTATCTTCACCCCCTATACAATGATAGTGGTCGTACATGATGACGAGGATGTTTGTCTTTGTTCAGTGGTTGGTCGCATTCCTGGCGACCGCCAGGGTCGGTGTCATGGCCTTCCAGCTCGAGTCGAACAAGTCCCACATCGCATCCGAGTGCTGGGGCGCCGTCAACGACAAGGGCTACACACCTCAAGGCACGGCTGCTGCGTTCTACTGCAACACGCCCATCGACCAGTTCATCATGATCTTTATCGCAGGACTGGTCATCGACTTTATTCTGAACCTGTACATGTACTTTGTGGTATGGCGGTACTATGTCCGCATGCGACTGTATCCCTTCCATAAGGGCGTTGGGCTCACGTACGAGCAGGGACTGTACGAGATCTAAAGAGGCACGGACCGGGCCCTCGTTCTGGATGACTCCTACATACACACTACATATACATATTCAGCCGGCCCCATATTGTGCCTTTCCTACCTCTATATATATTTGTCTATATGTCCATAGTAATAAACCTTGAAGTCCGATTTTTGGAGAGCAAGTTGAGGACGCGAACTGGGACGCGTGCGCGTAGATCGTTTCTGCACCCCGTGACCAGGACTCTCTCCAATAAACGACTCCTTGAAATATTTCGAGGACCTCGATCGCTCCTTCAATCGTTCACATCACCCTTCACCCTTCACTCTCGACCCTAACAGAAACCACCACCTTACACAGACAGCTAGTCTCCTATATCTTTCCATCATGTCTGAACCCACCAAGCAAGAGATCCAGGACGTCTTCAAGAAGCTGTCCTTGCACCGAGCCAATAAGGTACAGTCGGTTCACTCCCCCACAACTCAGTCACAGATCCCCCCACCACTTTCCCCCCCCCCCCCCCCATTGAGAGCCCTCCCCCAGCAAGCAGGAGCCAGCGAAAATGTGGAGCGTGCCAGCAGCATTTAACTCTGCCAACAGCACCCGTATATCCGCCCTTGGGTTGCTTGGTTTACGGGGAAGGAGACAATGGCTCAACTTTCGAGTGATGCTGATGTTGATGTGGAATTCATTTGTTTGCGTACCCCTCTCATTCGCCCCCCCTTCCCCTCTCCCCCCTTAGAACTGCTTCGATTGCCATGCAAGCATTGACCAGAACTGCTGGACCAGCATTCCATTCGGAATCTTTCTATGCACGGACTGTGGTGCTCTTCACCGCAGCTTTGGCACCCATGTCAGCTTTGTCCGGTAAGCTATTCTTGGTAAAAGTGATGTGTAGTGTGTATATTGTCCATTTGGTTACTCGCCTTTTTTTTTTTTTTTTTTTTTTTTCAAACGTGTTCCTCAGGGATGCGCTGAGAGCGTTGCGCTATTTTTTATCTTCTTTATCGGCAGATTGTTGGTGCTCACATGGATGGTGTTGCTGGGCTATGTCTACGTGGCTAAGTCCAGTTCGAGAGCACCGTTTGGACAGCGTTTGAGATGCTCGTATTATTGCGGTGCTCATAACTGGCAGAGTGACCCCATTGGGAGATATGAGTATTGTGCACCTGGCTGTGTTTCCCACACACCAAATCCCGAGCACAGCGCGCGGGCCTTTTGTGTGTGACCAATGCTCTCAAAGAAAAGTTGTCCTGACACTATCCTTCTCTTCCTTTGTCCTGTACATGGGGAGGTTTTCTTGTGCTGATTAGATCAACAGTGCTAGACAAGTGGACATGGGAGCAGCTACGGACAATGACAGTCGGAGGTAACGCAGCTGCACGGGAGTACTTTGCCAAGCAGCCGGGCACAGACAGCAAGGATGCAAAGACAAAGTATTCGAGCAAGGCCGCCATCGCTTACAAGGAAAAGCTGGCCCAGAAGGTCAAGGAGGACTTGCTTGCGTAAGTATATACTGAACTCTTCATTTATTACCTTGAATTGTTGGCTCAAGATGCACAATACCCTGCCATCTCCTTTTTTGCTCCTATTTTCTGTTTGCCCATGGCAGCAGATCGAAGGCGAACTGCTTTCAGCACATTCCTGCATTTTTATTTCGTTGGTGATGCGGCTGCATAAAGCGTTTATGCTAATCCGCATCGTTTGATCCAAATAACGTAGGCATCCTGGCAAGCAAGGTCTCGAGCGTCACTCAGAGGAATCACATAACAAATCTACAGTATCGACGCCAGCAACGGCCACTGCAGATGATGATTTCTTTGAGAACTGGAATCAGCCCAAGAAGACTTCTTTAAGCAGTGCCACATCACCCCAGACCACTGTACCGCCCAGTGTAGGGTTCGGATCAGTTGCACGCAGTCCCTCGACCCTTGCTCGACCAGTCAAATCGACTCTCACATCCGCTCGTAAGACAGGGACAGCGTCCAAGCCTATGAAGTTAGGCGCCAAGAAAACTGGGGCTATCAGTTTTGAGGAGGCAGAAGCCCGCGCCAGAGCAGAAGCCGAGAGGATTGAGAAACTTGGTTTCGAGGCTGCGGAGGAGGAGCGTCTACAAAAACTGGCTGCAGAAAAGGCAAGAGAGGAGATGGCCAATGCTCCAAAGGGTAGCGAGAGCTCTACCATGTCAAATTATTATCAGGCCAATACTGCGGATAAATCGAGGGTGTCGTCGGAAGAACTCGAGCGCTTGGGCATGGGCATGGGTCGCATGGGCTTCGGAGCAGCACCTTCCTCGAAACCCACAAGCACTCGTTCAGGATTCGGAAGCACAGGTGGTGGCTACTCGCCTCAGGTAGAAGGTGAGAACTGGTGCCTGTGCCGACTGGTTTCACGAATCCAACTATGAATTTCTCGCTCACGGACCGTCTTGATCTCAACAAGTAGAGAATGTTACTGCTGCCCGAGAAAAGTTTGGCAACCAGAAGGCAATATCCTCGGACCAGTACTTTGGGCGTAACAACTACGACTCAGAAGCCCAGGCCGAGGCCAGTAGTCGTTTACAGTCATTCTCGGGCGCGACGAGTATCAGCAGTAACCAGTACTTTGGCCGACCAGAGGATTCCCCAACTCTAGGCAGCGATGGTGAGAAAAGAGATGGACGGTATTTGCACCGTACTGGTGATTGATGAACAGAGTAGAGGGCTGACATTATCTTGATGATCTTGTAACGCTTAGTTTCATTGTCTTCATTGAGCAATATCTCGGGATCTGACCTTGCCAAGAAGCTGAGCCAGGCTGATCTGGCGACGCTGAAGAATGCGGTTCAAACAGGAGCTGGAAAGGTGCGGCACACTTCCACCTTTTATTGATCTGCTGCAAGAGACAATTGAAGAACGATAGTTACTAATCGGCCTCGCATTTCTTTTACGGTTATAGTTGAGCGATATGTTACAGGACATGCAAGCGCGATACAACTATTATTAAGCACTATGGCCAGCATGGCGATGCCCTGGCTAACTGCAACTAGACTGGAGCTGTAGTGCGCACAATCCAAGCTACTTGAATTAAAGAGCGGTTTTATGTGTCTTTTGTTGTATTGGTCTCCTTTGCGTGTCTAGGCTGAGCGCGTCCTGTTGGGTGGTGATGATGTGTTCCTGAAACAAGGGATGTCGACACGTCTGCTGTGCCTGGAAAGAACGATGTGGGGCCGCGTCGATGAAGTGGCCCTGTTCTATGGTGTATCCCCTGGTGCAAATACAGCGGCACATAAGAAAATTTATCAATTTAGCTGAATTGAGTTATGCCAATTGGAGGCACAGAACACTCCATCGGGAAAGTTGAGAGCCAATTGGGCAAGCGTGCTTTCCCCAGCCCATTCATCCGTGCATGGGGTATGAAAGAAAAATAGTCAGGGGAAGGAGGGGCGAAGGGCGGCGGAGGGTGTCAACCCAAAAAGTCAAGTCAAAACCTGTCATCATTGCACGCGAGAGCAGGTTACCTTCATTCGCATTCTCCCTTCTCTCATTCCCCATCCTGCCACTGCCCGAAGAGGACTCAGCGATCACAAGCGTGCGGTTGAAGACAGCGAGTATTTTTTTTATTCAATTCTCTTCATCGGCCCGCCATGAGTACCAGCCCAGACACGGACCCCGGTCGCTGCAAGGCCATTGCTATCTCGACTGGCCAGAGATGCACACGCCGTGGTAAACTCGACGGATATTGCACAGAGAAGCACAAGCAGCAAGCGGACTCGACTAATGGACTCTGGGGTCTCCACCGTCAGCCCGGTGCTTCGCCCTTCACGGATTCAGAGGGTGAGACCCAGCCGACGCCTGCAGACATGACCAAAAAATCCAAGACAAACAAAGCTCTGAAGGCCCTCGGGATCAAGAAGTCGGCGGTCGCAGATAATCAACCTGCTCCTGCTTCTGCTCCTGCCCCTGTCCCTGTGCCCACCCCGCTCTCTGCAAGCACGCCTTCCCCCACAGGCTCCTCATCCAAGGTATCCAAGGCATCATCGTCCAAGACATCAAAGACGACAACGTCCGCGAAGAAGGTGCCTGCGACCAGAAAGAAGGCGGCGACAAAGACGACAAAGGCCAAGAAACAAGTCGAGTCGTCCGAGGAATTTGAACCGGATTCAGACGATGATTACCAACCATCCGATAGCGGTGGTTACAGTGACAGCGACTCGGACGACGACGACGACGATGATGATGACGAGGACGACACGGATGAGGATTTGGATGAGCTGTCTGGAAAGATGGCCTCAGTCAGGATCAAGCCCGATGACCCAGCGCTGCCTCCCAGGCCCAGTAACCGTCCACTGGGTGCCAAGCTCAAGCGCACCAAGTCCAAGATCGTCAACACCACAGCTGTCCTTGCACCGCCCAAGAACAAGACAAAGGCGAGCTCAAAGACCGGTCGCCCCACAGGCGGATTCTGGGTGGCTGCTCCGGCGCCGGTCAAGATCCCAGAGTCGACCCTCAAGATCCTGTCCTCGGTCAGGGACAAGCTGACACATCAGGACAGCAGCAGCAGCGACCTCGTATCGCCTGTCCAGTCTAGCAATGGTGAGAAGAAACATTCGAGTCTCTTCAAGTACCGTGCTCGTATGCAGAGCTTCCTCTTCCGCGACGAGGATGAGTCTGATCAGGATTCGAAGAAGACTGGAGTGAGGAGTATGTTCAAGTCGCTCTTCCACAAGATCAAGAAGAGCGACTCAGATATTCAGGAGAAGCCGCTGCCAGAGCTTCCATCAAAGTCGTCGAACGAGCATAGGCCGTCGGTGGACAGTGCGGACTCGGTGACGAAGGACATCAGTGAGCTGTCTTTGAAGGATTCACCGGACGAGGCCCCGAACCAGTGTCATGGATTCAACTCGAACGGACATCGGTGCAAGCGCAAGGTCAAGCTGGACAGACCTATTGAGAAGGGCGAGGTGCTGATGTGTCATGACCATGAGGTCAATGAGGACGACGAGGTCGTTGTTCACATCGAGGGCAAGGGAGGAGTCATGCTCCAATGGCTGGATTTATCCTGTAAGTTGGGGGGAGATCTATTCACAGTAGGCCATCGTCTAATTGCGAGAGTTTTTTTTATTTTTTATTAACCACTGTTGTTCTATTTGAATAATAGCCTGGGTCAACCCTAATCTCCCGGATTATGTTCAGAACAAGCTACGAAAGGCTATGGAGAGGCCTGTCTCAGATACGGACAAGCCGGGTTACATCTATGCTTACCAACTGCTTGAGAGTATGTGTTTCGACTGCCGACTGCCATCGTTCCAGCTATTATTCCTGTAGGCATTGTGTTCGTTCGCCTGATAACTAACCGGCCATGCAATCCTTTCTTCTTTTTTTTTTTTTTTATTCTTTATTCGCCTCCACAGCTCGTGTCACGGACTCTCACACATTGTTCAAAGTGGGCCGTACCGACAACGTGTTCCGGCGTATGAGTGAATGGTCCGACAAATGTGGGTCCCCACCTCGACTGATCGAGGTCTTCCCCGAGCAAGGGTCCCTAGCACCCAAGGATGAGAACGATTTGTCAGAGACGGTGATGATGGTTGCGGGCGATAATGAGGTGACGGGTCTGCGATGCCGTTACGCGCACCGGGTGGAGAGATTGATCCATATTGAGTTGAAGCCCTATCATGACAAGGACCATATCTGCGCATGCAAAACCAACCATCGCGAGTGGTTCAAGGTACCCCATCAGCCTGGGTTGAGTGAATCGAAGCAGATGAAGCAGGCGTGGGGACAGGTGCGGAGGGTGATTGTACACTGGATGGCTTACATGGAACATGTCTATGGTCCTGGATAAGGGGAAGGAGTACCAACGGGTTGTGTGTGTTTTTTTACTTATTGTCGGTGTGGAGATTCAATGCGATGGCCCGCATTTTCTGTAGAGAAAAAAATAAAGTAGTAGCGTTTTCGAAAAAAAAAAAAAAAAAAAAAAAAAAAAAAAAAGAACTTGCAAGATAGTGGCTCAAGGGACGGACGACTTGGGGACGAATACACTGACCAGAAGATAGGTCTGAGTTTCCTCCATCTTTAATGAATGTCAATCGCGTGAAGTTACATTCAAAGACAGAACGCGATATCGAGTGATCTTTGGATGCAGTTTATGTTGAGAGCTCGCATATTGCTGATACGGGGATTAAGCAGGGGGCATCTAGCTGTAGCTAGGGGAGTTCGAGCTTTTTTGTGGTGCGGATGTGAGGCCCATGCTTGGAAATAACGCTTGCTTTCAGTTCCAGTTTAGCAAGGTGCCGGTGGCCCTTGAAATCGACAGCGTATCAAAACTGGGGGGGCGAGGGCCTTTGACCCGGTTCTTGGAAAAACTCGAGCGCAGGGGGGAGGGATCGTCCGCAGATACAAAGCGACTGATGAGTCTGATCTCGGGGAGATGGAGTAGATTGCTTGGGGGTTGTGAGAAGTGTCCATGCTTGGGCTGTGAAGAGTTGGAGTGAGAGAGAAGAGAGAACGGAGGGATGCGATAGAAAAAGCGCGGGAGTATATTCAACAGAGGAAAGAGATGGTTGCTGAAGAGGAGGATGCATCGTCATAAACCGCGTTCAACGGGTCTATTTAAGGTTAGGCGTTTTACGACAGGCGCAAATCGACTACAAGATACCGTTAGAAGTGCTGTGGGGTGGGGCCTCTTCATTTTCAAGGACAGCCGCTGAATCGAAATTTGGATCATTAAAGTACGTATTACTCTTCCCTCTACAAACCAATGTTCGCCGTTTGTCAATACAACCTCTAGTTCAAAGGGCCTTGAGCTTCAACGTTTTCTACATACAGTCGCGACTAGATGTCCCGCACTATATCGTCTTGATCACGCACACGACGGCACTTCAGCATTACGCTTCAGTATTACGCTTCGTCTCAACACTCCATTGTACTCTGTCAACCATTGCTTGAACTCGCAAGACGTCGGTGCCATCAGTATACAGGAGTTGGACGCTCAATAAAGTGGCAGGCCAGGAACACGTATTATTTGCGTCAGTTTGATCTTACCGATCGGGAGTCCTGCGAGATTTCGAGTTGCTTTTGAAGTCACCTAGTATCCGTGATCATCGATGAAAGAAGATCGCGAAAGCATTCAAGGACTTTCAGGACCACCGTCAAGAAAAGTTTTGGGCTGAACGCGCTCTCGAGGCGAACACTGAGCTGATCGTTAGACATGCTGGAGTTATTAGTTTAGACGAAAGGAAAATAGCACGCAACGTAGCCATTGACACGCTCAGTCTGAATCACTCCTACAACAATACTCGTGGACGTCTCAGCCCTCGCGCCTGCTGTACTATGCCAAGACGTTCTCCTCTCGAACGCGTATCGTAGTGGTCAGCATAGAGTGCGGAGCGAATACCTGGTGTATACGTTTGGGTTCTGTATCACGCGACGGACTTGAAGATGGGCCATAGGGATACGCAGGATCCGTGTAAAATGATTCACTGGCTAATAGACTGCAATAGAGTATTATGTGTTTTTTTTGTAGGGATGAAGATCTCGTTTTCTCACCTTAGTTAGACGGACCGAAAAAGACAGCGATTGATGATGTCACTGGGCAAAATGAATAGAGTATGCCCCCGGTCTGCGTCCGTACTCACCCCTGACAAGCTCCAAGGACTGGCTGGGCAAATGAAACTTTCACGACGGTACCCTGCAATCCAACCGATTATTTTTTTTAAAACAAGATGGAATGTGAAATATGAAGATGGAATGTGAAATATGGGGTGACTCATGGTAAACGGACGGGCGGAGACTGGCCCCTCTTCTCAATCGAATCGTCTTTTTTTTTATGTGCCCACGGACTCATCGGACGCAGGTACAGCCACAAAAGTTGGCACGAGCCAACAGAAGACGGTAAAAATAAAAATAAGCTTTTGTCCTTTGCTTACGACTGCACTTCACTTTACTTTACTTTACTTTACTCTGCAGGCATGCGTGAGCCATCCCGTCCCTTTTATTTGAGAGTTTAGCTCGACTTCAAGTCGGTACGGCACCGTGTCTGTGCCAGCTGAAAGCGTCCACCGACTCATCCTGTTGAACATCACGCCATCACCGGGCCACAAAGTGGAGAAGCCCTGTTCCATTCTTCGTTGTCACTCCGCCCAAACGGGATGGAGGACTGATGCGCATCATCCGTCCGCCTGTTCCTGGCTCATCCTCTCTCTGTCTTTCCTCTTCTCTTCCGACTATTCCGATGGGTCAGAAACAAGACAAAAAGTGAGCGCCCTTTCCTTCCCATTGTTGTGCTATAGTGCGGAGACGCAAAAACGAAACGCGATGGATTTACGTAGTATTATCCCTCGGGCCAGGACCATATATGTATTCTCTTTTATTGCGAAATATCCAGAAACTACCTGCAAGAAAAAACGAAATAAATCCTGCTCTTGCATCGTGAATGTCTACTATCTTCTCAAAGGAGAGCTAGAAAGTGCAGAAGTGAACCAGGGCGGGAAAAAGGGATGGGACATGTATGGTCCTAGCCCTCGGATAATAAGCTTGAGTCTTCATGTTATTCGAATCTGTCAGCTAAAACGATGTAATTATCTAGTCGAGGCTCCGGCCCCCAAACGACCTGATATCGAACGCTCTGACCCTGTCACCTCGGCTTCCAAATCACACATATCCCGAACGAAGTATACGCTTCTCGATAAGGTGCAGAATACCATGCAGAGCGATAGCAAAACTCAGATACCTTTCATGTCGCTCTCGCAAAAATGTTGAATATAAAGTCGCCAATATACTTAAAAAGAAAGACAAGATCCGTCAAGCAGCGGGGACACTGCCGCCTGTGGCAACAAGAACAATTGTACACAACAGGTCAAGACCAATGGCGGTTGTGGAAGAGGCTGTTTACACCTGGTATAAACACCAGGAATCCTTAGGTATGGAAGCTCATGCAGTTGCTCGCTTCTGATAGCACATTCCCTCATCCATATACTTTGATAGGCATCAACGAATCTGACTATTGCCTGAAAGGAACTGCTGTGGTGATGTGGATCCTCGTGAAAGATTTCTCTCGTCCTGAACATAAGCCAGAGCCGATTACCTTTTCAAATAATTGACTCCAAAAGTTCAAGAGACAGAGAGCGCTCAGGAGCTACATCGGCCATGGCGAAAGCGGATCGGTCAACGTGGATCTCTATCAGACTCAAGTTGAACAGATCCACATGGCGCTCAAGGACTTTGGCCCTGATAACATCTATAATTGCAATGAGACGGGTCTCTTTCTGAAGGCTCCGTCCAACAAACCCTTGTTACCGGTCCAATTCGTGGCAAGAAGGCCACTCAGGTTGCTCGAGTGTCGGTGTTGTTATGCAGTAATGCCGCGGACGCAGACAAACGCAACCTTTATGTCCTTTGTAAGTAACGGCCATATTTGCTGGTTTATATTAATAAAAATGAAGTATACGCCAGATATCTTCATCTTGGTCCGTCCCTGGAATACATCCCCATTACAAATACTACTAACTAACTATCAGATTATTACACGGTAAATATACCATGTCTATTGTGCATATATAACATGATGTACAGAATGTTAGCTATTAGTGCATGCTTTATTGGACAAGATACTGCACTCGTAATTGCATCACATTCATCTCAAGCAAGCGAAGAGACAGCCGCAGAGTCGACCGGCTGTGCTGGCTGTACAGCGGGAGAATCTGTAACGAGGAAGGTATCCACTGTGTCGCGGCTTGACGGCAACTTGAGTTTAGATGCCACGGACGCCATGCTGATAAGCTTCCTGCTGGCCTCGCGGAAACTCGAAGGTGGAATCGGCTTGCCCACAGCGCCGCGCTGCTCTAATAGCCGCATATTTATCCTGTTCAAGCCCTGTGCGTTTTGGATAGAGGCATTCGACACAACAAGTGCGCCTTGCATCGAACTCCACTGTAGACGCACCTGAAGGTGACCTTCCTCTTCTGTGACCCGCCACAAGCGAACAGACATATCTTCACAGCCGGTTACGAAATAGGAGCCATTGGGGGTCGTGCTCCAGGCGATACATGTGACTACTCCATGGAAACCTTCGACAAGAGCCAAACAGTGACCCGAATTCACATCCCACAGCCACACCGTCTTGTCATCACTGCAGGAGGCAATCTGCTGGCCACTGGGCGAATAGGCCACGCTAGTGACGGAGTCAGTATGGCCACTTAGGATGGGACCGGGTACGCCGGTTTGAGCGTCCCACAGCCGCACTGTATTGTCGCCACTGCAGGAGGCAATCTGCTGGCCGCTGGGCGAATACGCCACGCTATTGACACCGTCGGTATGGTCGCTTAGGATGAGGCTGGGTGCGCCGGTTTGCGCGTCCCACAGCCGGACCGTCTTGTCGGTACTGCAGGAGGCAATTTGCTGACCGCTGGGCGAATACGCCACGCTATTGACACCGTTGGTATGGCCGCATAGGATGGGACCGGGTGCGCCGGTTTGAGCGTCCCACAGCCGCACCGTGTTGTCGGTACTGCAGGAGGCAATCTGCTGGCCGCTGGGCGAATACGCCACGCTAGTGACGGAGGCAGTATGACCGCTTAGGATGGGACCGGGTGCGCCGGTTTGCGCGTCCCACAGCCGTACCGTCTTGTCCCAGCTGCAGGAAGAAATCTGCTGGCCGTTGGGCGAATACGCCACGCCCCATACGGATTCGGTATGACCGCTTAGGATGGAACCGGGTGCGCCGGTTTGTGCGTCCCACAGCCGCACCGTATTGTCGCCACTGCAGGAGACAATCTGCCGGCCGCTGGGCGAATACGCCACGCTGGGGACGAAGTCAGTATGGCCACTTAGGATGGGGCCGGGTGC